AAGATTATTACTTTAGGCCACACGCTAACAGAAAACTGTCATTTGTATATGAGCAGAATTAGATTTTGAAACAAAGGATTTTGAATAAGGCGTTTGACAAACCATTAGCAGAAGTTTATACGTAATGGAAAGTCACTATCAGATTAAGAATAACCTCTTTGATGTCTAGCTTTCTTAAATATTCCTATTGTGGGGACCATGCGATTCGTATAACAAAATACAAACGTCTAGCTTTAAATTGCATTGCCATTGGCAAGTTCCTATTTAAAATGCATTTCAACAATATCAGCATTAGTAGAAGTTATCATTTAATATAAAAACAATGTCACTAATATTGATTACCTAGTACTTAACCATTCGGCAAAAGTTTATTGTTTGTATTGTTCTCCTAAATAACAATACAAACAAAATGTATTGTGGAATAAATTAACTTACTAGCCTTCTTGGTATTCCTTTATTAAAATTTCTTTTTCTAATGAGAGGACTTTATCCACGTATAAATGATTGAGAAATTCATTTTTTACAAATAATTTTTGTGCACAAATCGGCATTAATTGGGAAATTATGCTGAAAAATAGAAATTAAAGGAAAATTTTGACACCTTATATCACGACAATCATAGTAGATCATAGCAACTTTTTAACTTAAAAATGCTTGAGAAATTATCCTGTCAAATTTCGGACTGTATCTGTTATTTGAGTTTTTAGAAGTAAAATCGGGTCTTTTAATATCGTATTACCTTTTTGTAAATCCTTTCTACGCCGTAACCTAAACGGACAGCCTAATAAAATCGGTTTGAGGAGTTATATTTTTAAATAGAACCCAACCTTTCGGATAAAAAATCTCGGCGACGGCCTTCTTTGAAAACGTTTTTTGAGTCTGCGATGGTCGTCGTATCAAAAATCAATATTGTGGGAATGAGTATTAATATATATGGCGGGACTGATAAGTGCATGATAAAAAGTTTTTGATTCTTTTTTAAACCATATTATTGTTCAATAAAATGCAAGTGAGGAATAATACTCCCACCTACGTACCAATCACCCAACTACATTCTCCAACAGCGACGTCAGGTTTGACATGTAGGTCATGAAAATTTAATGACCAATCGATGTAAAAGCGGCTGAATAATAAAAAATGGGGGTTAATCTTCCCCCAAAACTTGAGTGATTATACGCGAAAGCGTCTGCATAGCTTTGTGATTGTAGCAAACTTGGTAGCAAAATAGTTGATAGTTTCTTGTAAAACCGAGATGGTGCTTGATATGTTAGAATATAAGTTAAATACAAAGCAACTTGGCTATCGAACATAATATGTTTAATTGTATCTGCTCGTGGTATCCTAGTCGTGGATTTAATACCACTATTTGGTACTTCTTTTATTCCTTTTTTTTTTCATAGTGACTTTTCTCTCGATTCTTTTCCCTTTTTCTTTGTATTACTTTGTTGGGGGTTGTATTAGAGCTTTATTATTATTATCATTATGTGTTTTAAATAATATGATGTCATTTATAATTTCTATAATTAAATGTATCTTTTAATTTTTTTCGGCATGTTGTGGTCGTATTTCCAAATATTTAAAAACTGGGACATGCCATTTAACAACACCTACGCAATGAATTTCCTATTTACTTTAATTCAATCAATTACCGGGTAAAAAATCATCGCAATTATGCGTACGAACATGTTTCCAGTAATTATTTGGACGAGCGTTTCCGTATAGAACAACCGGAATTCCCGCACAGGGTAAATAAATAAATTACAGTTGACTGAACGCGACCAAGTTTTAATTATGAACACAAACGGGGTAGCGAAAGGTAATTTAATAAAACCTCTCCTCCGGTTACATCAAATATTCACCAGGTTCGGTGAAATCGCCACACAGCAGCCCGGCTCACGATTTTCGAGCCCACAACAAAACCGCCGACATATATCGCGCTTAAATAAACTTATATTGGTAAAGGGAAACTCCTTGCGTGGATTGGATCAAATTTATTGAAATATCGGGGTCTATGACAACCTGCAAGGGTTGTACGTTAGCGAAAAAAAAATTGAGGGTCCATGAAATAAAAATGGGAGTCCACGATAGCGGATCTCAACATACACTGAAAGTATCTACTTACCCGCATCACACTAAAGTACGCTGGCTGTCCAAAGGCTTGTGTTTGATAAGATTTTTTTCACTTTTTGAAACTATTTTGGAATTTCTAGATGCTAAATACAAAAATCTAAAAAGCCGTTTAATAAAACGGAAAACAGACATCGCGTATTTAACAGATTTAATTAAAACATGCTCCATCTTAAACTAATGAAGCAATTCCCCAATTTGTCCTAGACAAACTTCTAGGAGGACGACGTTTCAACGTACCTTCAACATTTGAATGCCCTTTATGAGATTTTGAAACTACATTCCAGAATGTTTTGACTATGGTAATACCACTGTGGATAATTAAGCCATATGGTGATATAGAAGAACTGATTGAATTAAGTACAAAAGAGGAACTTGAAGTTCAGTTTAAAAACGGGTATCATCAATTCTAGCTGAAAAAAAATATACCCTTTGCTTATTCCGTATTACAGAATATAGCGGAAAAAATTATAATTTGTGGAAAAGCTCTGTTACCATTCTCCTAACGAAAAAAAGAAACAGACTGGACATAATTAGCCAAGGAGATTTAAGATGAATCCTTACAAAATTGACGGCTAATGTCGATAATTTATTATTAAAGCATCAGGTTCATCCATCCCTCTAAAAACATTTAATTATTGCTTAGTTTATTTTAAGTTACGTGCATTTTATATAACAGATACAAAAATTTATTTTAAGTAGTTTTAATTTAAATTAAATTAATAAATGTGTAAAACCTATGTGTGTTTTTACGTTAAGTTTTTAATACTAAACTTCACTACAGTTAGTAATTTACAAAAAACCGAGAAACATGTCAAGAGGTCTACGACACAAAACAGATTGGGAACCACTGGGCCAATGCAGGGCATTTTCACAATTATCACACAACATCATTCTTCGCGTTAGCTCTTAAATTCAAATCTCTACAGATGAATTTAGCATAGCTCGAGCACTCTACTGATGAAAATAATGGCTGACTCTTCCGAAATTCCAGAAATCGGCATTAAATTTAATACCGATAGGACGCAAAGCCGTATTAATACTTTTTGTTGTAAATTGTGGCCGATTTACAATTTCAAATTGGTTGCACAATTCCCACATTTTTTGTCGAACTACACACTGATCTAGACCCAAGTTTGGCAAGTTTTAACTTGATTTTTAGGTTGGGCAAATTGAGTTTTATCCTTTTGGTTGTTTCCCCATTCTGTGGCAACACAGTGTCTCATCTTAACGACAGTTATTTAGTAGAAAATCGCGCGCAAGCATTGAAGTCGTAGTTTCTCTTGAATTTTTAGAATTTGTGTTTACTATCGAAGTTATTTAACAACTTGCATTAATAAAAATGAAAATTTATCTTTATACCATAAATATCAAAATATACATAGTAGGCGCAGAAAGAAAAAAATAACTAAGTTGATTACACCAAGGAAGAATAAAATGTTTCTTTATGTATTATATTTTTTCTTTCCTAATTAACTTTTTTAATTTGTTACTGTGACATTAATAAATTTCATTTTGATTTGTGATTACAAGATTCAAATTAATTTTTTTCTAATTTTTCTATTCTTAACCACATGGCACTGCGCTTACTTAAATTTAAAATCAGTAGTGTTAATACTGTCATATGGGTTCCATTCTTTAAGCTTTCAAAAATCACAAGCAAAATCTAAATTGGTCCAAAACATTAGCACTAACGGTTTGGCGCCTTGATTTGAACAAAAATACAAACGAATACAAATAATACTGGAAGATTATGACAAAAATTGATTATGTAAACTTTCATATAACTCGATATTCTTGCGACTAGGAGCAGCAGTATCAATGTTTACTTGCTCTACGAGTCGTGACTAAAGTGACGTCTATAGAAATTGCGACATAATGTTTTACCAGACCAGATTAAATTGGTATCTTCAATAAATTATTTGACATTTCAGAATATCAGAAGCAATTCAATAGCAATAAAGCTCTTATTTAGAAAATACAAAATGGTGCGAAAAACCATAATTACGGTTGTTCTGGAAAAACGCCATGTGTTAAGTTAAGAGTAAGTCAAAAGTACATTCTCTGGTAATTTTTTTACTGCCAATTTCGCATACATACTTTAAATATTTATTAAATATTCGAAAAATTAATGTTAGGTGACATTTTTTGACAAATTTGAAATTATTAGAAGACCTCAAGGTTTAGGTACGATAAACCCATCTGCCACCGTAGAATTCACAAATGCAACTTTGATATATTTAGTACTTTTGAGTACTTTTATATTAGAAAGTAACCATAATACAAACTCAATCTATCCCATAAGTAAAACATTTTAGCTACAGCCGTAGAGCGTGTTTAGTAGTTTACAATATATGGAAAATTAGCTATTTTTTTGGTGCTCAAATTTGTCTGCTAAATCTTCTACTTTGGGGTTTTTACTTGGTACATCTAAAGGACAAGCAAGCGCCACTCTATACCATTGGTATTAGATAATATAGTGGCCCTACTACGGTAAAAATTGATGCGCCGCAGGCGGCATTGTTGTTTTCGTAGCGAAGGTAATGATTTTCTGCTCATGCTCTCTACATTTCACCCACTAACCTGTACTTTGCGCCATTTTCTTTCTAAACTATTTATGCATTTTTTTGAGAAAATACTGCCTTAAAATTGCCGCATCCAAACTTATTGAAAACCTGTCAGCAGCCATATTGGTTGTTCAATGCCGCGAGGTCATTGGTTAAAAATAAATAAATCTTGCGCATGCGCATCTTGAGTGAACCCCTGTCAATTTTTTTTCCATAGTTTCTTGGCCAGTATATCGCTAATACCTATATGCTCTAGAGAAATGATTACATGCGCATATGTACTTACCGAGGTTAATTTTGTTGCAGTTAGATCGATTTAAAGAGCCGCCAGCGTTTGGACCCATGTGCGATTTGCTCTGGTCGGATCCTCTAGAAGACTTCGGTAACGAAAACAACGCAGAACACTTTTCACACAATTCCGTACGAGGCTGCTCATATTTTTACAGGCGAGTGCTTTATCTGGTCGCCGTAGGTGGCGTTAAAATGACCACAATCTCTAATGTTGTTTTCAGTTATGCCGCCTGCTGCGACTTCCTTCAAAACAATAATCTTCTGTCAATAATTAGAGCGCACGAAGCACAAGACGCCGGGTAAGTGTTTCAATCAATGGGCCAGCTAATTCTTGTGATACTTATTTCTCCAGGTGTTGTATCGTCTATCAATAGTTTGTTTTATTATTTTGAAAAAGTTTGTGCCTGTAACATAATATCTAAGAGGAACCCGAAGTCGTCATGACTAGAAACCTGCGGCCAGCATAATGATTATGAATAGAGAACTTATTCCTGCGCTATTTGCTGCTGTTCCTGCTTGTTATCAATGAAATACAGGGGAATTGCAGTTCGGGGGATTTAATATTTCATTTGGTAAAATTTTATAACAAAATGTTTTTGTCTTTTTATTGACAGTTGTCAAAGATGTAACGGCATCAATATTGTAATACATTTGAAGGCTCTAATTGCACAGTTCTTCGATTTTTAAGTGGCGACCCGTTAAAATTTAAATATCGAAGAAAGCAGTGGAGCAGCTTCTAAACTTATCGAGAAATCCAAAAATGTTCGATTCATCGATTTTTTAGGCAAATCCAGGAACATCCTTTTTAATTTTATCTAAAAAAAAATATTAAACCTTCAAACGAACAGTAGTGTGTTATAATTTTACCTTTTAATTTTATCAATTGGATCGCTCCCTTTTTTCTGTTGTGGATAACCATGGTGCTTGTTACAGATATAGGATGTACAGGAAGAGTCAAACAACAGGGTTTCCGTCGTTAATAACAATATTCTCGGCACCTAACTATTTGGACGTGTATAATAATAAGGTACGATGTACTCTACTCGCAGAACTACGCGCAGGCGCAGAACCCTGTCTTCCTTTTCACCTTTTCTCGTTTCAACTTGGACGCAGTTCAAGTTGGTGATGTTTATTCGTGTTCTTAGCGTATTATTTTTTTAAAGGTGGAATGGAATAAGTAACAGACTTACAACAAAAATAAGCAATTTTATTTCTTACTGCGCAATAATGATTATTTGATATACTCATTCGAGATGCAACGGGACAACAGAATTTCAATTCACAATTCTGCGTCTACGCGTAGTCGAAATGCAAAATTTACTCTGGTAGTCTAAGACCCAGTGGCATTCAGTATCATAGCATATACGAAAACCAATCAGCAGCCAAACTTTCAACGCGCATTTTTTTAGCGCACACCGCCATCCAATGATACTACCGGTCATTACACATGGAAGCGGTCATAGGCGTGTAGTACGAAAATAGTGATCTCACTCATATGCATCCTTAATTGTGACTTTTAGTTATGTGGGTTGTGGTTTGGAGTATAATATATAGCGTGAATAATATGACTTTGTTTGTCCTAATAGATCTATTATAATAACAAAAGTCCTTTCTTCTTTCTAAAGGATTCCGAGAGCTTTTTCACAACAATTTCTAACATTTGACAAAGCTAATATTTTTTTTTTACAAATTAATAACGTTTATTTAAGCAAGAAAAAAGGCCTTAATTATTTTCAACGAGGCCCTGTGTTGTATAGCCTGAATGCCTTCTGGCGTCATTTCCATATATTTCAGTATTCCGAAGCCAGCTTTTGTTATGTTTTTGTACATACTGTGATAGTGTACAGGGGGATTTCAGAGGTGAATGTGTGTATACTAAATTGCCGCTCCACTTATATCACAATTACTACTCAAAACCACAACAAAAATAACAAATAAGTACTTCTTTAAAAATAAAGAATACGTTTTTTTTATAAAATCTCAATTTAAGACGAAACAAAATAATATTACAGTCCAACAGTCGAAACCCAACTGATTCTAAAGTGTACTAGTAGCAAAACTATTGTTTTTCAATAACACTTTTAAGCTTAAATAATATAGTTACAAAAAAATGGACAGGTCCTTGAGATAAATTAGTAGTATCAACAGCATGACAATCGAAGAGTACTCTGTAAAACACCATTTTATTAAACTAGATTGTTAAAAAAAAGTTTTTTTATTTTTACATCTGTTACTCACATCAGTGGTTCATCACTCATTACATAGTACAGCATATTTCACTATTTCTATAAAATTGAAGTTCCTGATATTTCTCGAAGTACTTTCAGAATCAGAAGTGTTTTGAACCCCAAAATTTGCTCTAATTGCGTAACACTACTGCTGTGATTCTACTAATTTCCTTTAGAATTTCTACTGATTACCACGACCGTGTACACTAAATTACCACAATGGAATGCCCATCTAATGGTATCCTTTGCATAAAATGCCTAGTCCTGCCTAATTGTTTTTCTCAATTTAGGCGGCAGTACTAAAATACGAGAACAACGTGATGAATATTCGCCAGTTCAACTACTCGCAGCATCCGTATTGGCTGCCGAATTTCATGGATGTGTTCACGTGGTCGCTGCCCTTCGTCGGCGAGAAGGTCACAGAAATGCTCGTCAACGTCCTAAACATATGTTCGGACGACGAGTTAGTGTCCGACGGAGACGATGCGCTAGAAGAAGGTGAGTACCGTTCGATAACCGACTTCGTATTCTTATTCCATATTCGTCAACGCGGTTGAATATTTCTCCGCTTTGTTCCGCGAGGCACCACGATCGGACCTCCTTTATGTGGGAGCGACATGAGTTACGAAGTATTCAACCGTCCCATTGGAAAACATCAACACACATCACTCTGACATTCCATTTACGTCGAAACCAAAGGCAGAAGAATCCGTAAACGGATAGAAAACATCGTGCGGATTCTTCTGGAATTTGGATCGACAGTTCCACTCACACAGTCGAGACATTTTTTATACACGCTTATTGGAAATTATTTGAAAACCGTATTTTCTGTTACTCTTTCTCAATGCTACTTGGAAAATTCAGACGGTAAGATTCAGTTTTCGATTTTTTTTACGAATCTGTATACATTATATTATCAGCGCTGCTTTGGAATTCTGTAGTTTGGATTATAGAATGCATAGTTCCGGATGTATTGGTTTTTGTTAGGTTATTAGGTTTCGTTCCCTTAAACGCTGATTTTTTTTTGGTTTTACGATAATATTTTCAGTGTTTGTTTTCGATATGTATTCGTTGAGGACCCGCAATATTGGTGCACTTCTGGCGCGGTGAAGGTTTTAAATCTATAATTCCAAGTCGCTAGTGAATTGGTGTGTTATTACGTTTGCGCCGTCCGAAACCTTCTCCACGCCGAATACAAAAAAAAAACCTCAGATATGCGACATTTTTTGGTTTCTTCGGCTAAATATCGATCCTTTGCCTGACGGTTTGCGAAAAAACAAACCAATATTGCCAAATATAACATTAAAGATATTTGCAAAGTTAACGCCGCGTTTCGAAATTTTTTTCTGTGTATTTGTTTTTGTGTTGTACAATCCCAAGTAGCATCTTGAATTTGTTGGATATGAACCAAATTTTGTTTTTTCTCTAAAAGCACCGCATATGACCTCTGGCACATGAAAGTTCTCACCCAAAATTTCATGCTGAATGGTTCGGGAGCGTAAGTAACTAGTTTCTATCCTAACGAAGTAGAATTGGCTGATCCCAAGGCAAACTGTGCTAAAAAAATGACCCTTAATACAGAAACTGCACCAAACACCATCTGGGCTCTTGTCAATATCTCCCTTGCAACCACTGTTTAGTTTTTTTCAAAGAAACAGCCTGTACTGCTCACAAGAGTCAGGCTTGGAATAAAAAATGGTCCAACCACAGATTAGAAAGTAATCGACTATCCAACTCTCCAAAATCCCGTGCAGGTTTAGAAAAATGTATTTTATATAATAATGATATTTGGGAGACGACCCCTTTATCACTTATATGATGTGAACCTGTCGAGACCTAAGTGATGTGGTGCAAATAACCCTGCTTCCTTCACTTACAAATCATTCCCTTTTTTTGAGTTACTGGAATTTTCTTAATGAACTTGTTGATTTTCCCTAAACAATAAGCCAAAACCGGATCGGAATGATGATTGTATCTGTCAAATTTCTTGCAATGCAGAATTGGAATAGTAACTTCTGTAAGGATACAATTTAAAACCAAATTTGAATGGCAATTCGCCTCAAGGGAGCAGCTGACAAAACGTTTATATAGTGACATGACCGTTGCTCCCGGACCACATAAGCGTTATTTCACACACGAAAAGATTTTGCACCTCGTATTTGCTTTATATTTTTTCTCCTATTCTGACACTTCTATTTTTCACTATTTGTCTATATTCGGCTTGGAATCGCGACCACACAGCGAAACAGGCTAAAATAGTTATAAAAAAACCTGGTAAGTTATCACGGAATATGCAGCTTGAACAGAGGAATTTCAATAACACTGCATTAACGCGATCATTTTTTTCCGAACGTGACGACGACGTAAGGCACTGGAACCGGATCGGCCATTTTCGTGCCAACGGTGCGAGCTGGATTTTTCTCTCGAAGTATCGCTTCCGAACAGTGCATTTAAAACAAAGTCGTATTACTTTTAATTGCAAATTTCATCATTTTTATTTTTTTTACCAAAACCAATTTGTTCTATCTTTTGAAATCTAGAGGCGCCGTTTGAAGCATCTTTTTTGAGTGCACTCTACTGGTAGCTTTTTGTCATGCATGGTGATGTTCATATTTTCTTTTCCATTGTTTTAGAACATTCTTTCAGGGTCGTTTTTATGTAAATTGCCTGTTCTAGGATGAACAGATTTAAATATACTTTGATAATATATGTCTCATACCTAAAAAATAAAAGCTATCGGTATATCTGGCTGGCACTGTTCGTCAAAATGGCATACTCGGGAAACCTCGCAAAACTTCGTCTCGGGTGTCATTTCGCAACAGAAAATCTAAATTTTTCAATCCTTCGTATGTTATACCCTTAGAGAAATTCGACATTCCATTTGGCAGATGTTTGGCTCTTGTTTTCCTTGAATTTGTTCACTGTTTAGATTTTTTTTTGTAGTTGGCATGATGCATATATTCGTATAGCTATTAGGTAGTATACCGTAAGTACCGTAAAATTGGTGTACCTCAGGGGGCTATGGCATTTGCGTATAGAATTGAATCGAATATCTTCCGCGCCGCCCTCAAATTTCCACCACTAACATGCACTTTGCGCCATTTTCTAAGCAGAGATCTCCGATTAAATCATTATTTTGGATTAATAAGATCTGGGCATATTTTGGTAAAGTACTGACGAAAAAATGCCACATAAACACCGAAAATTGTAAAATTGACGAACTGTCAGCAGTTATGTTGGTTGTTGAATGCCGCAAGGTCTTTGAGGTTTGAAATCACTCGCGCATGCGCATATTTTCTCAATGTTGGCTTTATCAGCATATGTAAGGCCTGTATATATCTAGTAGCTATATGCATATATTGTCGACTCTCCATATATACATTGTTTTAGCAATATTCTCGTCAAATACGATGTAAAATTTATTAAAGAACGATATATTTGGCATTATTACCACTTCCCGTAAAAGCAAAATCATAAACACACGTATAATATTATATTTAGTGCAGTCCGAGATTTTTCTTTCGTAAATATCCATTTATCCTTCATTTGGCTTTTTGTTTTTTTTTTTGGCGGATTTTTAACAAGCGTCTTGCTTAACTTTTGTGGTTACGCTTTTTGATATTATACAAATCATTTTGGCTGATTTTTAAGTGACGTTTGTTTTACGTGACAATTAGAAATACGATGAGATGAGTTGTGTTTCGTTTTTTTTTTTAATTTTCTGGTTTTATTTTGTTCTGAACGGTTTTAGTATGAAGATATTTTCCGCTACTTTAACGACAGCTTGGATTAATAACTATTATCTCATACTAAATCACGCCAGTTATAGCAGTTTATTTTCGTTTTAAATCGATTTTATCGCTACATATTTCTATATGCACCGTTTGTTTTATTTTTTTTCTATACTTCTGCGTTCGTCTCGTTTTGCGTGACTGACCATTTGCTGCCGATTCCTTCGTTCCATGGCGCGGTTCGTGGCACCCTTCACTTTCGGTAAGTTTGCCTCATTGTTGTTGAATTAGCAAAACCAACGATCAAAACTTTTACTAAGTTAATTCTCAAAATTCAGGCCGTTATTATCTTGCTGTAGAAATATTTAAATTGGATAGACAGAAGCGTATGTATGTATTCCAGGAGTTAATTTGATTGTTGGGCCTAGAAAAATGACGAAAGTAACAAAGAGAAGAGAAGGGAACGTAAAAATGTATTGTATATATTGTGTTATCCAACGTTTCCGTAACAAAAAAAAAAGATTTTTGTAGTGGCGTCATCCTTTGGCAATAGTCACGTCAACAGTTGTAAATTTGCAAAATAGCTTGTATTGCAAGTATTCCATACACATGCCAAAATTACTTCACGTAACATGATTCGTTGTCGCTGTTATTGTATCACGGCATGCGTTCTTTCCGCTTATATCTCCTGCGCGTGTTGCAAAATGATCACGTTCTGCAGCAGACGACCGACCCCTTTTATTTTCGGTCTTTGTTGACGCCGATAAATAAAACCCCATGTCGCAACAGTAATTTTGCAAATTGACCGTTTTAGGTGCAGCAGCCAATTTAAGGAAGGAGGTTATTCGCAATAAAATACGGGCGATTGGGAAAATGGCCAGGGTATTTTCTGTGTTGAGGTAAGTTTATCTGTTGTTCGTATATAGTACCTACAAAATGATTGGATTATTATTCGACGACGAAACAATTCTATTAACCGATATTGAAATCTGAAATCTATCAATATTCAAATTTCTATCGCGTTCTATCAGAAATACACGGAATCTCAGCGCAAATGTTAGATAGGGTTAAGTTCGTTATTTCTCGGCTGTGTTTCTCGAATAACCACTACAGAAGAATAATGGACATGTTTAATGCTTTCCAAATGGAAAATCCCTCTTCAAATATGACTCGGCTGTTTTATTCCTAACTTGGTCGTTTTGATATGTACAAAATCCATCCGTTTTGATGGCTCCGTGATGCGATTCGTAATATAATCTGGCACGGGAATTCTTCCAGGGAGGAAAGCGAATCTGTACTGCAGTTAAAGGGTCTGACGCCAACAGGGGCGTTGCCTCTCGGAGCGTTGTCGGGCGGAAAGACAAGCCTCAAAAACGGTGAGCGAGCCATATTTTTAAACCGAAAGATCGCATTCTTAACTCCCTGTCCACTAGCTTTGCAAGGATTCTCGCCGAATCACAAGATCACGAGTTTCGCGGAAGCGAAAGGCCTGGACGCCATTAACGAGCGTATGCCCCCGCGGAAAGACGCGCCCCCCACCCCCGCCGAAGAGACTACCCAACAAGTTCAGCAGCAGCAGCAGGACCACAACCATACGCAGTCCAACGCACACTCGTGAGCGAAGCTTGCGTAGGACATCACATTAGCCAACTGCAGGTCAGCTTATTATCAAAATATTTCAATTTAATTGGGTCACATGGTCAGCGATTTCGTTAACTTTAAGTACACAAGTACACGTTTTAAATCTCACAATACGGGCGCATCTAGCAGTAATTATAAAAAGTTCAATAGGATGGGTTGCTCTTCTTTCCGTTTTCTGGTTAGTTGCTGCAAATTACATGTTTCGTTTTTATTTAGACAATATTTCCGATTTCCAATTGGTTGTAATTATAGTGGCCTATTTGAATGTTTGTTTGCCAATAACACAAAATATTTACTGGATAAATAGACTTGCGATGCGAGCAATCCGATTGCTTGGAATTTTTCAGTAGTATCGTCCCCAATGGGACCCAACACTGTCAGCGGTCGTATCGTGATTACATCGAATGCAATATTTTCCGTACAGTTCGCAGTTAGCGCCAGCCTGTTAACGTTTTTTCTTCTTTTCAGAGATTTATGTGATGGTTCGGTCCATCAGTCGCAGTGGCTGTCACACCTACATCTTGCATCTTCAATAAGTATCAAACCTTTGTCGTTTGCGAGGTTCATTCAAAAGGACTTTGAAGGAAAGAAAGTAGCTGGTCTGCTTCTCTCTCTATTGCGTTAATTTGCGCGTCGTCTCGCTCTTACACACTGCTCTTTTTTGACATTTAAACAAATATTATTATCCTTTTTCTCGGCTCGTTTCGTTAACAGGATCCCCAGCTTGATTCTGGACTGAACTACATTCCATAGCTACTGGGTCGGTTATCTTTCTTATATACAAAATTTAGGTGTTCAGTTCTACACGACTGTCTGTGGTATATGTCATAATTGTTGCTTAATCGAACACTTATTAATAATATTACTCGGTTCCGGTGTAAACTTCACGACTCTGAGAATTTGGCACGCATTTTTTTTTCAAACTCTTTGTTAATATTACACCAAAATTGTAACAGTAATTTTCGCCACAAGTTAATCTTTTTTAAGCTGTTCGGTGTTGATAGGCCGTGTTATAAGCAACGTTGCCAATTTTGATTTGTTATTTAGTTCATAAATCGCCCGAGATCTTGTCAGTTTTATTAATTAGTAGCCTAATGGTTATCACGCTATGAATGACACTTATATTTTGGCATTAACTTCATGTTACTAAGTATGACCGAAGCTTCCATTAACATTAATTTAACGCTAACATTAAAATTAAGAAATGAACGGTTCAAATCCCCTTTTGCACAAAATAGCAAATAATCCATAAGTTGAGTTTGAAACATATGGAAATTATTGAAAAGTTAAAGCAAACTTTTTAATGTTAATATTAATGATTTAGTGAAGTTGAATGTCCATCTGTATTACTTTTTACTTAAATTGTATAATAATTAGTGTTAATGGATACCTAACTAACCAAAATATTATCATGGCCCATAGATGCGATCCTTTCTTTGCGTAAAAAAATGTAAGTGAAATTCGGTGGGTCGTGAACTTTACCGCGCCCAACTATATTCGGTCTAGCTGGTGTCGATCGAGTAACAGAAAACGTTGGAAATCATAAAACGGCTAAAATGATGCGCCGTCGATTATCTAAACTACGGCATAGTTGTAGTCGTTTTGTGTATCGCGACGTTAAATGTCGGTCAGCAGTGTGAAGCAGCGAGCTGGAACTGGCTGTACGCACGTATTAAGTGATATAAAGCGTGCCATATAGCTCCTCTGTCGCCACGAGTCGTTGTCGTGTTCATCTTCGCCCAGCCGTACCTACCTACTCGTTTTCATACTGTGTGTTAATTTAAAGATAGCTAAGGAAATTATTTAAGTCATGTGCAGAGTTAAAGAGAAGAAAACGTAATTGTGTAAACTAAATACATTTATCTCTCTATTAATATACATATACATATATATATATATATATACATTTAAAAAAAAGATCGATCTTTGATTAACACAAAACACACATCTTTGCTACGAGTTGTACTTATTATACTTGTTTTTTTTATTGTACAAATTGTGTTATATTACGTGGTTAACATTTAAAGAGATTCCTCTTTGTCTGAGGGAGACGTATTTTGTTTAACCGAATATGTATATAAATGTACAAAATATGTGTTAATAAGTGAATGTTAATCCACCCTTTAAAAAGAAAATAAAGAATCTCCAGCACCGTTGTTTAACCATAGGGATTTGTTAGCAAAATGGATTTACTAAACCTTTTTCTCAGACGTAGAGTGTGAATGGTTATGCGAGAGAGTGTTAAATTATGTTATCTTTGAATCTTACTCTGTAAATTTATTCTATATTATATACAAATTAATATAACGGTATAGTTAATTATTAAGTAATATCTCAACCAACTATCGGATTAACTTGGAAAATATATTAAATGAAATATTTATATCAATGGAAAAATTCATATGGCGTCCCTTAACTTTTATACGAATATTTAAATTATTACTTGTTTACAGTTTTCGACGCGTACCTTTTATGAACCACCAAGCCATCGTTTGTTATAGACTGATTTTTGTGCTTCAAACCCAACGCTTGGTAATTTTTGCGACACCGGGGTCCCCGTGTCTAAGGGTTATTCCAATAATATCACTTTCCGATCATCTAACGTCCCGTCATTTTGCTTTTGTTAACTATTTATTCTGAGATTATTAATCCCGATTTCTTTTAAAATATTTCTTTCGATGACAATCAGTCGTTTCTTACGAACAGTGTAGGTTATGGTGGACTTGCGATAATGATTAAGAAAAACCCTCGGACAAACCACTTAAAACTCAAGGCCCTTAAAACCAAAAGTTAATTGTAGTGATCTAATAAAGTACATTATATTTAAAGCGTTTGTATATATTTAAAAAAAAGTCTTCATATATATATTAGTAGCTCAATACGAAATGATTCCAGTTATTTTAAAAATCAAACGTTTTTCACGTATCCAAAACATTAAATACGTCTGAGCGGCAACCATTTCCTCTAGTCTTGCGAACGCAGGTAAACTTAGGGAGACTCGCTTCTTCGGTGGTGCGCGTCTGCAAAAAGATATTTGGACAGGGTTTTCTTGGGCTGAAGAGCTCATTTTATTAGCCGTCGCCACGTTTTTGGTAACGTTTTCCAAATGGATATACAGGGCGGTAAATTTTAACCGCATTCTTTAAATTAAAAAAATATATTTTTTCTATTCGAAATTCCGCTCAATAGGAAAGTTTAGAGAGAGAGAGATAGAGCACTTGGTGCTGCAAATGCAAAAGAAAATGTAATTTTACAAACTTTCCTAGGAACAGGAAAGATCCGTCAAACGTATTTTCGTTTTAGCTTAAAAATATTTATTTTTTTAATTCAAAGAATTAATTGAAACTGGGCTAATATAATTACGAATTTTTGAAAACAAACAAAATCGGAAAATCGTCCGAATTATTTTTTCACTTGAGTAAAATAAATAGATTTTGTAGAACTAAATTAATGTAAATTAAAGTTTTTAAAACACTTGTACAGAAACGTAACACAACAGTGTACGAAATGAAGATGACATCTTGCTCCAAATATCTAGCAGAAATTTACCAATTTACGAATCGAGTGTCCAGCAGTGTACCTTTAGAGGAAACGTCACTGTCACGAGCGCGTATCGCAATATTATTCGATGAAAAGTCAAAAGTGTCTTAATTGAAAGAGGCCAAGTTTCAATGTTATACAAAAGCCGCGATTTATTTCAATTTGATAGAGAGGGTATTAAAGTTTAGGGAATCATTCAAAAATATTTTCGAATTGCATTTTCAAATTTGTTTCGTGATCGTTTAGAAACATGGACGATTACATAACACGTACCGTATGTTTAGGGCTTCTGTTATAACCGTTCAACGGAAATAAAGCCGGGTTTATACAACATTTCGATAACTCGAACATTAATTTATTCACCAATAGGTACAGATGAAAGTAGAACGGTCGTTTTTTAAACGTTTCATCGTAATTAGTCCATAGTGTTTTGATTTTGTGTACTTTATTTTCAATAATAGGAAAATTAGAATATTAAAAAAAGCACACCGAAACAAACAGATGTTCCTAAGATTTCGGTTTTGCTTAGTTTTTTGTTGTTGAAATATTGATTCAGGTAGCGAATTAAAATATTTCAAACAAATAAAAACCAAACAGAAATCTTAATTGTCAAGCGTATAATTCACAAATCTAGTGCAGTCAGACTATCCCAGCTGTGCATAATTTTAGTCCTGAAAGTTCAACTTCAAATTCGTCTATAAAATTACGCTTACCATTACGATTGTCTGAACAGTTGCGTAGGGAATCCTCGTGATTATATATAACATTGTGATAAAAGTTATAAAAAACATATAAACCCGGCTTGATTCGTGTTTTCAACTCGCCAGTTTTGTCATTTTCTCCGAGGTGTAAAAGTACGGGCTTTGCCTTATATCAAAATATAAATTACTATTCGTTGCTGTTAAACCGTTTGTGGATGTCGAACATTCTCCGTGAAGAACCTATACTTGGGCCTTTCCAGGTGATAAGTAACCGATTATTTGTGATAGCTAACCCTAATTTCGAGTAGCTTTTGTATTAAATATCTGATATTATCGAACGAATTGCCGAATTCGGCGTCCCGCCGTAATTAATATCGGAATGTAATACACGTTTGTTGGGAAAATGAACTTTAAAGTTTGTATAAATATAAAACTATCTATATGCCTTTATACTTCCTACTTATTATTAAATTTATGGTAACGCACTGAAGTATTGGGATGTTAGACTTTTAATACTTTAGTACTATCACTGTGCCACTTTTGATGGCCGTTTTAAGATTAATCTCCGTGCCGGAAATCCGGACAGGCCATTTACCAATGGAAAATCGTAGGCGGCTGGATATGGACGCGGAGGAGGTCGCATTCCGAATTTCCGGTACCGTTTAGAGTTAGCTGAATGTTTTTAAATAATTGAATATACATTATATACATATTATAAAACGCGTTGATATAATTCATATCAATCGAAATGTGCAATTTACAATGGAAAATCTTCTAAAAAATTATGCATGTTACATTTGACAGTTGTTTATATCTGTGATCCCTTGAGTTTTGATAACTTTGCTCTGTCAATGCTTTCGTTTTGCAATTCGTTCAGGCGTTTACGGTACGATATATATATAAGATTTTCTCTTTTTAAATTAAAAATCCGTTCTTTCTAACGTTTTTGTGTTCTTGTCGAGATATATTTACCATTAATAAAAAAAAGGAACTATTTCTTGTGTATGTGTCACAAATATGCTTTTTCTTTTCGATATTTTCAATAAAGGTTAAGTCTGGTTAATCTGACGCTGTAGTTTTCTTTTAAACGGTGCGTCGAGGATTTCGAAAGCTTTCTTCCAGGAGCCGTTAGTGACATTTTCGGACAGGATGTAAATATGGGACACTAACCTGCATTTTGCACTTATCACTTTCTTTTGGCATACATATTTCAAGAAAATACTGCCAAAAAAATTCCACTGAACAAAACTCGGAATTCATGAACTGCCGGCGGCCATTTGAACGTTGCCAGATCGTATTGGTTAAAAACACGAGGTTTGTCACGACTCGCGCACGTCCATATTGAACATTTTTTTACGTTAATTTTTCAAAGAAACTTCCACAGGCTACTGTAATACTTTTTACAAAGCTTCTGGATTCCTCAGTCAAGCTCTGAAGAATCCAACAGGATGATTGGCAAAACGTCAGCAATTTCGACTCAGCAAAAACCGACGCAGGAGGAGAATCCAGAAGCTTTATAAAAAGTATTTTTTTACGTTGCTTTTAAAAGATATATAGCTTAAAACAACAGCTAACATCACTAGGCATTATTATTCGAATAAAATTTATTAAACTGAATCCAGCATCATGATGTTTTGGTCGCATAGACCTTTCGTTTAGTAGATCTGTGTTTGACGATCCGAGATAAATGAGATTTGAGAACAGTTTTCAACCAGAGTGGGTACTTACTAAATTGAAACGGTAATTAACGGTTGACCATTCAAATTGTTTCATATCAACATAGGTAATGTAATGCACATCTTGTAGCTGTATGTGTGGAACCAGTTTTTAAAGCGTGTTCATGGCATTTCCATGACTACATCATCTGTAATGATAGAACATCACCTCTATATCTCTGAACAATCACGAATATAACACGGTGACATTAGTTCTCGTTTGTTTTTTTTTCCAACATTCGTGGTGTGCCCAAATATCTATTGGATAATATAATAGCCCTACTAAGCTGAAATATCGTCACAAAATATTGCGCATGCGCATGTTGAATAAATTTCTCTTTTTTTTCATAATTATTTCATAAGTTCCTGTATTATCAGCATAGGCAGGGCCAGTATATCGTTAATGCTCTAGAGAAATAATTACACGTGCATATGTACTTACTGAGCGTTTTTGGTTAATTCTTTTCTTTTCTAAACTGCGTTTTCCACAGAACATTTAATGAGATCTAGCCATATTTTCCTTCTCTAACCTTTTTTCATAGTTGATTAGTAAGTTCTTGTATTATCGGTATAGGCAGGGCCTCCTATATTTCTGATAGCTATAAGGGTGTGTCCATAAAAAATTAGGCCTACTATATATTTGCATAGTGAAATCACAAGAAAAACAAATCAACTACTAATGAAATAAAATTTCTTTGCAAGTTTGGAAAATATTTACAGCCATGGGTTTTAAGTTGCTGTTTATAAAAAATATATCTTTACTTACTTAAAATATTTATATCTAATTTCGGATCATCCTGTATATATATCCGAACTCTGTAGTTTTGCAATTTCTTCCACAAAATGCTCTTATTTTAATGACTGCTGTTCCTGGCATATTTTAAGTAAATCTCAAAAAAAAAAAAACTATTTTACTTATAATTGTATATTACTTATTAATACACATAATCTAATATATTGAAATTGTAAACTTCCTAATGGAAAATATGTAAATTAAAAACACTAAAGCCATACACTGGATAAAAGTTCGATTAACCAATTTTGAGATGAAGTGCTTCCCGCATTCAATATACATACAGTCGTAAATACATAGAGTGTTTTTAAATAAGTGTCCGAGTGTTTGAGATCTGGGGCTCCAAAATTTATTTTTGTTTTTGCTAATTCTGGATAGTTGATACTAGTCACCTAAAAGTTATTAAACGTGAAATTCGCCATATTGGACACTTATTAGAAAAACAGATTGTACATTAGAAACAAAAATAGTCCAAAGCAAGTCACCAAAAATATAAAAAACGCTATGCGCACACAAGGTGCAAAGTTAAAAAAATATGAAAATACTACCAAAAGATTAGGTATCAACAATTGCTGAAAAATGTACAGCAACCACGTTTACCAATTACTGCTTACGCGCCTTCTTACTTCTGGGCCCAGCCCCATTTTTGGCTATTGCCTTTTTTACGGACGCGGGAGCGGGCTTTGAGGCGGCCGCCGCTTTCCTGACCGGCGATTTCTTTGGTTCTATTTTCACTTCCACTTTCTCCGGCTCCGGTTCCGGCTCTACGTTGACGTCCACCGTCTCCTGTTCTTGCTCACTCAATTCCTGCGTCGGCTCCACTTTACCTTTGACGTCTTCAGGCTCCTGTTCTTCCTGGGATGATTCCAAATTTTCCAAAACGCTTTCTTCCTCTTGGCTGGCTTCGTTCATCGACGCATCCTCTTCGTTGGTGACTTCCTCAGGATCATACATGTCCTGGTCCCCTCCTCCTTCTTCACCTTGTTGATCAGAAGATTTTCCTTTAGGTTTTAGGTAAGATAAAGTCATATTTAAGATAAACCCATATTACGCGTACCTTCATCGACTTCTCCGTTTTGCGACTCTTCCTCCAACTCCTTCTCCTTCTTGGCCTTCTCTTCGCGCTCCCTCCTCTCTTTCTTCTCCTTGCGATGATATTTCTCTTTGACTGCTTCAATGAATTTAAAGTAGTGACGGTTAGTTTTCAAATGATCCTGAAAAACACAACGTTGGGTGTTACCGCCTCAATCCAAAAATTGCCTACAATTGGTTACTACCTGAGCGTCCTTTTCATCTGCGAAGCTCCTGTTACAAAGTTCGCACATAAAGCCGGAAAACGGTTTCAAACTTTTTGTGGATACCGGTCGGTCTTTCTTATACGCCGGCAGAAGATTCTGCATCCCATCTAAATTGTCGTCCAGCTCGAGAATCGGATTTTCTACCTCCATTTGGAGCGGCTCCTCCAAGATTGGTTCTAAGTCGACGTCGTCGTTTTCGTTCTCCATTACCTCCATGCCATCTACAGAAAATCCACGTTAGTTGGACACGAACTTGATTTCCCTTTTTTTCAATACTTACTAGCCCCGCCAATCTTTCCCTCTGTAAGCTCATGGATGTTAAGAAGATGCTCCGGTGTTAAACGATGTTCAACCCATTCCATTCTCGAAGGAAACTCTTTATCACACAGGCGGCAATTAGGGTGCAAGTATCTCTTGAGACGCTGATGGCCGTCGGTGCGGCGATGGGAAACAATTTTTCCCATAAATTTCAAGTCGCACATGTTGCAGTGGCTCTCAGGTTCGTGAAAGTTCTTTCCAAACTTTTTCAAACGTTGCATACGATTGAGCTCTATCATTTTTCTTTCCTCTGTAAGCCTCATATTTTCGCGCAAAATATTGACAGTTATATGAATACTCTCTTCGAGGCTCTTCATCATCTGCCGATGAGCCCTACCTCTGACGTGTTTTCCCATCGATTCCCCATCCCACATTTGCTTATTACAAACGAAGCAACTTAAATATTTTTGCGGCACTCCCACATATCTTCCCTCTTTCCCTTCCTTGTTATCCTTTTCTTCTTCGTCTCCGCTTTCTTCCTTGAGGTCCGCCTGATTTTTTTCATCCTTCCAGTCTCGTTTCTTTTCATTGTCCTTCTCTTCGTCTATGGACAAATCAATGGTAGTATCCGCGCTATCATCTTTTTTAACTTTGACATCTTTTTTGTCATCTTTCTTCTCATCCTTTTTTTTTATATCCTTTGGTTTGTTATCTTTCTGGTTTTTATTATTGGGGCGGCCTTTGTAGTCGTTACGCCAACCACCACGGTTCTGTTAATATTTAAACTACTGTTGTAATGATTTAATATAGTTTCACTCTAAATTTTTTTAAAATTAAATAACTAACACTAAGTTTTTTAAAGGCAAATACATGTTTCAAATTTTGTTTTTGTAAATATATATAAATATATTGACATATGGTACAGTCAATATTATCTGACTGATCTTCCAGGGTATTGTATACAAAAGGACAAATAGACCAAAAATGAAAAATACAGAAAAAGTTAATCTTTTGAAGAGTACAAAAATAAGGTTCGCAATGCCAGTCGTATGTTTATTGTACAGGGTACAAAAAAAAAATACAAAAATATAAAATTTGCGAAAGGGTGAAGTGAACTTTTTTTCAGCTTAAACAAGAAATTTTGAATATAAATGTAGCTTTAAATTGTAAAATATATCCACATTACAGATTTTCAAAAAAAAAAAAAAAATAATAACGAAAAATATTTTCCATATTTAAAATTGAAATAAAAAAGAATACGTAGACATAATTATTTTTAGATTCTACCCATTTTTCTAATCGAATAATTGAATTTCTAATCGAAATTTCCTAAAACTGCCCATTTCTTCCAGCAAAACGGCTTCTACTATTTCCAAAATTCTCTCCATCAAAACTTCTTTGTTATTTTTAATGAGTCTTCGCTATGTCATTTATTTAAGACAGGAATTAAATTTTTGACTCAAGTCATTGTTGGCAAATTGTACTCTCTCTCTCTCTCTCTCTCTCTCTCTCTCTCTCTCTCTCTCTCTCTCTCTCTCTCTCTCTCTCACATGAAGAAATTTTCAAATACTATAAAAACATATTTGCATATTCTACACAAGTAAATGCAGAAAGCTAACAGCAACATTGGACCACAGTCACACATTTTGAGGCAAACATTTGCTCTTTTAAAGTATTGAAGTAGTTAGTCGGGATTTTAATTATTCCACCATGTCACATGCTCAGAAGCCACTGTGCCGTTTGTGCTAAAGGTTGACTTCTCTGAGAAAGTTCACATTATTTAGATTTTTATTGTCCATTCGCATACAGCAAGCCAAACGCCTGGCACTATCCCGATCTTGTAACTTGATTGTCTTAAGGAGAGCACAGGTTTTTCATTAGCGAATTGCAAAATTAATAGGGTTGAAGGATCATTTCCGTCATATCTTTTCTGTCTTCTTTACATTTTTTTATAATTCATTAACTAACACACTGTAATGGAATATTTGGATACTTCTCTTTAAACGTTTCATAAACGTAGAGATAAAAATTTTTCACCCTCTGTTGTAAAATCAACAATTCTCTCATATTGACAAATACAATACAACAGTGCAATCATTTTTCTTAAAAATCTATAATATATAGTGAAATTTAAAACATTTGTATTTAACAATTTGTGTTTAAGCTCTAAAAAAGGCCACTTTACCCTTTAGCAAATTTTGTTTTTTTTTTTTTCGTACCTTGTACAAAAAAACAAATGTTGAATCTAATTTTTGAAACAAGCAAAAACTTTTATAAAGAATTACTTTTTTCGGTAGCTTTCACTTTTTAGTCTAATTGTTCCCTTGTCTACTTCATCTCTGGACATACTTAATACCTTTCATTATAATGAAAACAACACTCAGGATTTAACTTTTACTTTACAAAATTGCCCAACACCAAAGCACATTTACTTACCTGATACCAAATTAGAAATATACAAAATAAAACACGTAAATATTTTGATTCTGAAGTACCTAACTGATAAGATGGTTATATATTTAGTTTTTATTTTAGCACTGTAAACCTACATAGGTATTTAGCCTTACACAAGCTTCATCCAGGAAATTAGGAAGATTTGTTTTTCAAAAGAGAAACTACGCAACTAAATTATTAGATATATTCTTTACTAAAAATGAAAGAATAAGGGATTTTCTGCCTAATAGTGGTAATGAATATCTAACTAATTGCATATTGCCATCATTTTATAGTATGGTGTCACCAGCAAAATAGGAATGGCCAAAAAATAATTGGATACAGATTTTATGCTGGATTTCCTACATAAAAAACCACCACAATATTAATCCCTTCTAATATATTTAGAATATCTAATCTTACGATAGAGAGGGAAAACATTGCGCCACGAAAATAAGGTTATAAAAGTGCAGATTTAGACATTTGAAATAAAGAACACAAAACAGGTAAAAATAAATAGAAAATCAATAAGTAGTGTTAACTCATCAGAACTTTTCACGGAATCCAGGGTAATAGAGAAATATGTTAAATGTTCATACCTTATTATAAGGCTCGTGTCGCCTGATATCACGGCCTCGGTTACCAAATCGACCGAAATCTCGATTTTGGGAAAATGCAGATGTATTCAAAGAAAGTAATGACGGTGGATTGTTCATCTGCTGCTGCTGAGGCTGGAGTAAACTAGTTAAAGCTAGAGCTAGTTGCGGGTTTGATGTTAATTGGGAAAGTAATCCGCCTTGATTCATATTATTGGAATTCCCTTGCCAGGGACTTACACCGCCTTGGAAGGGTTGCTGAGAAAAAGAGCGATTGCCTCTAGGGCCGCCCATTCCACCCATTCTTCGATTCGACATTATTTCAACTAAATACAGGAAGAAAGATAATTAATTCGATTTATAATGGAAAAAATATGGACGACTAACGCTGACAAAAGACGGACTCCATATTGCTACTTCTGTAGTTACGAATGGGCTCTCAAGAGCAAGTATGTAATTTAGAGTTTACTTACCTCCTCTGTGAAATTATTAGCAAAAATACAAAAATGCTTATTTCCCGGAAAATTATATCTATAACTATAACCCGGTATCAAACAAAATGTCTGCGATAACAACTCAATTCAACATGAACGCCAACTTGTACGGCTAACTTCTTTACCACAGTGGGGTGGGGGCAAATATCACCAACATCCGTAAGGGTTGCCAACAAAATCTATTGTTCTTCTTTTTATTTGTAGCCATATTCTAAATTCTGTTCTAAGAAAAGAAGAGTTCGTGTGCACTCGTTATTGAGTGTTCTATGGGTAGTCGTGCCCAACAGCTATCTGTGAAACGCATCATTGAATTGAAATTGAATTGAGTGTTCTATGGTTGTCATCTGTTCCTGCGTATATTTTTGTCTTGCATTTGCTAAAGAAATAAAAATTATTAAAAATGTCTGATTGGGATACCGTTACTATATTGAAAAAAAGGGCACCTAAAGCGTCTGATATGAAAAGTGAACAGGCAGTGAACGCTGCAAGACGACAGGGAATTGCAGTTGATACACAATTGAAATGTGAGTTCAATGGTTTCCAAAACAATTCATTGCGCGTTATGAACGATTCTTTTTAGGGGGTGCTGGGAGTAATAAACAACATGTTGCCACCAAAAATACGGCAAAATTGGATAGGGAACATGAGGAACTAAAACACGAGTCAATTTCATTGGATGTTGGTCGTTTGATACAGCAGGCCCGGCAAGGAAAAGGCATGAGTCAAAAAGAGCTGGCCACGAAAATTAACGAGAAGCCGCAGATAATCACCGATTATGAAGCAGGAAAGGGGATTCCTAACAATATTATATTGGGAAAAATTGAAAGGGCCCTTGGTATCAAGTTGAGGGGAAAAGATAAGGGAAAACCAATGCAGCCCCCTGGGAGCAAAAAGTAGATCCTGGGGGGATCTTTTCGTTCATGAGAGCAAAACATTTTTGTCAGTTATTTCCAAAGGGTGGAGTTTCAATTCAATTGGTTCTACCCTTTTAAATGTATTTTCATTTTTTTAACATTAAAGCGTTTGTTAAAAAGAAACTGATATTTGTGGTTTAATATATCATAACACTGGCCACTAGAAAATGAATTGTCTTGCTTATTTATCCACCTTATCCTTTAAAAATTGGAAGAATTTTTTTCGGTAGAAAAACAGGAAAGGCATGCCCAAAAAAATTTTTATTTCAGATAATTTTTACAAATCCCTGTTTTGATAAAAATTTAATCCTTTCTCAATTCAAACCTCTCTTCTTTAATACCTTCTTTTGTAATAATATTAATTAAAATACTATCGCCAGTATAAATGTCTCGTTCAGCTGCTGATATAAAAACATCCTTTATAACATTTAGAGCCCTTTCCTGGGTTACCGCTGTGGGCTTGACATTTTCCATATTTTTTTGTCCAATTTGATTATCCAAAAGGGGTTGTAACAGCGCGCCAGCAGATCCACCAGCCCTATATGTAGTTTTCTCACAGTGTCCAACAGGATCATAGCTATAAACACATCCTTTTCCTTCGTTATCCAGCCCGACCAAAACATTGGATATATAGTATGGGAAAAATCTCTTATAGTAAAGCATAGTAGAAAGCATTTGGGCGCAAGCAACGGTAGACATCGTTTTGTTATGCTCTTGTTGATACATCTGCATGCGAGATTTTAAAATTCTGGTGAGAGTGAGTGTATCACACCAACATCCTGAACATCCCAAAACTGTAGTGTTAGACAATTGGAAAAGTTTATTCTGCTCTCGAGTATAGATGGAAAATCCAGCACTAAGACGAGTATCTGCCCCAATTATGACAAAGTCATCGCCGGCAATAGCAACCACACTCCTAAACGAAAAAAAAAAATAAAAACATATTTCCTAAAAAAGTTAAAACTCACCCTCCATTGTCGGAATATGGGTTGAACTGATGTTGAATTGGAGCGGTCGAATAGTCAGGATAATAGGTGCTTTCCAACATTTTTTGAAATAATTAACACCAACACAATACATCCAGCAATGACAAACAACTATTTAGCATAGTCAAAATGTGTAATTTATTTTGGTAGTTGCGAAGATAAAAAGTGGTTTTTCATCTTCTTCACCTTTGGCGCAATTTGCTAGGATCAATCGGCCAAAAAAAGGCAGATTTTTGGAAAATCGAACAGAAAATGAGTATGCCGAAATATGGTCTGTACTTTTCTCCATTTTATGTTATTATGGTCAGTCAGTAATCAACACAGTGTGATATAGTATTGTATAATTCTTAGTTACAGTGGATAACATTCTAATATTTATATTTGTATTTAATTTTGATTGTTATGGGTAAAGTGAGAAGACTTAGAAGAAAATCCAACATTTCATCTAGATCTGGATCGAATCCGGAAAATTGGCATTCAGTTTCCACTGATCAAGGTTCATTAAAATTAACTTTATCCCAGCCATTTCAAAATGCCTTTGATGTAGGCTTAGAAAATATAAACAACAATAAGTCAAGTAACGACGTTCACAGTGTAAAATTATTTAAATTGATAACAACAGAGAGTTCTAGGAAGTCAATATTACCCAAAAGACAAAAATTGAAGCTGCGGCGGCAAATGTTATTAAAAAAAATCGACAACTTTAAGCAAGTGAAGAAACAAGCAAATTTAAGAAAGAAGAAAAATAATGTTATTCTTGGTGATTTAAATTCGCTTCATGATGCTTTACCTGCTTTAGAACCTTTATTAAAGGATAATAGAAAGTATACTGCTCATAGAGCACGAAAGCAGAGAGCTGTGAAAAAGGCAAAACACAGACAGACAGAGTTGATAAGAGGGGTCAAATTATTTAAGCAGATCTTGGGCAATGAAGTTTTCCAGAAAAATCCTTTGGGGACAATTAGTCAGCACATTCAAGTAATGGTGAAGAAAGAACGAGAAATGGTCAAAAATTAAGCATAGTGATAATTAATATATTCTTTTGTGAGTATTCTCTGGTAATTATTTTTAGACACCCTTTCTTAGTATATGATACGAAATGATTTGTTGTGTTGGTTGGGGAAGCGCAAGAAAGGTACTGTAAAGGATATTTTTATTTGTAGAATATCTAAAACACATAATCAGAAAATGAACTCTCAAACAATTTTCTTGAAGTATCAATTTCCTGTAAACAAAATTATGATTCAACGATATTCGGTATATTTTTTACATTTTAAATTATATACACAATCCTAGCACTTAAATTAAGGGGCAGTCAGTAACTCTTCTTGTATACTGTGTGATCTGAAAATTGCTTTCCCCCCCAACTGACTTGTGGATGCTCGGGCCAACGCCTCCCTTTCCGAATGATACTCTTCTGAATATTCCTACAACAAATTGGATATATTAAGCAGTTTACCTAACTGTTTCATCTTCACCATTACCTTGATCCGGTGTCCTAGGAAGATCGCCCTTTCGCGTTTTTTAATCATATAGTCTGTCGGCAAAAGCCATCGGTTTTCGTGACACTCCTCGGGCGTTGGTCGTTTACTGCAACACCCACATTTTCACCGCAAACACCACCACGCCATCAGTACTTACTTTGGTTGTCGTTTGAATAGCAGCATCAGGAATCTGGTCGCCTCCTGCGTTATCTCCTGATAAAGGTTCTCGAATCTGTAACGTACAAACAGGATGTTCTGCCTCGTTTCGTTCTCGTCTTGTCCGCGGAACGGTACCGTTCCTGACAACATGACGTAAGTCAGTACCCCCACGCCCCATATATCGGTCTGCGGGAACGCCGGTTCTTCAGCCAGTACCTCGGGCGCTGCAAAACTTTTCATTTAACGGGAAACAACGCAAAACCCCGTCTACGCTGATACAGTCACTTGTACAGTCGCCCCAGAATCATCACGAAGTCATAAAATCATGACAATTTAACACTCCTGCTAATTAATGCCCGTCGTAAAACAATTTAAGTTGTCGGTGCCAGGCTTCGAAACAAAATCGACTTACCTTGTTGCTACATTGCAGAAAAGTAACACGCATTCTATGGAGACGCAATTTTTTCATTACCAAGAAAACCGAACATTTGAAAATTATTAGAGATAATTATTAAAAATAAATAGGTGGGTGGCTCGGGCCTGCGTTTTTATTATTCTGTAATGATGGGGTTACTGTATTCTATTGGTGAATGTAACAGTGAAATATTGTAATACCGTGAAAGTTACATATAGCTATTAGATAATACTAAAGTAAATACTAAAAGAGCGAAATTTTTCCCTTGAAATTTAATGGGATCAGGGCACATTTACACAAAATACTAACCGTATGGTATACTGTAGAACTGAAAACTACTTTGACTTTGACTAGAAAGAGTAATTCAATTCAATGCAAAAAAAGTACTTGGTCAATATGAATGTACGAAAAACCAGAAATTTCCAAGGAAATTATTTAATCATAGTTTTTGCCTATGATTTTAATATCTTTGGACGATTTTAATTTTATTGAAATTCGTTCGAAATTTAAGTTTCACTTTACCCATTTTTCAAAACTAATTTGCCATCAAATTTATTGAACAAACCCACCTGGTTCGTTGTAAAGTATCTCCTATTGCTCAATGGCGCATAAGTTATTGGACATTGAGTATATCTCGTAGCTATATGGCTTAATAATTAGCAAATATATCATGCACACCGTGTGCCAAATAAAACGATCCACTATGCGATCTGGAAACCCATAGGAGATTTGAAAAAAAGGTTTCGTACAAAAGTTTCTTGGACTCTTCTGAAGATTTAAAATGTTATAATTTTGTTGATACAGAGTGTCCCAAAGGTGTCCCCCGGCATCAACTTTGTAATTTTAAATGGAAAACCCTATGTAGTTCAACATTTTAGGAATCCTTAAATTAAAGGTCACTTTCTTAAGAAATTCCTATTCAAACTTTGTATAGTTTAGGCAGAAATTGAGGTTATGTTTTTTTTTTTTCATATTTTGATTGCCCCATATAAAATGATGTTGTGACGCTACTGATCCAGTTATTGCAACGAAAATTCAACCACAGACTAAGGAGATGATGCACTGTTCAATCTGTTTGACGGATGCGCCTCAGCTTATTCAATTAACAAGATTTTCAAATGGAACACACTATATTTTTATTCAGATATCAATTCTAGGACAAAAAATAAGGTAAGTTTGTAATTTATCTTATACTTAAATTTTACTCACTTTTTGAGATATTCGAGGTTTCAGGTAACACCCGTATAAATTCCTGTTGAATTTAAAGCAGCGCACATTAGGTCACTTGTTAGCAATATTAGGCATTATTTAAATAACAAAGACACGATACTACTTTTATTAAGCAAATAATACTCCAGATTATACGAATAAAACATATTGCTAACAATACAGGGTGCCCGTTAATACGTGGAAATTTTGAAAAAAAAAAAACTCTATAGTACACTTTAACAGATTTAATAAATCTTTAGAGTTCATATTTAAAGAAACATTGAATAGTTAATTATCGAGCTTGATTGAAAACACCTAATAACAAAAGTACATATTTAAAGTTTATAGGCTAACTAAACAAGGTAAGAAATTTGAATAAATAAATTTACAAAACAAAAAGTGAACCAAAAAGACTTCGTTAATTCGATCCATATAGTTTAGTTAAAAATTATCCCCTTAAAATGGTCGTTTCATCTGGCATCAAAACATCATAGAAATATCAAAATATTTAAAAATGTAGCTGGCTATGACACCACAATCTTTTTTTTTTTTTTGACGCATTAAGGTATAAACATACTTTGACATTTCTGTTTGTTTTTGTTGTTTTTCATATTTCTATTTAAAAAGTATGGAGTATTATATCTTTAACAGAAGTAGTATCATATCTTTGCTATTAAAAAAATTCCTAATATTGATAACAAGTGATCTAATGCTGGCAGGTTATCTTAAACCTCGAATATCTCAAAAAGTAAATAAAATTTAAATATAAATTACAAACTTACATTATTTGCTGTCCTAGAATTGATATCTGAATAAAAATATAGTGTGTTCCATTTGAAAATCTTGAGATTTTGTTAATTGAATTCGCCAAAACGGCACCACCTATTTGGGATAAGCTGAGGCGCATCTGTCAAACTGATTGAGTAGTGCATCACCTCCTTAGTGTGTTGTTAAATTTTAGATGCAATACCTTTATCATTAGCGTCACAACACAATTTTATATAGCCCAATCAAAATATGAAAACTAACCAAAACATAACCTCAATTTCTGACTAAACTATGCGAAATTTTAATAGGAATTTCTTAAGAAAGTGACCTTTATTTTAACCAAGGATTTCAAAAATGACGATATATTAATTTACAATAACAAAGTTGATGTAGCAGGGGACACACCCTATATCAACGAAATTATAACATTTTAAATCTTTAGCAGAGTCCAAGAAGCTTTTGCACTAAACTTTTTTTCGTATCTCCTATGAGTTTCCAGATCGTATAGTGGATCGTTTTATTTGGCACACATTAAACGAGATTTATAAAAACCTACAGATGTAATCGCTGTGTCCGACGACCGGCACTTTGGTTCCCAGTTTAGTGACCCTATGTGCGGACCCGAGGTCTACAAGTTTCACTTGCACCGATCTTACTCCCGCCATCACCACGTTGTCAGGTTGCAAGTCCAGGTGACACAGTCCTCTCCATTGCAGGTATTGCAAACCGTCCAAGATCTAACCAGGGCGAATTAATAGAGTGCGGTACTGCCCAAAATATGGAGAACCAACCTGACTGACTATCGAAGCCACCGTCTGCTCGCTGTATTCGTGTTTGCTTGCTAAATAAGTCAACACGTCGGCGCCTTGCAACTTTTCCAATATAAACACCGCCTTGTCGCCAGAATGGTACGCCCCCAAAAGACCGGCGATCCTTTCGTGACGTAACGATCGCAACGCGGCGAACTCGCCCTCCACCTCATCCTTTTGCTTCTGGTCGGACATGTCCAACACTTTGGCCACCACCACTGCGTCGTCCTTTTTATCGACCGCTTTTAATACGGTACTGAATCTTCCTCTCGCTATTTCCGAAATAAAGCTGTAATGGTCTTGAATACTGGAATGTTCCCATACTATAGGCTCGCTTTCGATTTTGTAGTTGTTCTTGAACGGCTTCTCCTCCTCGATTTCTTTCCCGCTGTCGGTTATCGCTTGCAGGTGTGCCATCGCATTACTTAGCTGGACTTTTGGCGACCCTGTTAGAGAAAATATACGTCAAAATGAAAAGTTTCCTCGTAGAGTCCTCTAACCTCTAACCTCCGCTAGTTCTATAACTTTACCTATCTATCGGATATGGGCTATTCAGCAAAGCGACCAACAAACAATGTTGTTAAAAAAGACCATTGGAAGCAGTAAAAATAAAATATTGCTTATTGTCGTTCCTTTTAATACATCTATATCACTATATCAATAATCATGTAATCATGTAATTATTAAGTTTTACAATACCCTTATGGGATTGTTCCACTTTGTGAATATGTATGACAGTATTTGCCAACACTGTGGAGGATCTTTAAAACTTCGTTCTACATAGGTTTTAGTAAACTCGATTTTATAGTTGCTTGTAAAATAGTAACAGAATTATCACGTGTTGTCAGGTTACGCTTAACCTTTGCTTTTATTTGTAAAGCCCGATTTTCTTGTAAATATCTCAGACCTAATTGTTATTGTAATAATGTAAATTAAACCTTAGGCACTTCCATACACCTTTGATTTTTTTTTTATCCATAATTAAATAGGACTGTTTACATAGGGTTGGCGTGGGATGCATTGCTGACGTTTAATTATAATATCAAGTGTTTCCTGCTTTCATTACTAATTAATAAGTTTAACATTTATGACACTATCGGACTTGCTCTTTGTTACAATATTATATTCACCCTCTTATGTGAAAACAGGTAAAAATTACAAAATTTTAAAATATGTTTGCAGCTAAGGACCATACCATACCTTCCCGTAAACTAACTAAAATAAGCCATACATTTTATTTCCATTGTTTTCATGAATTGGATTTAGTTAAAGCAATACGTCGACCAGATGGATCCTGCTTTTAGCAAAAAAAAAAAAGTTATGGTGTGTTCATAGATATAAGAAAGTGACCAATTGCTTTTGAATGGGATTATCCAACGGTGGTCATTAACATACAATGCAACAAGATTATTACCTAAAGTTTCGAAATTTAAATTCAGTTAAAATTATGGTCCGAAATAGAAAATAATTTTGTATCTACCTGTGTTTAATATTCTTTGGTTTGGTATACTCCTTAGTTTAAGTTTATTAGTAATCATTCTTATTTCGTGTGTAATACGGCGTGTGTTGAATCGTGTGCTAATTATGCAAAATATGTGCAGTATCCAGTATCTCTGGAGATGCTCCCGCCCAAATGTAGAAAACACTATTCTATTAAGACTAAGGAAGTCATAAACAATGTTTATTTGACTAAATCTTGTTAAATTCTAAGCAAAGTACGGACCTGTTCGGCTATAGTTCATTCTTACAGCTTGCCCGGGTTTTTCCTCAATTCGTATCAGTTAGTCACTTTCTTATATCTATGAACAGACTTTACCTAAACAAAAGTCAACGAGATTGATGATGCAGAAAATAAAACCGAGCGGTAGAATTCAAGCCATCAAGTGGTGAGAAACTAACCGTCTGGTTTGGTCTGTACCGGAGCCGTCGGTACCCCCAGGTCGCTCCAGCCAATAGCGTTTCTCGCCGCCAACCTGAATATATAACACGTGTTCGGTTCCAAACCGCCAATCAAATAAAACTCGTGGTCTATATTCTCCGTTTTCTTGGTCCACTCCATGTCATCTGCGCGTTTGTACTCCAGCTTGTAGCAAATGACGGGGGCGTTGCCATCGAATTTTGGCTGTTTCCACGTCAACAAAATTTCTGTGTCGGACACGCCGTCGATCTCAGGACTATCGGGTTCGTCGGGAATCAAACCTAGTACGATCCTAGTACGAGCGATGGTTTGGCCGACCTTGTTCCTCGCGACTATCTTGTACATGCCCTGATCGAACGCTAGAGCTGGAGTTAGGCGATAGTGAGACCGACCCTCTGCGTCTGTGAAGATTTTTATGCGATGCGACTCGGCAACGATGGAATCGTTTCTGTAAGACCCAAAATTTGCTCGATAGAATCCAAAATACGGCCGCGGTTCCCAAACTGAAGATAAGTGCTGATAAGTGAATCGTAATAATCCTTAGGTAATTAAATGACAAGAAGTGTTATTTATTAAGAACCCTAAACTACTAACGGCACTAACGTTACCATGAAACCTCTGAAGTTATCAAAAAGCAAGAAGTGATGTTAAAGGGAAATAGAGAAGTAATTAATGTATCTGTAGGCACTTAAAACGAATTCAACTAGAGAAAAAATAAAATCCGGTGTCCCACAGGGCAACGTGCTCGGTCCTTTCTTATTCCACATGAATGATTTGCCACCTTTCTGTGACCTATGCTTTCCCTCTAATTCACTTCAACTTTAAGAATCTGTGATAAAGAGTGAATGTTGAGTTCCTTAGAGTACACCTTGACTCTAGCTAGATAAACATAACATTAACAACCGACTCATACAATTTTCGCAATTCTAAATTGGGGGAAATTATGGGAAACTAATACAATATTTTCAACGTGAACGTAGACGTATTAAAATTATTGCAAAGCCTGTGTTTCGGTGGCCTTCTTATATAATAGCGTGCAATTTCAAGTTTGGGAACCACTTTTCTAGTGATACCGTACATACTTAAACCACTGCACAATGGGTGTGGGTTCCCCGACCGCCAGACACGTCAATTCGAGGTCCTTTCCCTCTATCATGGCGGTCAGCTGAGGTTTTTCCCTAAAAAATGGCGGTCTGCCTTCTTGTTTGCTCTCGATGAACGCCTCTGCTTCCACGTAGGTGTCCAAACGCGAGCCTGCACAACGGTTTTAGTCACCGTATCGGTTGCTTGCATGTCTCCGTCCACTTACCCAATTCGTGTTTGAGTCTTCTAATATACGGGGTGTCTCCCGGGCCGTACCTGTTTATACGGGCCTTCCTTTCGTCATCGATCTCCTCGTCCATGATGTCGGTAAAGCGTCTACGCTCCCGAATGATAGGAGTCTAAAAAGGAATTCGCAATTATACAGGGTGTTATAGAAATGACGTACCATAATTAAACGTGTGAATCTGGAGCGCATTCTATGGCTGAATTGATATTCTGTTATTTTTTATTCGGCTCCACGGAACGACTTTGGTGTCGCCACTGGCGAACTGCTTAGCTATCAAACAAAGCATACTGACAGCGTAATTAAGATTGGTTCAAATTGATAAGACGGAAACAGTCGATAGAAATGTTTGATCAGTGATGTAAATAAAGCGACACTGCGGCCACCCCCTACATTACTTACTCTCCAATCATAGCCATTTTCGTCAGACACGATGTATGCCGCACCCGGGGTTCTGCTCCCGGCAACTTTCATGTATTCGCGCAGGCGTACCGGGAAGTCAACGTCTCGAAGCTGTAGCAGGTACGTGTCGGGGCCATTCTGGTAGCTGCAAAACACCATGTTATCATTGACAGAGGCGGTGGTGCGGTTAGTTATCACTCACTGGCTCTCGGACTTGATAACGCCGATTTCGTAGTTGAGAGGTGATCGAGACGGTAGCTGGTCCTCCCAGGTTCTTACTCTGGGCGCTTTCTCCGCTGGCGCGGGAGTTGACCTCGGCGTGTACCGTTCCCCTGGAGGATATACCATTTTCGACGGGTGCGTGAAAGCTCCCTCCAGGGGTCGCCGTCTGAACCAGTTCCTGCAGGACGCGTTGTCGTACCATTCCCTGAATAAGTGATTAGTCTCAATCACAAGAGATCGCTAGATTGTAATTTTTGACATCTGAATTGAATCTTATTTTATATCGAAGCTGTGTAAGTGCTAAAGTGGCAGTCGACGTTAACGTAAGGTAATTATGGATGTTATTGTTATTATCAATTTGACATGGCTCACCTGTATAAACGCCAATAATCACTTAGATACTTGGAAGATATACGATACTCGTCTTGGTATCTCTTGTCGGCCCTCTCTAGCCAGGGATGTTTGAGTGCCGCCCTTACGTCCAACCTGCCGTCAGGATGGTAAACCAAAAGCTTGGAAATGAAGTCTCTGGCTTCAACACTGAAAATGACAATGATCAACAGAGGCATTTTACATGAGATTTATATTTGGTGACAATTGAATCGAGTTGATCCTTTACCTTATTCTGCTCCACCAATCCTCGTCAAACAACCACTGGCCAGACCGAATATTGGTTAGAGTTTCCCTATCGTTGGCCCCGCGGAAAGGCGATCGTCCAGATAACAGAATGTAGGTGATGATACCCACGCTCCACATGTCGTGACCGAAGCCCACGCCCTCGTTGTTCGCACATTCCGGGCTTACGTATTCCGGCATGCCGTAGGGGAGGGGATAGAGATGGGCCATACTGATTCGTCGAGATAGACCTAAGTCCGTTATTTTCAGGTCGTCCCCGCCCGGATGCGCCAGAAGTAAATCTCCCAACTGAAATTTTTTCCAGTAATACCCCAAAATACTCATACACACAATAAACCACTTACATTCAAGCCCATGTGGGCGAAACCCTTGTCGTGCATGTAACCCAGGCCCTGAAGCAGCTGTCTGATGAATCCGGCGATATCCCCTTCCGTGTAATAGTCGTGCTTGAGCAAATAATCCTGCACCAGTTCGCCCCCTGAGCCGAGCTCCAAAATGAGAGCGAGCGTGTCGTCCGTTTCGTAAGCATCGTGAAGAGAAATCAACTTCTTGTGACGCAGCTGGTTCAGCACGTCCAGTTCGTTGTACATGAACGGCCTCAAATCGCCACGGCCGTGCATTATCTTCGCGGCGTAGTTTCGACCTGTCAACGTTATTTTCAGTCTCGTCGCATTTCCTCCAGCTTACCACCGATACCGTTGATCCGTTCGACCGCGTGGTATGTGATACCCTGGGTGCCGCGACCAAGTTCATCCCCTAAGTCGTAGTAATCGGTGTGGAGACGTTTGTGGGGTTTGATGGGAGACAGATTGGAGTACGTGCGGATGTTGTACTCGTGATCGTTGTCCTCGACGTACAGCATCGCGCTACAAGAAGCGGTTCCGGCGACGTTGCGCGCCGAGATCGAGTACAAGCCCTCATCTTTGTAGATGACATCGTTTATGGTGAGGACGGTGGTGTCAGGTTCGTGGAACGCTATCTGAAAAGACACCGTGCATAGATTATCGACAAAGTACAGGGGGAAGAAGTTCACCTTTATTCTACTAGAGGGGGCTAGCGGTTTCCAATCGCGGTACCACTTTAACTCCGGATAGGGCACGCCTACGACCTTAGCGGTGAACTGGCACCTACCTCGCACCATTACGTATTCGATGTCGGGTCTTCGAATGAAATACGGAGCTTCGGCGATTTCTAAACGCACCCTCTGCCTCGCTTCGCCGTGTTCGTTCCTTGCCACTGCCTCGTACCACCCTACGTCACGATCGAGCATTCTGTTCGGGCAAGTGAACAAATTTAAAGCTTTTACAATGTGGTGTTAATAGCAAAATTGCTTAAAACTCGACCAAAGGCAATGGATTCTTTGACAAATCTACGGAATACGCGGACTTACTTGTTGATGAACAACGTGGCCTGCCCGTTTCTTGTATAACTCATGTCGAACCTGCCACCGGACTCTATCAACTCGTCGTCGAAATAGAACGTGATCTTCGGCTTGGGATAGCCATACACGAACCAAAACAAGTTGGTATTCTGATCTTTGACCCCGTACTGCGTGGGATGTTCTTGACGCAGAAATATGGGCGCCTGCGCCATACCGTCGCGAGGTGGTCTCTCGATGTCAAAGTCTTTGGGGAAGTACGGCGACGTTTCAGGTCGGAAATCGATGTCGGGCGGCAAATAGGGCTTAAATCGGGGCAAATCCGGCTCCAACTTTTGCCTAATAACAACAATTATAATATATTAATTCTTTCAATCATTATAAACATAAATTACTTTTAAATTATACATATTTGGCCTATACCGGGTACTCAGCTTTCCATGAACTTTTAAAAATTATGTGGACACCCAGTATTTAATTTAGTGTATTGATTCCTCGTAAAAAACTGTGATAACCTGTAAACTCACTTTTTCACGGTTTAGGATATATTATTGATTATCAGAAATTGAAAATTAACTATGGGAACTGAAATTTGAATGTCAATGGACGAACTGTCGGAATTCATGTTGGCTGGTGAACGCCGCCTGGTCTTATTGGTTGGTTTGAAATGGCAGATGTTATTGGTTGAAAACGAGGTTCCAAATTCATTAAATTCTCAATATATTATATGACCAAAACTTTAGAAACGACGAGTACGGGTGTGTCCTCATTGTGAAGTTCCTACCTGTGAGTAATGGCGAAAGGTGATGGATCGCTGACGCCATATTTGTTCTCCACGCGTATCCGGAACTTGTAATCGCGGAAGGGTTCCAAGTTTCTAACGCCGCAGGTACAGCTTCGGATCCCGGTACGTACGGTGAACCAGTCGCCGTTGGGCAGTTCGCACATCTCCAGCTGATACGTCACGGGCTCTCTGGGTCCAGACGGTATCGATGGCTTCCAGGACAATGTACAATGCCGATCCGTCATTTGGGATATTATCGGAGGGTCCGATAGTGGTACCGGGGCGCCGCTGCGCTTGTACTTGTCAAATTCGGTGTACTGATCTGTCATCGGTCGTTTAGGTTTGGCTTCCAGGCCTATAAAAAGCATATATATATACTATTTAATTGAGCGACTTGAGCTACTTTAAGCGATCCAAAATTAATTAATTAATTGAATTAATCCATTTTAATTATTTTAATTATATTACAGAAATTAATTAGTTTAATTTTAATTATATAATTTAATTATATTATTTAAATATTAAAATGTTAATATATTATAGTTCAACACGGTTTTTGCTTAAATTTATCTTGTCGCTATTTAATCATTTTAATTAATTATATTTATTAGAGCGATAATTTACCTTCATCGAATTTGAGATTGGCGTGGCATATATCACTGCCGTGTTCATTGCTGATTTTACAAGAGTATTTCCCCAAGTCGTCTTCATCTACTCCGAGGATTGAAAGCCTCAACAGACCGGCCGTGTCCTTTTCCATGATGATCCTCTTCGACGGATATATCTTCTGATCGTTGTGGAACCATTCGACTTCGGGCTCTGGAATACCCGAGGCACAAGCTGTAAATTTCGCCGTCATCGCCTTGAAGAGCTCCGTGTCTCCGATACGTTTGAGGAAGGTCGGAGGCTCGATTTTCTGTTGAATTTTGCTAAGACAAAAAATATCGACGCCTGATGTAGAGATAGTCGACCCGCGTGCGTGGAAGAGCTTACATTTCTTTGACCACTTCCAATGAGGCGGTGCAGATCGCCTCGCCTTCGGAGTTGACGGCGGTTGCTCTGTAGACACCAGCATCGTCTGGCTCGCAGTTCATAACATAGAGACAGCAGAGGTCGCCGTCCCTTTTGATGTGGTACTTATCGCTTTCTCGTATGGGTTCTCCGTCCTTTGTCCAGTGCACGTCAGGCTGCGGCACGCCAGTAACTCTGCACGGAAACTTGGCATCCCTGCCGGGCAGCTGAAAGTTAACCGTAAAATAAATAAACAAATAATGTTATCAAAAACAAAGACATGTTATTAAATGCTCCCTAATTGATTACATTTGATGGGTGTTACTGAAATGATATCATATAACTTAATGAAAAGTGAAAAAAGTTGTTTTCTTAAAAAAATGCTCAACAAATTTAATATAAAATGATTGTCGTGCCACTGGATCTTTCGGCGGGATGAAAAAATGACACCAATGAGTCAGGAAATAAAGTTTGCCATGATATATATAGTCCGATACATGATAAATGGTCATGACTGTAATAATTCCATTAAGATATTTATCTGCTCGTAGGCATTTTTTTACCAACGAATCAGTAGTAAGGAAATTGTATTGCGTACTGTATAATTCTAATTATATAAATAATAAATAGATATTAAATAAAATTAGTTATCAGAATAGTTTGAATCTGTGCTATTACTATCATCATATAATATAATTTTCCAAGTCTAGTACACGATTAACATCTTCAAATTCACATTCAAATCACAGTGATAAGACAGTAATCTAAGGCGTATATTACCGGATTTTTTATGACCTCGTCTACGAAATAGGTTTTATCATACGATCTGGTTCTCAAAACTTCAACTGTTTTTACGTTACGTAAACGTTTACGTTTAAAAATAAAGGGTATGCTGACTAAAAAATTTTTTGTTGATATTCGGTACTTTTTTAGCTAAAATGCTATTATTTCTAGCATTATCATAAACTATTACGCTGCCTGGTGGTATATTTAGAAGAAGAATTTTTTACCCAAATTTCAAAAAGTTCACTTGTCATGTCCTGATGGTAAACTAATGGCACCCAAAATTGGCAATAGCAAATAACGACTGCCAAACACCTCCCTGTAAATCAGCTTTTTATTGGTCTATTTATGATGGGACAGGCAAGTCATGATCATTAATCGTGTGCTGGTCTATACAGAGTTATGTTGTTTTCTTTTTCTTTATTCTCACTTAATGATGTAGTATTAAAAAACGTGACTGTTGTGACATAAGATTGTGAGCTTAAAATAATAAAAACGAACACAACATCGCAATATTCACCTGCTGCAGATCCGTGAACCGCTGAGTGAACGCCGGCGGTTGGAACACCTTCCTCACGGAGGCCTTCCCTTGCGTTGATTCTTGACCCAACGGATTCGTTATGGTTGCCCCGTATACGCCCGCATCCGATGGAAGCGCGTTATCGATCCTCAAACCAACCTAAAAGTGCACATTAAGAAATACCAGGTCGGTATCGTTTCTCTTTTACCCTGCGTCCGTCACACGTCATCAAGATTCTATCAGAAGGCACCAGAGGTTGTCCGTCTTTCGTCCAGTCGACGCTAGGGATGGGATTGCCCGTGAAGGGCGCCTCCAACGTGAGCGGTTGACCTTCGTCGACGACTACGTCCTTCAACGAATGCAAAAACATTGGACGGTCCTCCGGTTCGTCCGATTTCATCGACGATTGGACTGTCAACGGGGCAGAAGTCTCCGCCTCTCCAGCTACGTTCTTCGCCACCGCCTTGTAGGTGAGCGAATCCCGCACCTGATCACACGCGTCGATCACCAAACACGAGGTGCCGTCTGGTAGTTCCGTTATCTTCACGTGCTTGTTATCGGACACGATTTCGGCGCCGTTGCGAGTCCTAAGAACGGAATTATACAGAGCTAAATTTCAGTTAATTTATGACAATTATAAAAATTCTCCCTTGTGTTCTATGTTGATTATCAGTTTTTGTCGTGCACCTACCATGCAATGCTGGGTTTCGGGAATCCGTCGGCCTTGGCTTCTAGTTTTACCGGGAAACCCTCTACTACCGTCTGGGGAGAAAGCTTCTTGGAAAATTCAGGTTTTACAGGCTTGCGCTCTGTGGTGATCACGGCGTCGCCCGCTGCCTCTCCTAGTTTGTTGCTGATCTTGAGCTCGTATTTTCCAGCGTTTTCCGGCTTCATCTCGTCGACTATAAGAGCGACCCGTCCATCGGGACGGGTCTCTAAGTGAACGTTCGACGACGGTCTCACTGGTACCCCGTCCTTGAACCATTTTATGTCTGGCGGAGGGTACGCTTCGACCTTCGCCTCCAAACGGAGCTCCTGACCGATGGGTACTTTCGCGTCCTTGAAACACTTGAGGAACTTGGGTCGGCGTTGTTTGGCTGCAAACCAAAGTTAATTTTGCTTAAAGATTAAATTTATGTGAACGGCGTACCTGAAAATTTGCGCGAAGCCGTTAGCGATTAAGGGATGAATGCGGCGAGGCAAATAAAACAACTGTTACTTCATTCCGTTTAATACCTTTTCAGGATATAAGCTCGGTACCAAAAATACTCACGAGCAACCGCTACCGCGCACAACGATGACGTTTCACCGTTGGGGTTTCGGACGACGAGCTTGTACGCGCCGCTATCGGATGGTGAACATTTTTCTATGGTGAGTTTCACGGTACCGTCTGGTAGCAACTCGGTTTTTACGTTGTCGTCGTCCGGAGAAATCGGTTCGCCGTCCTTGTACCAAATGGCCTGAAATTTGATCAATGTTACAAATATATTTACTTCTGAGCCCTTGAACGGTGGAAATTTTGGAGTGATAATTTGGTCAGTTGGACGTGGACATTTTTTTGTAGCAGAAGGTTAGAATTCCAACAGGAAGTCGAATCTCAATATCTGACACACCCTGTACAATATCGAAAAAATGCTTCTACGTTTTCTGGTTCTATATATATATATATATATATATATATATATATATATATATATATATATATATATATATATATATATATATATATATATATATATATATATATATATATATATATATATATATATAAGTTCAACGGTTTTCGACCAAAAATAATTATTATTAGTAAACAAGGATCCTTGGAATTTTACAGAGTAATAGAAAACAAAACGACGCTAATCGAACGGTATACTTGATTGCGATTGCGTACTATATATTCTTCTGCCTAAAATAGTGGTACAAAAATGACTCACCGTGGGCTTCGGGCTTCCCGATATCTTGGCCTTCAGTTCTAAAGGTTCCCCCTCGTTCACGTCGACGTTCCTGTCCAGTTTCTTCCCCAAAGTGGGCGCAGTTTGTACCATCGCAATTCGTGCATGAGTTTCCGCCTCACCAACCACGTTTATAGCAGCAGCTTTATACTGCAACCCAACGTTTGAACCATTTGAACCCGTCATTTTCTAAAAACTCACGATTCCAACGTCCGATTCTGAAAAGTTTGTGATGGACAGCGTGCTGGTTACTTGGGCGTCGCTGACTGTTATAATTTTGTGTCGCTCGTCTTGCGTTATTTCTTTACCGTTAATGTACCAGCGGATATCAGGCTTGGGCAGGCCGTCTGCGCGCACCATCAGACTAATTTCACCTTGGTCCTCCACTTGGTCGTCACTTAAACCCGTTATGAATTTGGGTCTCTCGGCTAGAAGTAGAAATCTCTTTTAAAATATTACAGTCCCCTCTATTGTTCAGCGAATGTTATATTATTTGCTTGGCGGTAAGGCTCCATTTTGATGAGCAAGATTTGTTATAGCGTACAATAATAGCTAAATGTGCTAAATACTAAATTGAGAACAAAGCAGAAACCGTAAAGACAACAACTTACTAGTTGGTTCTGCTTCTTCTGGAAAAGAACGAGTCATTATAAGTAATGTTCCTAATTATGGTTTCGATGACACTACAGAATATACCAAGAATATTGTGGATATTACAGACTCTTCAATATATAGCTTTTCTTTTCTGAACAAAGTTAAATTTCAACTTACTGATCGTTTTCAATCTAGCTTCGGCACTGCTCTCCCCCAAATCGTTCTTCGCGATGACCTTGTAGTACCCTTCATCCGCCAGCATAACCTTGTGGAATACCAGCTTGTACGTCTCGTTTGCCTTGTCGTCGACGATTGAAATCAAGTCGCTGGCTTTGATCATCTTGTCATCTTTAACCCACAACACTTGGGGCTCCGGGTTGGCTTGAACGACCACCGTGAATTCGGTGGCTTCACCCGGCACTACTTTAACATCCTCCGGCCCTTCGATTTCCGGTCTCAAGACGATGGTAAGTTGCGCGCTACTTTCGCACTCTCCCCACTTGTTTTCCGCCTTGATCGTGTATTTGCCCTGGTTGGATCTCTCGCCTGAAATCAGTTATGATCGACATTGTGGCTTTCATTTGAACGAAAACGCTTACATCTGGGTATGGTTAGCTTGTAGGTGCATTCTTTCAACCCGTCCTCAATGTCGTGATCTTCCGTTTCAATAATGATTTTGTTCTTCTCAAACTCTGCGTTAGATATGGGTTTACCGTCTTTATACCATGTGGCATCCGGAATCGGGTCTCCGATTATCACGGCTTTGAACGTCACCCCGTTCTTTTTTGTTATGGTTTGAGGTTTCAGATTTTCCTTGATTTTCGGTCGTCTTAAGTCCTTTTCGGCTGATAAAGCAAACCCAATGAGAGATAAGGAAAGTATAAAAAATGTTGATAACTTTGCTAAACCAAAAATATCAGAAACGGTGCTCTCATTTAAATAAAGAAAAATGAGAGAGTCACATTAAAGAATAACCATTCCGAATATACTTACGTGTTACTTCTAATACTGCTTGTTGTTTCACACAACCCATTAAATTGGTTAAGGTACACTCGAAGATACCGGCGTCCTTAAGTTCCAACTTTTTGATTTCCAGCTTGAACTCCTCACCGTTCTGGCTGGCGGTCATCCTTAGATGGGCATCCGGTTTAATTTCTTTTCCGTCCAACGTCCAAGTGGCAACCGGCGGGGGACTGGCAAAGCCTCTTACGATGTAAGTGATGTCCAAAGACTCCGGTCTGGATCCGTCTTTCATATTGGTATCCAATATGATCGGCTCAGCTAAAGAATCGGAAATTTATTTTTTTGAACTTAAAATTGGACGTTTTAGTCTGTGCGAGTCACTTACCGCGTTTGCCCGAAAGCATCCAGCAGTGAGGGGTTATGTTACTAGAGCTTGCAGTTAGTAAAGCCAACATTGAACGTTCTTTAAGACAAGTGCATTGACATTCTGGTGTCGAAAGTGTGGATTAAAGTAGAAACAGGTGTATCAGCGGTTTTAAAATACCTTTGGGCGAATCAGCTTTGGTTTCGGCTAATTCCGGGTGCTCTGAAATTTCTTCGATCACACTTCTTTGCTTTTGCGCACTCTTTAATAGGTTTTCAATTTGCTCGTCTTTTTCTTCGTCGCGGTCCTTTCTAGCTTGTTGGTATTCTGGTTTTTCGTATGTATCTTCCATCTTCTGCTTGGCGGCTTGGTCCATGAACTTAACTTCTTCTAAGGTACCTTTGGCAGACTTGGAACTGCGCGATTGCGTATTATCAGCGACAACTGCGTATTTAGTGATCGTTTCTTCGTCATCGGCGCTACCGATCATGGCTGTTACTGGCTTTTTGAGTTTTATATCGGCATCTGCAGTGATTTCTTGAAGGATTTTAGGCGCCTCTTCTTCGATTTCTTCTATGCTTTCCTTTTTGGCGCTTATGCCGCGCCGTAGTTTCACTTGCACTTCTAGAGGTTCAGGCGATTTTGGACTGTTTTCTTCTTGTATTTCAATCGTCTCTTTGGTTGCGGCGATACCCTTTCTCCGCTGTTTATCAGTATTTAATTCTCCAACTTCCGCGTGCATTCTATCTCCACTAGCAACAACGTTTTCTACAGTTTCTATTTCTTCAATTTCTACGGTTTTCGCCCTGTATGATTTCCTTCTACCCAACTCTTGCGTTTTGATGCTTTTCGACCTAGAGGATTCTTCAAAATCCTCATTGTAAACCGCTTCCTCTATAATTGCCGCCGTACCCCTCTTTGGGGGCTGCGGGGAAGCGGGTTCTTCGACGATCGGTTCTGGTGATTTGCTCACCACAGCCTCTTTGCGTTCACTCTTGAGCTTCTCGTGACCTACTCGTGTAAATTGGTAAGTTTCAATGTAAGTTACACTACTGGTAGACAGAAGCGCACATGAAAAGCACTCACTCATTTTGGGTGGTTATATACGAAAAAAAAAAAAACTGGAGGAAATGGAACGATCTTACCTTGCGGCTTTTGAGGTGCTCGCGGTTCAATTTCTTCGACGTCTTTACTTTCTTCCAATTGTTCGACTTTTAGTTTTTTCGGTGGTTCTTCGGTTTCTTCGATCGCGTCGGTGTGTGTTACTTCTGTAATGGTCGGGAATAACGTGGTAGGTAAACGTCACAACAGGGGGTAAAATTCTAATCGTGCAATTAGGGATAAGTGTTTTGATGAGAGACAAAATGGTAAATAAAATTGCTGCAGGTCAGTACTACAGATCCCAGTATATTTAATTTTTCTTAGAAAATGAACAAAGGTTGACTCGATTGGATACAAAGCTCTAAATACTTATTTTACAGGTCAGTTCAATCAGGAATACTACTGACTGGATAGGAGGTCAACTTACTGCTGTTAAGCATGCGTTTATCATTTCTAACAGTTACTCGGGATCAACGCGTTATACTCACATAGTTTTTTTTGTGTTTTTGAGAGAATTTGCCGGCAAAATTTACATTTAACACAGACCGGGACAGAATACACTATACTTACACTATAAGTTACGTTGCAAGGTTGTTACCTCGTCAGCAAGGTTCTAATATCAACCGCAATATTTAGATACAACTGATTTGAGTTGGTACAGATAAACATAAATTTCATCGAATATTAAATTACATGAACTTACTGTGGACAGTGACAAAGCTTTTACTGCTCACAGTTCCATAGGCGTTGGTCACCATAACTTCGTACTCCCCCTGCTCTTCGTACTTGATGAGATTCACCGCCAAGTTGAAAGTCTCGTGTCTATGAGTATCCCTGCTTATCTTAATACGAGCGTCCGCAGACACTTCCCTTCCATTCCTTAACCACTTGACCGTAGGCGGTGGGCAACCGCCAACCTCAACTTCCAGATGAAGAGTGGCTCCCTCTTCTACCGTGGTGTCCTTAAGATGTTTAATAATTCTCGGGGCACAGTTCACTGTCAGCTTGGCGGAGGTCTCCGCACTGCCCACTTCGTTACTCAACTTGCAAGTGTACTGGCCTGAGAGTTCGCTTGTTACTTCTTTGATCACCAGCTTGACACCATCATCTGACTCGATCCTGGTGAATTCTGATCGCGTCTCTTGAATTTCAACTTCGTCCAAGTACCACTTGACTGCTGGCTTCGGGAACGCCTCGACTTTGACGTCAAGAGCTACGTTCTTATCGTATTCGGTGACTGTCATGTCTTGGAGGCCTTGGATAATCTTCGGTGCTTTCTTCACGTTGACGGTTACGTCGTCCTCACCAGACCCGTGAATATTGACTGCCTTGAACTTGTACTTGGCGGCGTCGGTCGTCACAGCACCAGTAATCCTCAGTATGTAAGTGTCGCCGTCTTCTTTGACGATGAAATGTTCGCTAGACTTTACTTCCTCTGCATCTTTGAACCACGTCACTTTAGCCTTGGGCTCAGCCTCGATCTTCACTTTCAACTCGACGTTTCCGCCTTGCGAGACTTGCTTGTCAGCTCCCAATTTTTCAACAACTTTCGGCTTGCTGAAAACGTCAAGTTTCCAGAATTGGGAAACTTGCGCTAGTTCGTTGGTCGCCACCACCGAGTAAGAGCCTAAATCGAGCGGTCATTATTATCAGCAAAGTATTTAATTTGACACAAAGTACCTGTATCCTTTAGCGAAGTTTTTTCGAGGACCAGGCTGTACTGTTCGCCTTCCTGCACGATTTTGACCCTCTCGCTTTGTTTGATTTCCTTGCCGTCTTTGTAAAACTGGACCTTAGGCTGGGGTATGCCTTCTATTTCTGCAGTCATTTTCAACAGCTGGTCGGCGTGGACGCTGATGTCTTCCATTTTGTTTTTGATTTTCGGCGGAGCTAAACAATAAATCGACAAGTTTTACCGGCATATATTAACCAGAGTCAACCAAGAAGTGACAGCACTGTGTGAGGAAGAAAATTAATTTCAAAGTATTGTGTCGAACAGATAGTTTGTGCTGAAGAGTACACGGACATATAAAAGTGCAACATCTATTTAGCAGTGTTACCTATAACGACTACGCAATTTATCTCGTATTCAAAGTGTTCTCGTGATAAAAAATATCTTCGGGCTGTAAAAATGTTTAATATTTCATCTTAATAATTAAATTAAACTTTCTACCTGTAACGGTTAAGTCCATCTCCGCTGTATCGGAACCCATCTCGTTTTCTGCAATGATCTGATACTTGCCCGCGTCTTCTGACTTCACATCCTTGATGATAAGGGACATGCTCTCCTCATCTTCGTAGAGAAATCTTCAAAATCCACTATTTATATTTTATATTGGTCACTAATAAGAGACTTACTTGTATTTACTGCTGGGTTCGATAGGTTTACCGTCATGTGACCATTTGACCTGGGGCTTCGGATACCCCTTCACCTGGAGTTCGAGCATCGCCTGATTTCCGGCGGTTACGATCGGATTGCGTTTTTCTACAATTAACTTCGGCTTTTCGGGTTCCCTAAACAATTGGTTCACCGTTCCGTGAACTGTTAACTCGGCACTGCAGCTGATGTGTCCCCTGGAAGTCTGAGCGACGCAAGTGTATAGTCCAACGTCGTCGGGCTTCACATGCTGGAATACCAGCGCTAATGAATCTTCATCGTCTCCCATCAGAACCTTGAAACGTTCATCAGGTTCGAAGTTGGCACCGTCCTTTTTCCAGTGGAACATGGGTTTTTCTCCGGGAGGAAGAATTTCACCTTCCGGCATTTCTTCGAAGATTTCTTTGTTATCTAAACACACACATTTCACCAACTTGGTTCAAATTGGTGATATGCAAGAGTATACCGGTGACGGTGACGACCGCTTCGGACGAAGCTTCTCCGAACTTGTTGGTGGCGACGCACTTATACTCTCCAGCGTCACTTTTTTTTACTTCGGGGATGACTAGCTCGTAGAATCCTTTGTCAGAATGCTCTCGGATCACTTGCAGCCGGTCCTGGTTCTCTTGGATCTTCTTGCCCTCCTTAAAGCTAAATTCACTTATTGGTGGTGGTGGTCTAAATATGGTGATCTAGACATACAAACTTATATCGGGATTGGGCTCGCCCACCACTTTGACCATGAAACGGAGATACGTCCCTTCCAGAAGTTCTGCATCTTTCATCGACACCAAGAACTCTGGTTTGTCAGTTTTGGATTTTTCCAAACGCTCTTCAGTCGACACTGTGGAAGTGGAATAAATTAAAAGAGGAAAGAGTGTAAAAGGGTACTGACTGACATTCGACGTACATAACGTACATACAAACAAGTACATATACGGTTAGATACGTGTTCACAGACATCTTGCCTGAAAAGTATAACCTGTTAGATCTGAACAAATACGAAATAAAACACGGGAGATGTTAAACACATTTTTTTTCGGCACCAAATACGGTGAAATTAACACGATTTAGAACAAGTTCAATCGGCAAACTCAAATTCCGTCTACTAACATTCGTGAACGACCATTTGCGCAGAACAAGACGCCTTTCCGTTGGCGTTTTGCGCGATCGCCGTGTATATACCGCCGTCTTCCTCTTTCACCTGCCTAATCACCAATTTGTATTCCTCGCCTTTGCCACAAACGATCGTTTGGATCCTACCCGATAGACTACCGTCTCCGTTCAACGGTTTGCTGTCTTTAAGCCACATAAACACGTCCGGTTTTTCTTTGAGCAGCACCTCAAAGTATGCGCTCTCGCCAGCTGTCGACGTCAGGGAAAGCAAATTTAAATTTCGAGCGAATACGCCCAAGTTTGCGTCGTGAAACTCGCAGAGATGCAAGGCTAGGTTAATAAGATATATATATATATATATATATATATATATATATATATATATATATATATATATATATATATATATATATATATATATATATATATATATATATATATATATATATATATATATATATATATATATATATATATATATATATATATATATATATATATATATATATATATATATATATATATATATATAAGAATCCAACTCGGAGAGCAGAGTACCTTATTAACCTACCCTGGAGGGCTCCCAGGTGTTGAAATTGATAAAATTTAACTACAATAATCAACAAAACTTACGTTCGATGCTCGTACCGCGAATAGTTTTGATGAAGTGTGGTCTGTTATCCCCCAATTCCTCCACTTTCTCTTCCGCTGACTTCTCCCTGGTCGTTCTCATCGTCATGGATAAGGAATCGGTTTCTGATGTCTTCTCCTGAAAAGTCGAAGCAGATACTTTTACCACGGTCGCCTCCGAATCGGCAAGAGCAAGCGAGGTTAGCGAAGCTGACGTGGTCTTTTCTATGGACGTTAGGGAAGTTCTTTGTGATACGGCTGATTTGAATTCAGTACTGGTCGCTTTCTGATCCATCTCCGATGATTGTTCTATGCGAGCGGCTGAAGCTGACGCACTTGAAGCCGTTACGATTACCTGCGATTTGGATTCTATCGAACTAGCGCTTTCCTTTGTCCGTATGGTCACTGATTCGGCCCTGGAGTTCTCGTTGACGGCGTTTTCTTCGATTGCCACTTCTAAAATTAAATCGGTAAGATTTAAACGCAGGAATTTATGCGACTAGGTGAGGTTAGTTCGGAACGCAAGAGGTTGGACAATGACTTACCGCTATCTTTCAACTCCTTGCTGGCATACCGTTTCGAGTATTTGGAGTACGAATCCTCTTCAGACACGTTGGCCTCTCTGGAGTACGATTTGGTTTCCGATTCTTCATCTTTGCGCAAGTACTTGCGCGCGTACTTCTCATAGGGATCTTCTTCCGGCTCTTTAGCCTTCGTCTCTACGGACTCCTTTCTCGAAGAATATCGCCTCGAGTACTGACTTCCCTCATCTTTACCCGCCGAATCCGTCCTAGAATACTTTCTCGAATACTTCGCGTATACGTCTTCCTCGTCTCCTGCTCCGCGTTTTTCGGTTGATTCAGCACGGGAATATTTCTTCGAGTACTTGGATATCAGATCTTCGGTATCGTCCTCGCCTTTGCTCGTTAAAGCCCGTCGACCGTATTTAGTTTCGACGTCACTGCTCTCCGTCGATACTGACCTTCGGGAGTACTTGGAACCCAACTCCGAGCCGAGAGATCGTTTCGTCGAATACGACTCTGCCGGTTCGATTCCCGTACCTTCTATGGAAGACTTTATTGATTTTCTGATAGAATACGAATCTCCGGCACCTTCTGTCTCTAATGTGCCTTTCAGCGACCTCTTGGTGTAGTAACTCTCGCCGTCGCCATCTCCGGCTGAAGAAGAGATAGATTTGCTTATCTTCTTAGAGTAGGAGCTGGCATAGTCGCCGTCATCATCCCCTATATTGCTTTTGATCCTCCTCGAGTAACTATACGAGTCTCCAGTATCTTCGTCGATGGCCGATCTTAGAGGCTTTCTAGAGTAACTGTAATCGTTGTCGTTGCTCTCTGTCAGAGGTTTTCTAGAATAACTCGAGGTTAAGCTGGACAAATCGCCAGCATCTGTCGAGTAAGACTTTCTGGAGTATTTAGACGAAGACAGTGAATCGTATTTGGACCCTGCCGAACTCGTCGGTTCGGAGGTATATTTGCTACCCGGGGAATCGTATTTAGAACTACCCGTTAGGGAATCAGTTCCGTATCTACTGCTGGCGGATTCATATTTGGAGCCACTGGTGAGGGAATCAGTACCATATTTCGACGGGCCTTCTGCGCTGTAAGACTGTCCCGATCTTCTGGTGTAGGATGACTCGTAGCCACCGCTGTCTGTGGATGGACAGAGTTTTTATCTTTCGAGTGTGGGGCCCTGCGTGGAAGCTAAAGCCACGGCGTTGTCGTTATTTTCGGCGAACGGATGCTCGTTTTTTGCAGAGTTGGAAGGTGGTGGCAAAAAAACAATTTTCTTTTGGATTAGCGAGACGCCCATGCAGCAAAGTTCGGGGTATACCCTTAATTTTTGTTGGATATTTTTCATTTCTATAACTGCCAATTGAAAATAATTTCCCCCGGCGAAAAATTTGTAAAATTTGGAAATTAAGAGCGATAAACAAATAAACATCCTTTGCCGTTTCTCTAAACTTTGGAATAAAATATTTGAAATGAGACACCTAATAAATATTTCTTTATTGAAATAGTGGTAAAGATAATATTTTTAATAGCTTGGCAGTGATAATTGATAATATCATTAAAAATGTGAAAACAAAACAACTACACACCAGCGGCCTTAGCTGGTGCAGCGCTTGTTGGTCCAACAGAAAATTAGGAGTTAACCCCGTAGCTTTGAAAAGCGTTACTTAATGTTTTTTATAGTATTAGTTTTCAAACTGGTATGCTGTGGATCGTTAAATTAGGTTGAACTCAAGCGAACATACTCGAAACTGGTTATTTTTTTATTATCGGCACTCCGAAATGCACACAAACCTCTACTTGAAGCGTATCTTCTGCTCATGTCGTCTAGAACTTCAACATTAAACTCAATACCGACTTTGTAATCGGTAAGGACGGTATCACTGGCACCTAGCGACTCTACACTATATAATTTAGTCAAAGCACTACCAGGCACTAGATCCGGGGGAAGCTTGGGCACGTACTCTACTTTCTCTTCCGGAACTCTAGGATTGTACAGGTGTATCAGAGGCTCGACTGCTTTAATACGTCTTAGCTGATGCGGGTCTTCAGTTTCCGGCAACTCAGGCTGTTCAGGAACCAATGTCTTCTCAGTGGAAGAACTCGGCGAGACTAACTTTGGATTGGGAACAGTGTGAAGCGGTTCAACGGCTTCGATCCGCTTCAAGTGGAATTCGGACTGTTCGACAGTCTCAGATTCTGGAGTCAGAAGATTCTTCAACGTATCCGACTGAACGATATCTGTGGTGGTTGAAGTTGTTGTCTCTTCTTTAGACTTTGTTCTTGTTTTAAGTTCGGATATGAGAGTGTCTTGTTGTTTGGTCTTTTTCACGCCAACGAGGTCCTTTTTCTGGTTTCCGTTCGGATGTTCCTCCTGCGATTTTAAGCGCACGGGCCTGGGGATTTGAGATTTGCTGCTTTTGGACGCGGATGGAATCGGTGGCGATGGATCTTCTGGAGGAGATTCTACTTGGAACTCGTCGCTAGTGTTTTCCTCGCTCTCGCCTGCAATTGATGCGGTTTAGAGTCGTTTGGTACGTATTTAACCTATCTCACCGTATTCCTTGGCAAATTCCCTGATTTCATTCAACCAAGACTTTTTGATGTGATCGCGATGGGCTTTCAGTACCAGAGACTGACCGCCTGCTTTGTCGACCAACTCAAATACGTACTCACTTTCGGGACGATCTTTAACCTCTACTTGCGGAAGCTAAAATTTAAAACTTGAACCATATCGAAAGTCTCAGGGTTTCTGTTTACCCTTATAACGTCTTTAAGTTGAAAAATTGACCTGTCGTCGGCAATGCGTCTAACTTTGCAAATGAGTATGCGTGCTTTGAAGAGGAAAAGGTAACGCTCCTTGGTAACTTCTCCGAAAGATACGGAGAACCTGTCGTGCGCTAGAAGCCGACCGAGTTTGTGGATGCTACCCTTGTAACCTTCGATATTAGAAGTAAATTTTTCGTCCTGTGCCCTATGGGGGACACTTAGCATCAATTCTAGTGCCTTCTGTAGGTCCGCGTTGTCTTCTTCTAGACAAGCGCTGTATCTTACCAACTCCTGGAAATGTTGGGCGGTTCTTAGTACTAAGGAGTATCTGTCAAGCGCGAATTTAAATCAAAGAAAACCTATGGAGCAAGTGGACGATCACCATAATCAACGTGAGTAGTCCCAAATAATACAAGCAGTCCTCGAATTCCATGTCACAATATCGTTCGTATACGGCGGAAGATTCGATACAAGACTATGCCTATAGCGAAAAACTCTAAAATTCGGATCGCGTTTGGGGAAGTAATGTACTCGTAGAATTTTGCAATGACACACGACATGACAACCGCAGCTTCAGCGGTGAATGTTCGATTACCTGCCAAAGGGCTCACAAATGCCTGTAGATGTAAATCAAAGCGACGAGGACTGCAATTACTCCCACGTAATAGATACAATTATCGATAGCGTCCGCCATAGCAGTTTCGAAGAATTTTTGAGCCGTTTTGTACTACTAAAAATTTTGGTGTTATTTTGACGGAAAGTCAATGTCATCTTTTGGATGTAGATACCTGTTGTTTTTTTAATTTTGTAGGAGTATTTTAACGGTTTTCATCAATAAGCCAAAGATGCTAGTTTAATTTTTATTATAACGAAGATATGTATAGAGACGACTCAAAGAAAGAGACAAGTTCGTTTGAAAATAAATTACGAAGTATGTAACATAAATACAAAAATTGCATTTATTTTTTAAGTTCGACCTTTTAACAAAAAATTATAAAATGTGTTAAAGGTTTAAAATTGGCACATATAATAAATCTAAATTGTTGCTAGCTAGCTGCAAATGCCTATAATGCCTTCTTAATGAATATGCCTATAATGCCTTCTTAATGAATACTATCAATAACAATAGTATTATATACTGAACGTATATTGATTTGATTACTGGATTTAGTTTTGCTGTGCATATGAGTATATTATTAACTAAATTATCACGAGCCTTCATTTTAAAGTAATTTAAATTTAAACATTCAAGTTCCGTATATTTCAGAACCTAAAAATAATTAAATATAGTGTTTCATTATTATTATTCTATGCTTTAAAAATGTTAGCATAAAGAAAAAAAAGGCATTATAAAATTGTTGTGCATTTGTATGTGTATCATTTTATATTGTTTAAACATTTCATGATTATGTCTTATATGTTCTAAGTTTTACATTCAGAAATTTGAATAAGGAAAACTTTTATGAAGATATACTTAGGTACCTAATAAAAATAGTCTTTAATTGTTTTGAAGAATTTTCTCAAAACCGTAATAAGCTAACAATAACACAAATTAAGCTTAAGATTAATGACTTTTGTAAAGTTTGTATTGTAAAACGCTATAAGCATTCCTTTCCGGATGTTTTATAAATTTCGTATTTTATTATAAGTTTTGTTTTGTTTTGTTTTGTCCTAAATAACGTCGCAAAATCATAAATTGGATGGATATAACTTTTAACTTATGTTAATGTACAAAAATGATCAAAGTTGTAATATTTTATTGATTCCAAGGGTTTATATAATTAATTGTTGTGACACCCTATATGTATGTGAAATCTTCTGGTTATCTAGCTGCAAATCTATACTGTAGAAATTTTGATTTCTTAAATCTCCTTCAGGCGCACGGGGGATAATGAACAGGGGTAGTCTGACTGAAGAAAACTTCCACTGCAACCTGTAAATTGAAATAACTACTCCTACTAATTGCAGGTCCCTATGCAATCCCATTCCAGCACATTGACCTAAAAGCCTTGCCAGTAATAAAATTTTACGTGTTTAGATTGCGTAATAAAATTCCGAAAATTATAAATAAATATACATTAATTTCGGCGAAGGAAATACGGCACGTTAAAATTCGCTCCACGCGTTTTTGTGAAAATCGCTGATATTGAGAATTGATATTGGCTGTGCTCCGTATGAGGCGCCGGTGTTGGAAACTTTTGTAAATTTAGAACGCCAGAAATAGCAAAATGTTGACCCACATAGCGATTTTTTGCCTACGTTCGACAATGTCAAGACGTAAATTACTGGCTTATGCAGCAAATGACAAGGAATCTATTAGATACGGGAATTGTTAAATTTGTTCAGTACTCTTAACAATCTCATTTCGACGCCCCAGAGCAAGTGTAAAATTTAAATTCGGAGAAAATCGAGTTTAAAAATATTTAAATGATTTTCATATTTCATTAAGTGCTTCATCTTAAATAAATTTTGGTCAATATTTTACCGACTCTACATTTTCGAATTTAAGTCATTGCAAATAAATAAATATTATAATACAACATTTATTTCGGAGAAAACTTACCTATTTTCATTTTTTAATTAAAAAAAATCTGTTATAATTACCATTCCGAATCTTCTGAATTAGGTGTTTATTAAACGATATGAAGAATTGAGGGTGCGTTTCGAGAATCAAATTGGCATCACCCAAGCTAACTGCATCTTATTTTTTATTATTTTTGTCTTATTTTTTCTTTAATATTTATAAGTTTATTACACTCCGGTGTAAAACATGTCTCGCAAAATAATTTATTTGTTTCTCCTTTTTTTACTCCCGCAATTTTTTTTTCGTTCCCCATCTTTATTTTCAAAGGCCTCTTAGTAATAATTTTAATTTAATTATTTGATTGATTACAATATTAATTTTGTATTTTCGCAGCAGTGACATATAAAGGGTGGGTTTTCCAGGATAACTTTTAAACCAAGATACACAGTCTGTTAAATAGAACAAAATTATGTATTAAGATGAATAATGCGCTGAAGCTAGCAACAAGAGGTGTACTAACAAACATTTTTGAAAATCCAATTTCGTTGATTTTAGTATTTTCCTTCCTAGCACCCTTATTTACAATTTTACAGAGAAAACTCTTTTATATTCCTTATAAAAAATATAAGAAGAATTCGCAATTAGTTGAACAGTACTGTGTTCTACAAAATTTTTAATCTTGGTTCAAAATTCGAACATCCTGTGGACATACTACTTAATTCCGAAGAAACGAATTTTGAACCTTCTATATACTTTTTTTTTGTAAAGTTGGAAATAACTGTAGTAGAAAGCAAATTAAACAATGAAATCAATTAATTGCGTTTTTCTGAAATATTTCTTAGTCCACATCCGATAATTTAATTTCAAGGCATTATGCACATCTAAATCTTCAATCTCATTTAACCTACTCTTTTATGTTCAACGGTTTAAAAGTTATCCATTCCTTTTCACTGAAAAAGTGGCCGCTGGGTACTTATAGTATTAGAGGCATTTAATTCATTAAAACACATCTCCCTATGTTCCTCTAGTTTATATTTATAATTTTGAATTAAAAAAAATCTCGATTTTTTCCTTTTGCCTCTAATGACCCTGAGGCGACGATTTGTCAAAAACTGAAAGATAATTTTTCAAAGCAACTTCCACAGGCTACTGTAATACTATTTACAAAACTTCTGGATTCCTCCATAGTCGGTTTTTGCTGACTCGAACTTGCTACTTACTACGAATTGAAACTGTTTCAGTTAGACTCTAAAGAAGCCAAGAGGATGATGGGCGAAACGTTAGCAAGTTCGACTCAGCAAAAACCGACCCAGGAGCAATCCAGAAGTTTTGTAAATAGTACTGAAAGGTAATGTTTACAATATTTACCAATAAAGTCAAGTTGCGGTTATTATAATTGTACATAATTGTACATCAATGAAGGATCCGAACTATTAGATAGTAGAAACCAGAAACTAACTGAACTATAAGATATAATAATCACCGTCGATGTGCAAGTAGTTTTCGTTGTAACTTATCACGTCAAATAATGCCAGAAAATAAATAAAAACGTAATCTTTAATATCCGGTTATTCCAGAGTATCTCCAAGACTACTTAAAAATGTTAAAAAAGTGTTGTTAAGCATTGAAATTAGAAACTTAGAACTATCCGAACATTTTCTAAAGTTTCCGAGACCCTAATTTGAGTTTGACTTTTTAGATATCCATTTTCTATGGGTTTTATTTAATTTTTATAAAAAATGTTATTTTTGTTTACCTTACTCAAGTTTTCCGTAAGTTAAAAATCAGCATATTGAAAGTTCGTCTCGGACAATGGGAACTTACCTTTAGTAGAAGCTGGTAGTCGTTTATACGCTGGATTGGAAGTTTCAGATGTTCGGCTATGATCTTGTCGTCACCCAGGCGTTGTGACAACTCCTGCAAGTTGCATTTTATTACGAAAGAAACGCGAAGTTTGACCGCAAGTGGCGATAAAATGCTGCTGTCTGCCCTTTTCGTCGTATGGAAAATTTCATTAGATTTTTATCGTGCCGGCCTTATTTTGAGTAAAACGTTCCAATTTAAACCGACAAACAGATTTTATAACGTTGATCCGCCGGTAATGGCCGCGGGTTCTGCCAAATTCTATTATAAGATCAATTCGACGGCGTAATTGCCAACAGAGAAAAATATATCGCAACCATCATCGATATTACTCTCAAGCCTTACCCCCATCCCATTTTATCATTGTCTATGATATATATGTCTCTTCTCCTTGACCTTCGACATCGAAAATAATATCACCGACATGAAACATTTTACTGCCGTAAGCGGAAATAAATTCATAATTTGAGTTTCTTACTTGGCACTCTCGCAAAGAAAATTTAGTATTCACGATTGGCATTGTTAAGACTGGGTGGCTCAAATAAATCTCAAGTAGTTGTGTCAAGCAACAAATTGAGACTTTATATAGAAACTAATACTACATTATGAGGCAAGATAAATGTTGTCGACTAAAAATTATCAAGGGAGCCGCAAAAATCTCTACGACGTATATTTTCGGGAAACATAATTTACCATATAATACTATACTTTATCCAAAATTAAATCCCTTGCCCGTCATCAGAAGCTAACCAGATCTGCTATTGTTATCGATTCTTTTAACTACATACATTAGACATAGATTGGATACCACAGGTAAATGAACGAATAGTCACCATTTTAAAATATTTTGTTAGATGATGTTGGTTACCCGAAGACTGAAATTACGATGCTAATTATTTGAATTTTATAATTAATCCATAATCATTTTTTTATAATAATAATAATAATAATAATAATAATAATAATAATAATAATAATAATAATAATACATTATTACTGAAAGTACATATGCATTTAAAATCATCAAAATAACAATATTTCAAGTTTTGTTATCGTAGTATAAAACTCTTCTATTGTGTATGGTGATAGCGTGACTATAATATTAAAAAATGCTTTCTTTAAAATTTTAAAAATATCCTGTTGTTGCCTATTTTTATGCACTGGCAATAACTGGTCTTGTCGGTCAATCGAGATAAGATTTTGTATTAGTTTTTACCATTTTCTTTATTGTATTGGTCTATAAAGTAGCTTTTTAAACTGTTTTTTAAACCATATTAATTGTGAGGATAAAATGCGAAAACAGTTAATAGCTTCGGTTATCCAATGTTTTGATCTTGAACCCCTGTTGCCCGTAACTGCTGTTAAAGCAGGGAGTTTTAATTTTTTTATTTAAAAAAATAGTTACAGCATCTAACAATAACAGCCGTAAGAAACCTTGCCAAGTTTTGCAAAAAGACTAACGAAAATTGATATAAAATCCATTATAAATAAATGGAAACCCACCCATATTTCTTCAGTACACATTAACGTCAGCAGTCATTGAAAAACAAATCAAATAAATAAAAATAGCGCTTAATTTTATCAACTTAATGTCCTTCCAATATATCGTCAACGTCAACTAAAGTTATCATATTTTCAGACTGCTTAAAAAAAAACGGATTAAAAGGGCAAATTTTCTGTTCGATGACGTGCAATGGATTTAGTTATCGTTGAAGCCTTTCTTCAGCACAAATTAACATTCATTTCTAAATATATAAATAAATAAATAAGTTTTATTGTGAACGTCAATTAAAATGACCAGATTTCCAAAGTCCTGAAAAATAGTTCAATAAAAAAATATCGATTAAAATCAAAGCAGATTTTGTATTATTCAAAAAATGAGACGTTTTTGTAATATGGCCAATTTCCTGTGCAGTGGATTTAGTTTTCATGAAACATACACAAAAGGCTTCATCACTAAGATTTCAACACCATTCTTTTAGACCTCATTATTTGCCTTTATTCACAAATCCAATATAGACCGCAGATGCTAATAAATTATATTGGATGTCTGGTAATCGAACCACATGAACCGTAAACTTTTTGAACGTTAAGAAAATTAGATCAGTGTTTTTAGCACTGGAAATATCTCTTGGTGGGAGGATAAATTTCCGTCGAAATCGTCTATGAGTAAGTTTCGCCATTGAATAAAGACAGAGCGATGTTTTGCGGAGGCCTTATTCGAAAACACCGGATTCCTCCACAATCGTAAAAATAAAGTACGCCTAGTTACGAAAATAACTTCCTAGATTCGCTATGACGAGAAAAAAAGACATCTCGCGCAGTTCTTGCGAATTCCGAATTATTTTTAGACCTTTTTGCAATGTCGGTCGAGGCCTAATTACGCTCAATGCCTAAAGTATCATCCGAAAGGTATCAGCAGGACAACGTCATCTTCCGAATTTCAAATCCGACTTTTAAAAAACTTTAAAACCGTTACGTAACAGGTGAAGAAGTCTCGATCGCGGCTCCAACTTCAAACGTCACGGACCACAGCACCGTTTCCGACAGAATGTCAAGGTTAGAGTCCTACCTGTGGATTCGGGGGGTTAATCCACGCGCAGGTACCGTTGCAGGAGGCGCACTTACACTCGACGACCGCCACTCGACTGATCGACGACGGTCAGCGTCGCCGGCGTCGATTCTATACATAGACAACGCGATCCAGGCTCGAATATCCGTACGACATTAGGACGTCGGTTGCGAATTACGCGGGTGGTGTCGATTATGACATATCCGATTTTATATCGTTTTCCTATATGTCTAAAGCGACATTAATTTTTATTACCCATGTGGGGATGCCCTTCTGGGTATTCTCGAATCGAATCGAATATAAAGAATGTGTCACACAAATTGGTAGAAAATATGGAATTTTGAAACTATGCACGGATTATATAGGTTCCCCCAAAAGTCCTAAAACTATCAAATTTGGAATTTTTTAAATAGACTACTCGGTACATTACGTCATAAACTTCATGATACCTGAACCCTAAGGATTCCAAAATAGTTATATTAACTTCAAAATGGAACTTAGTCTTAATTTCTCCACTACTTAAGAAATATTTAAGTTATGTCAATTTTAAAAAAGTCTCATCTTATATGGGGCATGCAATAATAAGAAAGTGAAGTGCATCTAACTTGATTCATTTATCTAGCCAACCAAAGGAAGAGGACACCCATATGATTTTCTTCCTTACAAAATGTCATCTATTTCAGTTTTATATCATTTTCAGTTTGTACTTGTCCTTATGCCTTATCCCATTATTATTATTAACATTATTGTTTAGAGTACTTAGCTACTGTAACTTGTTGGTTTCTAAAATTGTAGCTAGTAACTGAATTTGAACCAATGTCAAAAAGTATAAAAAATACCTAAATTCAGAGACCATCTACAAAACAGACTTTGCAGTAAAATCTGCTCAACTTGAAAGCTTTAATAAATTATCTGGCATTCCTATCGAGTTACAACCACTGCAAATGTTTGCTTTTTACAAAACTTCTGGATTCCTCCTGCGTCGGTTTTTGTTTAGTCGAAATTGCTGACGTTTCGTCAATCATCCTGTTGGCTGGACTGGAACTGAAGAAGCTAACAGGATGATTGGTGAAACGTCAGCAATTTCGATTAAGCAAATACCGACGCAGGAGGAATCGAAAGTTTTGTAAAAAGCATTACAGTAGCCTGTGGAAGTTTCTTTGAAAAATTTTAATCTTTTATCTTAAATTCTTCTCAAGTATTCGGGAAATTAAAATAAAGTTAAATTCTGTCAAAATTCAAACTATTTAAAAAATCTTCAGGTCTAAGTGCCATAAATCTTACCAAATGCCACACGCATTTTGGTTCTATGTGAAAAGTACAACTCTAATAAATTCGGCACTTTTGAGAAAACCCCTTTAATTTGAAGATAAATTCAAAAAGTTATCATAATAAACCCAAACATATATCAAAAGCAAAACTCATTGTTTTTCCGCCTAAATTAAGCCCTATTTTTAATCGTTATTCTATGATGGACGTTTAGATGCAGATAATTTCGAATGAATTAAAAATTCATACAAATGCAATAAAATACACTCGAAAAGAAACATAAGTTCCGTACGTTTTAAACGTTCTTTCCTGACGTGTGATTCGCAATGGTCCGTGCAAACGACCAAAACTTAAAATTTAAATTAAATCTTTGATTCATTTCGAAAAAATTAAACGATGTTTACCTCATAAAACTAGGTGGGATTTTTAGCTGCGAGTGGGTGGTGGATTTTTACGTGGCCTTTTGCAACATTAAATTTAGAATTTTAAATTTAGCGTCAGTTTCGAATGCAAATGATAAATTTCTGCGTCTAATCAAAAACGGAAACGCGCACTTTAGTGCGTCGCTACTCTACAGAGTGTTACCATAACGATTAGTATTAGTACAACCGCAATACTAGTGTAATAGAATGTAATGTAATAATAAATATCAAGCACTTCTTTCTACCGGTGGATTTTTTTTTATAAATAAGACCACCAAAATATACTATAAATATCTGCACTTTTAATATTATAAATTTTGCTATATTGTTTTCCAAAGCACACTTGGATTTTAAAATTCTCGTGTGCGAACAGATGGGCGTATTGTCACCCTTATTTGACTATGTTATGTTGCAATAAAAGTAATATCGTTGCATTTATTTTTTTTTGAGAAAATACATTTTATTTATGGTGATTTCCCAACACGCCCTCTAGCGGCGAAACGAACAATCTAAATAAATTAGTAAACCGTTGACAGCTTAGAAAGAACCCATCTGAACATCTCCAAGTTTAAGAAAATGCATTCTGCTACTCTGAAGTAGTTGACATGTATTTCGGAAAATGTTTGAACACCACTGAAGAGACAGAGCAAATGCGAAAAAGAATCGAATATATCCCAACTTTACAACGGTGTGCATTTTAAGTATCTGCAATATATTTATCATTTATTAATTATTTCTCAGAAAACAGGGTTTAAAATTCAGAAAAGCAATTACGCCCCCCGACGGTCAGTCTAGAAAAATTATTTCCGGGATTTTTAGTTTTAAGTCTAAGAGTGTCCTTGATTGACCGACCGGTACAAAATATTCGCTAAAAGTTGCCCTCGCTCCAGAGCTTGCTTTAGCAGGAACAGTTAAACCATTTCTACGCCTTATAATCTATAAAAAAGCGTTCAAATAAATATAAGTTACCAAAATACCGGACCTCGACAAGAACGTTAGTTTTCTGATACTCTTTTAAAATAACCCTACTTAAACATATTGAAATTTCATTATTAGTTGCGCAGAACTACGCCACCACTAATAGTAATAAGCAATAATAAAGAAGAATAATTTTTATCACATTCGTTTTATAAGCTGCTTTGACATAGTTTAGATGATATGTTTGCTGAATTTGAAATTTGCCATCCTGTATGTTCGTGTTGAAGTTTTTTTTTAGTTTAAAGTTACCATTACATCTTGGAAACATCTAAGGAAACCGTCATTCTTTCGACTATCCAAAAAACGCACATTAGAACAAACTTACCATGAAGTAGTCGTAAGCTTCATCACAATTATCTAGGAACTCTTGCGCCAAGTGTTCGTCTCTGCAATACCTCACGTGGTAATCGAAATCGCGCTCGAGCCTAAGAAACGCTTTGCCCAGAAGGGTGGGTTCGTTCGCGTAGTACTTAACTCCGTCCATCAGTACCCTGAAAAGAAACGCTGCTTCCTCAAAGCAACGAGCCTGCGGGCCTTACGTTCGATGAAATTCGGCAATTTCTTTGAGGTTCCCGAAGAGCACGTCGAAGTTGTCCTTGATGATTTTGGGGACTTTTCCCGACTCGGTAGGAATTAGATAGTTCTGAACTACGTAGTCCAGATCGCGTACAAACTCTTGCTCTGTCTCTACCAGCTCTTTCACTACGGCTCTGTAATAGAAACCGGTTAAGGATTGCTGAGAGTAAGATCTAGAGTTGTCCATTACTGTCTTCTGAAAGCTGCGTCGCCGGGAAGTCCTGTTTTCGACAAAGCAGGATCGTCCGCGGTCTGCAGGATTCTGCACGGCACCCATCCTTGGCGTCTGTTGCCGCCAATTTCTCGTACCAGCCATCTTTAAAAGAAACGACTGCGTAAAATTCCTAACAGGACTGATTACTCTAATTATCATATGAAATCCATGTGGGACTGTTTCCAGAAAACAAGGATTGATGCCAAATATTTCCGTTAAAAATATAAACGCTTCAGCGAGGAGAAATTTGGCAACTGCTTTTTGTGATCAAAACGCGAAACGGAAATTGCGTGTAATGTTTTTGTCGCGCAAAGTCAAATTTGGTTTTTATTTTTTTGATATAGCCCACGGGTGTCTCAAGGTAGCGACAATTTTTTTTAATGGGTCAACCTGTTTATTGTTCCGCTTCGCATATTGAATATAGAATTAGAATTTAGATTCTTATTGGTGGGCTATTTCAATATTTAAAAAGCTGAAATTTTCACTGCAATGTTCCTGTTCACTAGGTACTAGTTGCCAGTGGAGTAATAAAACGGGATGTTCAAAGAAAAGTTATTTTACCATCATACACTTAAATGGAATACCCTGACAGATAATTAAAACCGCTTGCGGTAAAATTTTCGAAATAAAAGCAGTTTTTTAACAAAACACAATTATTTTGTAAGTGTAGTGTACTTATAAAAAATTGGCAATAGTTAACAACCAAACAAATGCTTTTATAAAGTGAACAAAAAAAAAATTGAACTCGTTGAGGATTATTCAAATAAAGTTCTGACGAACCTTTTCCTATCTATGAAGAGTGTGGACTGATGAAAATGCGATATGTAGAACTTTTAACCAAACGTATCCTGATGTAAGAGAATAGACACTTCTTTTATACAAATGAACTAACCAAAACATGAAATGTTTAATCAACAGCGACACCCTGTATATTTAGTGAAAGAGACAATGTAAAAGCCCAAAAATTTTGTGTAGGGTGAGTTAATATAATTCGTATTCTTTAGTTTTTTGAAAAATATGTCTTTCCCTTTCACTTGGTTAAAAACGCGAGATACGACGAGTAGATCCAATTAGCTAATTAAAATTCTAAATGGCGGGGTATAAATTGGGTTACCTAGCGTTCACGTTTAACCTGGTGGGGGAATGTCTTGCGCTGGCATATGTTCTTCTCGGTTTAACTGAAAGCTTGTGACGGGCGGCGGAATTATCCAAAAGTTCGCCAGATACGGAATCGAGAGCTGGATCGAGCTTCAGCCGCCTAGAATTTATAATTCAGAATGGACCATTTGTCAGGTGGAAAACTAATATTACATATCATGTGTGTTTTTATTGTTATCTACTATAAAATAATCAATTATTCATCCAAAAAACAGAGAACTTCTCCTCAACGTCACGTGCCAATAAATAGCAGTTTTTTTTTAAAACAATACAGAAAAGTTTAATAAGTAAGCGTTTGAATTCCTTGAATAATAATTGCTTCCAATACGTCTTTTAGATACAGATTAGATTACAGATGTTTTTATTTATGTCTTTTAATTCTTCGAACAATATTAGATAGTTTTTTAACAAATTACAATTTTTCCAACTTTTTTATGCAATCTGAGTAATTCATGTAAAATTATATTAAAAAATGGTAAAATGGTATTATCAAGTAACAAAAGAAAGAAGCTGTTCCCATAGCGATCAGAAACCAGTCAACTTGACTACTTGTTCGAACTTTCATTTCTAATTAAAGCTTTAAAAAGTGTGTTAAATAAGATGAAAATTTGATTGATTGATTGATTATACAAGTATTGCATTGCGTTGTATTTTAAGTTAGTTAAGTGGGAAATGAAATACAGCTCCAACCGTTCAAAAAAAAAACAACCCTAAAGGTGACCTTACGACGCTTTTGGCGTTTTGCTCGCAAACCATAACTTAAAAGTAAAAAATGACTTTCCTATTTTACATTGGGTACCTTCTACACAACGCTCATAAATAACCTTGGAAAATAAACGTAGTTCTCAGCGTAAAGAGAAAAATTAGTCTTTTGCGGCGATTATCTCGAGAATGATTGTTGTGAAAAAAAACACCATCGAAGTTAAAGTCCAAGATCCGCATAAAATGAAATAGCTATGAGCAAGTCTTAGTGGCCATATGATAATTTTTTATACCTGTGCTACTTGTACTTTGAGCTCGTTTCCACACTCTTCTACACCACCCTTCAGGCCTATTCCACTAATAAAATATATCTGTTTAATTATCTTCACCTGCAAAATTGTCAGCTTGATAGCATTTAGACAACTCGACCATGATAATTAGAACACAAAATGAACAAAAAGCGTGCTAAAGTGACTTTTGGGAATGGTTTTTTGAGCTCCCACTGGGTTCCTATTGGGAGTTCAGTAGCATAATCTCAGAACCTCATATTTTTTCTATTCTTCGTGAGTTCGACTAATTTGCTTAGATCGTAGCGATATGTTTCTCATATTTCTTAAAGTTTCAGTTTTTTATTTCGCGAAATTTGCATATTGCCGACAACTTTAAATCACTCCCTGTTGGCAACGCTTACTTCGCCGACGTTGCCGGATCGTTGATGTCGAGTAGTTCAACCGCATCCCCCTCGTTGAGGTCCAATTCTTCCGGATCGGCAGCCTTGTACTTCTGCCATGCCACCAAAATCTCTCCCGGATTCTATAACGTACATTACGATTAGCTCGGCGTTTTTTACTTGGGTTTTCATACGAAAGCGGCAGCGCCATCTAGCAAACAAGCAGGCCCGCGTCGAAATAAAACCACGCAAAGTGTAACAGTGGCGGAGAAAGTGTGTGAGTTTGCAACAATTAAGCCAAGAATAAGCTGAAATAAGCGGGTACATACTGGGTGTCTCAGTACAAAGAACATTGAGGCGGTATCGTCGTCTTCGAAATCGTTCGATCTTCCTTTGTGTCTTTTTGGTGGGTGTGTTTTGTAAATATCTCGTTACTAGTTGCCTGTATGGGAAAACCGGGGGTGAAAACTATCGGGTTCCGGTAGGATCTTACAGAATGCGATTAACTGAAAATACTCACATTGCCACTTCCTTTATCTTGCGATGCCATTACTCATCGTCGCCGCGCACCTGGAACATATTTAACGCTTAAAAAAGATTAACCCGGAATTTTACCATAAAAAAAGCTCAACGGTCAAGACAATCATTATAAAATAGCACTTTTGCATATACTGGGCACTACTTCACGTGTATCCGAGCACATCACGAAACTTGCCAGCCTTCCCGGCGATGATTCTTACTTGTTATCGATCAGAGAAGAACACTTTGGGCACAACTTGGACGTTAAATTCGCGATGCAATTGATCTATATAAAGAGTGGGTCAGTCAATTCATCGCTAAATATCATCGTGTTGGTATCCTGCCAACGGAAACACACACGGAGGACCAAACAAATTTATACCGATACCCATTTCCCAACTAATCCGCATTCCCTATTAGGCATGATCGTCTTAAACTCAGTTTTTCAACGATCCAGAGTCAGATAACGGGGGATAATAGTTCAGTCGGACCAATTTTAAGGGTCGTTGGTAGAAAATTAATCCCTAAACTATATGAATTGAGAAAACATTTTGGAGCTCTTTAAAGTATTAAATATGTCAGTAAAATAATGAGTAGTTCGCCATTATTCATTCCGATGAAAAGAAGGTCTCTAATTAGTAATCGAAAAAGTCGTAAACGTAGAGGGCGTGATAATCTGATAGAAGAAAATATTTAAAAAATATGGCAAAATGACAGCTCAAGTGGAACCTACCAAAAAGTCCTGGAAGATCAATAAAAATTCTCAATGATGGTACAAGTTCTATTTTAAAGAGTTCATTAAGTAGAGCGCTGCAATGGAAAACAACCGCAAGTCATTTTATTCGATAGAATGAAATTGTTTATTGTATATATATACTTGAAAAATATAAAACAGTACCACATTGAAATAGAGTCGAATAGAATAATAGAATAATAATAAACAGTTCTTAATCTACATTTAACAGAATGTTATTAGCTGAGCGCGTCATTAAACATCATTGCTCTTATGCGATCTCCTAAAGCAAACAAATAATCATTTGATTATAATACATTTATTAAAGTGAATTTATTTCAATCCATATAGTAGAGAAAAGAAAAGAAAGAAAAAAAGAAATAGAGAAAACAGAACTATTGGAGCAAACAAGCGAAACAGCGAAATACTAGTTAAGTGGTTAAAACAAACAATAAAAAAATATTTAATAAGATATATAACAAAACTACATAAAAAAATTCTAAATAAAAAAAATCTAAAGATTTTATTTTTTGGCGCCTGTTGTGAATTTATTACCTAATCTTTTATTTAAAAGTTGTGAATGAGTCGATTGATTTAAATTGGAGAACCTTTAATAGCGTCATAGCTAAGACAAATGTTCAGATTAAGCTGAATTATACTTGGGAACACCATGAGCTACGAGTAAATTCTTCAAATAAATATATTGCTATTGGATTATATATTATAAAAGACTCTGAGACAAGCACTCTGAAGATAGTGAAGGGTGATTTCGTTTTCTAGTGTAATACGGCATCACAATATGAAATATTGGATAGTATTTAAGAATCAGTGAGATTACTGGTCGAAAACTAAATCTTAAGTCTTATTTTTGTTGAGTCAATATCATTTAGAAATAGAATACGGCAGAATACAAATTAAAACAGAGTTGAAAAAATGTTGAAGCAGCTTGACATAAGGAAGATGTTGATAATGTAGGAATGAATGGCCTGCAATTATGCAAGTAAAAGGTCTAAAGGAAACCCAATGGGACATCGACATTTGCGGACTCGGTACATTAATTTGTGTCTCATTTTAAATGGTGCACACTTTTATTCGAGCTCATCGAAACATCTCATCCACTTATGAAATCTAACAACGGAAACCTTGACCTTGACTTCAGAATTATTTTGAAGGCTTTTTTACTGTTAATTGTAGCAGCTTCAGTATGTGAGAAAAATAAAAACTTCATCTCAAGCAAAACTGAATCGAATGAAATAGTGGAAATCCAGCAGAGGTGCTGATGGGAGAACAATATTACGTAAATAAATGCTGCAGATTCCTGCTACGCAGGACCACCATGTGCCAAGTTATTTGTAAAACAATTCGGACTGGCTCTAAGTGTTCCGTCGTATTATTTCGTTTGACTTCGAGATAAAGTTAAACGGCGAGTCTTGTTTTGATGTTTCCAGATGAAAGCCTAACTATATGAACACGCATAAATCAACTCTCACCTTAGGCGTAAACGATTTCAGCAACAATAGCACACGGTGCGATGAATAATTTCAGGCGCCTATTTGCCGTTAAATTGCACTTTTTTAAAACGGACCCGTGTTAAACTATAAATATAGTGGAGTGAGATCGGCACGGTAAGGCGGCCGACCGGAGTTGCTGCATCTAAGTTCAAAGTTATTCTCGTACTGACTAATATTGCTATTGCCGATAAGCGTAAATTAAAAATACGCGTCTTTTAATTGATTTCCTTGGCCAGCTCGGCTCCGCTTATTTCCTCAACGAAATGGCTTCGGTATTTTTAAATCGCGCGGGCATTTGGTCGGACGTCAAATTTTAATACGAACCGTTTAGTCTTAAATTATTTGATATATTGACTAAACTCGTACCGATCGGAATTGTTACCCAGTCCTTACCTACTAGGAAATGTATTTATTTATTGAACGACGAAATAAATAAATAATCTACCAAAAAAGCATGGTTAAAAAAAATTAATATCTGGGAGCGACGAATTTCCTTTGAGAGACCAATTGTTTATTATATTACTAATGTAGTTAACAACGGATAGTTCTTAGTTTAAACTAAATTATTTCTCCAATGAAATTAAAGTGAGAACGTCGTCTACTAAACATTATGACTTTGAACTGGGAAATGTTAATCTCCACACCATTGGAGTTACAACACAGTATAAATCTATTTAAAAAGTGGTTCAATGTGGCCCTCTTGAGAAACTCCTGATAGAACATATATTTTATACTCTGCAACCAGCGAAGTATGAGACCGTTGAAGTTCAGAATTGCAAGCTTACCAAGAAAAATATTATTTGGCACGCTACTGAAGGCAGCTAATAATGCTAATAATAATAATATATAAATTTTTAACCAACACAAAATTACAACTACTAAGCAAAATACGATGGTAATTTCCCGGCCCTTTGATAATGTTCAGATGACTAAGTTCAGTGAATCTTTCAATTAATGTAATAAAATAACTGTAAATATTTAAATTAATTAATGATATTTCGGTACACGGATAATAATTATTATAAAAAACAGAGGTAAAGTGAACCGCCGGATCCATTTCTGCTTCAATATAGTGCGAAGGAATCATACTAAACTATTAGATAATATTGCAAAATTGCTTTGTGTAGCCCTGGTCCGTTCCACTTCCTTTTATTTTTGTTTGATTTGTAGCCATTAATGTAGATTTTTTTTTTAATTTTGTGGGATGAAATGCAGCAAATCACATAGTGAATTTTCAATTGGTCCCGTAATGTATTACGGTCGCGAATAGCCACAATAGGTCTCTCCAAAAACAGTTCGAAATTTCGAAATGCTAAGCGACACTCGAGCTCCACCTTTTTTGACTTAGTAAATTCCCTTTTTACCACTTCGCGAGAAATGTAGTGCCCTGGGAAAATCACATAATCCTGTGGAAACCCTAGCGCAAGAACCACCATTTGATCGTCACGAAGCCACTAGAAAAAGGTGTGAGTGAATTCCTACTGTTTCGCCGATTAACAACCACGCCCAGTCAATATCATTGCCCTAATTCCTGTAGTATAATTTTAAAAGAGGTTTACATTACTATCGTAGATTAAAGAATAATTTATAATTATCGGCCGTCCCCTTAGCTCTGTAGTTTTGATAGGCTATCCACTTTTCGATGCTCAACGAGCTCGTACCAACAAACGTACAAAAGAAATTCATTTATGACTGGGTAATTGGATATTGAAACATAGAGGCGGATGATGATTATCAACGGCAAATTCTATAAACAATAGTTCTCATTGGAGAAACCCCTATCAGTGAAATTGATACATTTTCCACTTTATCCGTCACAATGACGGTGAAAACAAAAAATGACTTATCCGTCCCAACTGATTCAGATCTCGCTGTTAATTATCTCGAGTTCTAGTCTGTATTGTTTAGAAAACGACGATCCGGAACTATGGAGATCGGCATTGAGAAACCTCCAACGCAAGGCCAGGGATTACGTGAAGCTGAATCCGATTAGCAACGAGCTAAGGTCTTTTATCGACAGGATTAAAAGAAACGACGACAAAAGACACGCGCTTGGCCGAATGTATGTCGTCAAGGAAGGAGAAGTGGTGCCTCTGGATCACATCGAAGGCGATCTTCATACCGAATCCGAGTTGGGCAGCAACTTTACCGTCGTCCCTCTGATTATTCCTATCGCCTTGCAACACAATTTGACCCTCAGGTATATATCGAGTTTCCAATTTAGCGTGGTGATAGGTTACTACTCTGGTATTATTGCATTGATAGAGAGCAGGTAACCGATTTGACCACAGTTAATACAGACCCTGTGGCCGATCGAGCAAGAGCAGCAATACTCGGAAGACTGCAGGCTTCCGGTAGAGCTCGTCAGGCGAACACATCCTTCAGCGAGGCGGAAACGGAAGAGGCCGTAGTGGACAGCTTGGTAGGGGAAAAACTGAAATCTAAGGATGGTTCGGATCTGAACAAGATGCTCGATCATGTAGCGGATTTAATTACGACCCAGAAACGTGGCCGATTTAACAAAGAAGGTAAAGAGTTTAACTGACAGTACTTGCCTCCTGCAATGTGGGGTTTTTGGTTGCACTAGGGGCGTTATGTAACACAAGCGGCTACTGGGACACGGAGGCCGGCGGCAAGACCCTGCACATTTTTAAGAACGACTCCTCCCAGGAGAAGACTTCAGTCGCGCTCCTTGATAAGGAACCCCCCAGCGAGGAGGGATTTTTAATCCACGAGAATTGGAACATAACGGGATTCTTGCCTTTCAATCGATCCACGCAAATTATTTTAACCGCCACCTGTTCGAAGGGCAGGAAAATCGCGGTCTTTGTAGGTTAGGTCGATCAACATCGATAACACTTAAAAGGGTGTCCATATACGTAAAACAACATCAACTTAAACGCACACAAACAAAACTGGAATGTGATCGAACCCGCTTGATTACTACGAAATCTACAACAAGGAGTAAAAATATAAAAACAAGGTTAAAACGGAGATCTGCAGTTTAGGTGATATATAATGTCTGCTTAAAATTTAAAACCTCATTAACGCAACCAAGCAGAGGATTTTGACTTTGGTAATTTTTAATTTCTCTAGAAGATCATCTTTTATACTCTTTGCGCACTCTTGTAGGATATGAGTGTCCTTATAGATTTAACTTTGAGGTTCGTGATCCCTGACTTCAAAGAATATACTCCTACTCTACCGTATTTTTTGAGCTCAAGAGGGCGACAGCTGAGGTCGTTTTAAGAAATAAAAAGTTCCTATAGATATATTATCATACAGCGTGCCCTCTGTTCATTTCCTGATCTGTTATAGTAGATAAAATTATAAATTTTAAATTAATTAATGTTAAGCATCTTAAGAAATGAACCTTAGGAGACAAATTTTGTCGTGATTTTTAGATGAGTGGCTTTTAAGGCACAGGGTGCGAAGTTCGACCATTTATTTAAGTTTGCGTGTGACGTGTATGGCAGTTAAACAGCACTAGAACAAACAAAAATGGCCTCCGGACCAGTGAATAAACGTTCGCTATTAAATTATTTGTGTCATAGGAGAATGTCGAATCTGCGATGGGAGCGAGACCATCACAGGCAACTGGGTCATGGGAAGATCGTCGAACAGCTGCAAGGACCAGAAGGCGTCTTCTTCATTCGTCAGCGACGTGCTGAGGAAGAATAACGTGCCCCTGTTGCAGGAGCGTCACCTACAGAAAATATCGGAAACTACAACGAAAGGTTGATTGAAATAAAACACGGTTTTCGATTGCAGTTTATTTAACGTCTATAAATTAAACTGAATCGTCCCTTTTCCTTCTTACTACGGCCAGTACGGCCCTGTGGCGTGCTTTGCCGACGGAGTTCGAAACGGTGCACTGGTATATACCAGCGTCCACCATTCGAGCTTTCCTCAGACCCAATCTAAATTCCTCGCCTTCGTGAGTGGTGATTAATTTGTTGCGATCGTCGGCGGCGATCAACTCGCCCTCCCACGTCCACGAAGCTACGGGGGGCGGTTTTGAAAAAGCGCGTATCGTGTAGGTTATGTCGTCGCCCTCCCTGACGCACATGTCACGCATGTTCGCTTCGAGGATCGTTGGTTTTGCTGGAAAGATCAATATGGATTCCCAAAAAATTGTATATAATTGGTTAAATAACCTTACTATCGACGTTCGAGAGTAATTTTTTTGTTTGGACTAAAAATGCAAAAAGCAATAAATATTTTCATTTCCTGTTTTTAAATAGTTAAGTATAGTGTATCTAAAAAAAATGTAAGATATAAAGAAAAGGGTGGATGTCAAGAAACAAAAATGTGTCTCCCAAAAGAATATTCCAATAAGGTAAACTCAAGATACAGATGGGAAGACAGGAAAGTGGTGGGTATGAATATCAAAATCCAATAATAAAGTCAGCTACAGGGTATTTCTCTCCTTCGAAGATATTGCAATTTGATACCTATTTTAATAACAAGTTTTATTTGGTAAATAAGTTCGTTTATCAATATGTTACATCAACTGGGTTGGGCTCTTATTTGACTATGTAATGACGTAAAGAAGGTAATAACCTCAATCTTGGGTGGATTCATAGCACGTGTGTACTAAAAAGCCTTTTTGGAGTTATCGACATTTACTTCTGAACACCTCCCACCCCTTTTTTTTAAGTATACAACAAGGAGGATACGAAAAAAGGTATTTGAATTTCTCTCAGTTTTAAAACAGTATACTCACTCCACTTGTGATTAATAGGGAACCTATGCCAGTTAAGGGCACCGCCCTATCTGTAACGGCCTTTATGCTAGTGAGTTACTACATGGGAATAATTGATATACACAAGCTTAATCTTTATAAGAATAATTTGTAACTAAATTTTTGACCAATAAAAAAAGGGGCCGACGGCGTTATTAGGTATTTAATAGGGTCATAAGGCCACATGTGAGAAATAAAATAAATATTCTCAAAATTCAAATTCAAGTGTGCATACAACGTTTTTGTTGCATAACCTTCAAAACGGAAGAAGTTTTTTCTAAAAATTATCCAAAAATTTGGGCACTTACTAACAAAAGCTGTTTTCCGTAAACTTTTTGCAGGGTTGTTTAAAAAATATATTTTTAGTAGAAAATTGTTATGTATTCTTCATTTTTAATATTTTAATTTCAAACGCATTCGTAATAAGACACTTATTTTGCGAATTCCTTGACTCCCTAAAACGTTTAGCGTTTTAAAGTTGACAAAAAAAGTATATCGGTACTTACTTAGAACGTCGACGATGCATTTGCTCTTGGCAGTGCCGAACTTGTTGGTCGCCTCTACGTGGTAATTGCCCCTTTCCGCATAGGATATCTCGTTGATAATGCAAAAGGCTCTGTATTTGTGTTTGCCGTAATTCTCCATTCTTACTTCGGCACGTTTATCCGCACAGATTTCCTGATCGTTTCTGAACCACTTAAAAGCGGGCGTCGGGTAACCCCTCACGATTACCGAAAGGTCCAATTTGCACTGCTCGTCGATGGTGACGTCGTTAAGGTGAACCGCTATCCTGGGTGAACCTTAAAAGCCATTAAATCCAAAGTCGAGAGAGCACAAACCTCATATTTCTGCGCAAATTGACTCTGTGTTCACTGAACAAAACAACATAAACGATGTTATACCGGGAAATGCATTGTCGAACGGATAATAGGAAATCCCATGTATATTTTACAGCAAAGTTGTAATATAACGTTTTGAGTTTTGGATTTTAATAAGCCAGTCACTAGCGAATATTTTCCATGACGTATGGTTTACAATAAAGCTTGGCTTCACAACATTTAAAATAAACTAAATATGTCTGTAAATCATTATGTTTTTCTCATACTCGGTTCTTAAACCTCTTTAAGGGAGGACTTGCTAGAGCATTCTTGGAGTTAATTTCATTTAAAGAACGGTTTAAGCAGGAAGCTTCCAGTAACGACTATAAATTTGACTCTCAAAATAATTAATAGTTGTAATAAAAATACGGCTACAAAACATTGCCTTAAAGAAAAGCTGGTAAAAATAAACATTATTTTTTAAGTAAATCTTCAAACAACCCTCCATCAACAATTAGACAATATCCTAAGCGATCATAAAATTCATTTCAAACATTACTTAGTTGATATCGTGAAACCGTATCACATTATAAGGAAGTAGCGTTTTGCAACAATTTGATTTTGTAATAAGTTCAAATAGACTTCTGCCGTGAGGGTATTGTCCATAAAATATGACCCAATAATATGATGTCCGCAAATTCCGACTCTAGTATTTATTTTTTGAGGATATTGACTTCGAATATGAACACACCCATATTCATTGGTTTAGCTCCAATACTGACAGTTTTGAACATTTGATTCCTTGTTGAGTGTGAATGTATATTCATCAGTAAACATATATACTTTTTAAAAATCCCCTAAATTCTACTCTTTTCTCTAAATCTCTAAATTGCCACCCCGGAGCTCGTTGTGCTTTTCGTATTTATAGGAAAAATATTTTTGTTTCTTTAATGCGCCCAACACTGTGGTTTGATGCATATTTACAGCTTGTCCATGAATCCTGGTGCTAATCATTTTGTTTGCCTCCACATGCAGTAAAATATTCAAATCCCTATTATCCCTTTCTTCTGCTGTATTATCGAAATTTTAAGCTGAACATTTGCATTTATTTATTACTGTGCCTCTGAACTCGAATTGCTACAGTTTTAGCCGGAAAATAAACCGAAAACAATTGTTTCCTCCATAATACCACTTAATTACGTTTGCTTCCTCTTTAATCGAATAACGAATTTTCGGTTTTCATTTCAGCGTGTTTATTGACGTATAACCATCACAAATAAAAATATTGTTACTGTCACGAATTTTCGTATTGTCATTGTCAAAATGTATTTTACTCATATTTGTTTTAGTAGTTAAACTATAAAATTTTTCTAATTCTGCCGTCACATTTAACTCAATAGCTGAAGAATGGCTTATTGAAATACTATTTACAAAATTTCGAACTCTAATAATTTCCACATTAAAGATGTTAAGCGTTCCATCACAAAGTACACTTCACCACAACTTTCGAATAGCAAGCCACTGTTGCCCTTAATTACATTTAAAACATAACTAACCACATATCAAAAATTCTTAAGAAATACAACGTCAAAACCAGATTTACCACATGCTCAGAAATCTCTCAACATCTTCGGTCCGTCAAAGACAAAATTCCATTTGAGATGCCGGGAGGTTACAATTCCATGCATATGCGACAAAGAATACATTGGAGAGACCGATCGAAAAATATCAACTAGGCTCAAAGAATATGAAAGAGCCTTAAGACAAATAAACTCATCAGTAGTTGTCGAACACAATCTCGAAACGGGACATAAAATTTTATTCGATAAAACTAAAATTCTTGCGGGTAATCGTTTCTTTTACCAACGAAAATCCGAAAATCTATAAAAATCTATAAGCAACCAAACAATCTTAAACGCGAATCAGGTCTTTACCTATCACCAATATGGAAATGAGTCATCCGAAGCAGGTATAAGTTTTGTAAATAGTATTACAGTAACCTGTGGAGGTTTCTTTGAAAAAATTTCTTATAAACATTTATTCAAACTTGGTGCATAAGTTAAGTTGTACTATACCTTCAAAGAGGTATAGTACAACTGCGCTATACAATGTACAGGGGAGAAAATATTTGGCATCCTAAGAATTTACATGGGACTTCCTATGTTCCGCTCGGAAATCACCATCATCACCCGGTATATTTCCTTAAAAACTTAAACACTATCTTCTAAACTGACTTGTTTTTAAAAGATTCTGTAAGGGAAAAAATCATGTTTTTATAATCCTATTAATCCTGTACTATAATTTTTTAACAAATCTATTACTTAAAAAAAATATGAATGTAACTAACAAAAACCAAAGGCTCAAAAATCTTACAGTTGACCGTGAGATTAGCATTGGTCCGCACCGAACCGCATTCGTTGCTAATTTTGCAAAGGTACATTCCGGATAGGTCTGTGGTTGGTTCGTTGACTATCAATTTAATATTTTCATCGGTCTCAATTCTAGCCAGCCCCGATATGTTGTTCGGCAACTCATCTCCGTCGAGAAACCTAGAGAAAATCAAAATCGAATTTCAGTTGTAAAATCATTAAAAACAAATCGATCATTACTCATTGGTCTGAAATTTCGTTTAACATCTTGATAAAACTTCGACAGGATAGCGTCACACTCATAAATGTCAATGTTCCATAGCATTATAAATGCTCATTTTAACTGTATTGTCCCACAAGTTATATATGGTGTATTCCAAAGTATAGCGCCTTGGCTTGTGACGGCAATTGTCGAAACAATGTGCAGATGGCAATAAAATACCTGTCGTACGATACAGCATCAAAGGGAGACGTTTAAGGTGCTTTAAATTAAATTTAATATTTTATTAAGTTTATTTAGGTATTTTTAGATATTTTATTCCTTTGAATATCGTCTGTATGTGCATATCTGTTTTCGAAAATGTACTTTTTAATTTCCGGAGGGTAATTAAATGTTCAAGTGCGCAAGATCTGTGTTCCCATTACCACTTCGCAAATAACTCTATGGACGGGACGCGATTAATAATTATATTGGCTTCCTGTTCTTCTAGCTTCCTTTTCAGTTTATCCAAAGTAGGGACGAACTTGTTTTGATAAAGGTAAGGTAATAGCTATGAAGGTTCGTAATTATTTTTTTGACATTTCTAATGAAACAAGACGACTACACTTCTAAAGAAAGTTTGTATCAAGTTATCGGCAATAACTCAAACAACGGTTGATGGGTACTGGAACAAGCGCATCTATATTGGGTGTAAGGCCAGTAAGGGAAACGACCAAAACAAAAAATACTGAAAATAATTTTCGAGTTTCTGAAATGACTACCAGGGGCGTAATTTCGTTATTTTAAATTTTAAAACTGGGTTTCTACAAAAATTCCTAATGTTTACCATATTCCAAGTGAATGTAATTGCAGAATGGGGCACCCGACTCGCAGCCACTCGATCGCATGCAGTAAGGGACAGTGGCGGTGCAAAATTCATAGTTTGTTTTATACATTTTTTTTAGTCATATTTGTATAAAATGCTTGGAGATATAAGAATAACCAGTTTTTGTAATTTTGTGTGTAATATTAAATATAAACTTATAATATAAACACGCACAAATGAGGACACAAAACAGAAACATGTCACTGCTGGGAGAAGAAGAAATTGACTGGTTGCCTAGACAAAGGCATCGGCCGGCCACAGCCGAACAATGGCAATTGCCAGGTGCTGTCCCATTCTGAAATTACGCGCACTCTATTTTAAAGTTGAGACAAATTCAAATATTTGTTGTTTAATGCTCCATATCTGCAAGAAAAGTTGTGAGGGTGTTTAAACATTTTCTTAAATAAATGTATATATCTTCAAAACTTAACGCATTTTAAAATAAAAAGGGCATTTCCTAAGCCATCAATCCTGCTATGAGTTACGCGATTGTGACTGCTTAGCATTTTATTTGGTAAATGCAGGATAACTAGATATAATTCACAACCCTTAAAATATATTTCTCTTTTTTTTCTATTTTTTCTTATATATATTTCTGAAAATCCAACCTTTTTTTATTGTTAAATTCTTTAATTCAAATTTTAAGTTAGGATAAAGATAATAAGTTGCGGTCATATCATATAGTCAGTCATATCGTTGGGTTTAGCTTTTTTTCCAAGAATATTTTTTTCGATTATATTAGAAAACGCCACCTGATAGCAAGGCAATCGCGTCACCCATAGCACGCCTAGGAAAAGTCCTTTTTAAAGACTGCAAATTAATAAATAAAAGGTTCAGAAGGCAGTTCTGCCTGGGGTAGCCGATTTTTTTTCAAATGTGAAAAACATATGGGAAACATGCATTTAAATTTTAAAAATGATTAGCAAACACTTACCACTTTACTTCTGGCCTGGGAAACGCCTCGATGTCGATGCTAAACACTGCAGTGTGTATAATGTGATACATGTCCTGTTCTAGGACAGTCGCGTCTTCAGGGCCCCGCAGAATGGTCGGAGCCTTCTTAACGTATATCCTCACGGAATCCTCGACGAAACCGTGGGCGTTCTCCGCCCTAAATTTATAAATTGCCGCATCTTGGATAACGACATTCTTCAACTTTAAAATAAAGAAACCATCTTCGTCGTCAATGAGCACCCGGTCGTCGGGAAAGACAGGAAATTCATTTTTGAACCAGGCAATTGTTGCGACGGGTTCCGATTCGATTTTGGCCTTCAAGATTACGGTTTCCCCTTGGAATACTTCAACGTCGGAACCGAGTTTTTGTAAAAATTTTGGCTTGCTGTAAATGTAGACACACCAAAATTGCGACACCTGCGCCAAAGCATTAGTGGCGACCACAGAATATACACCTTAAATGAAAAAATGTTATAGGGACGAAAACGAAACCCTGGAGGTTACCTGAATCTTTGAGGGTTGTGTCGGAAATACTCAAAGTGTAAAGGGGACATTTTTCATTTATTTTGAGGCGGTCGCTTTGTATAATCTCTTTGGAGTCTTTCAGGAATTGGACCTCGGGTGCAGGAATGCCGTCTACTTCGGATGACATTACCAATAGTTGGTCCACCCCCACGGAGAGATCTTCTATTCTGGTCTTAATTTCCGGATACTTTTGACCTACCAGAGGGTAGGAACACTGTGTGCCAAATAAAACGATCCACTATGCGATTTGGAAACCCATAGGAGATACGAAAGAAAGTTGTGTACAAAAGTTTCTTAGACTCCCCTGAAGATTTAAAATTTTATAATATTGTTGATACAGGGTGTCCCAAAATTGTCCCCCGCGGCATCAACTTTGTTATATTAAATGGAACACCCTATATATTACGACATTATTGGAATCTTTTGTTAAAATAAAGGTCACTTTCATAAGAAATTCCTTACACGAGTTTTGGGTAGTTTAGGTAGAAATTGAAGTTATGTGTTTTTTTTCATATTTTGATTACCCCATATAAAATTGTGTTGTGACGCTAATGATACAGGTACTCAATCAGTTTGACACATGCGCATCAGGTGTCCCAAATAGGTGGCGCCGTTTTGGCGAATTCAATAAACAACATCGCAACATTTTCAAATGGAACACAATATATTTTTATTACATTAGGTCACTTGTTGGCAATATTAGGTATTTTTTAAATAGCAAAGACATGATACTACTTCTTTGAAAGATATAATACGATATATATACGATATAAAGATATATACGAATAAAACCTATTGCTAACAATAAAGGGTGTCCATTAATACGTGAAAAATTTGAAAAAAAATCGACTCTATCGACTCAAAAGTAACTAATTAAAGTTTATAGGCTTACTAGAAGGTAAGAAATTTGAATAAATAAATCTATAAAACAAAAAGTGAACTAAAAAGAGTTCGTTAATTCCATCCATAAAGTTTAGTAAAAAATGTTCCCCTTAAAATGGTCGTTTCATCTGGCTTCAAAGAACAAACAAAGAAATATCAAAATATTTAAAAATGTTGTTGGCTATGACATCAAAATCTTTTTTTTTTACGCATTAAGGTATAAACAAACTTTGACATTTCTGTTTGTTTTTGTTGTTTTGCATATTTCTATTTAAAAAGTATAGATTATTATATCTTTAACAGAAGTATTATCATGTCTTTGCTATTAAAAACATTCCTAATATTGCCAATAAGTGATCTAATGTTAAGCTTTAAATTCCACGAGAATTTATACTGGTGTTATCTTAAACCTCGAATATCTCAAAAAGTAAGTACAATTTAAATATAAGATAAATTACAAAGTTGCCTTATTTGGTGTCTTAGAATTGGTATCTAAATAAAAATATAGTGTGTTCCATTTGAAAATCTTGAGATTTTGTTAATTGACTTCGCCAAAACGGCACCACCTATTTGGGACACCCCGTATAAGCTGATTGAGTAGTGCATCATCTCCTTAGTCTATGGTTAAATTTTGGTTGCAATACCTGTATCAGTAGTTTCATAGCACAATTTTATATGGAGCAATCAAAATATGAAAAAAACAAAAACAAATAACCTCAATTTCTGCCAAAACTATGCAAAATTCGAATAGGAATTTTTTAAGAAAGTGACCTTTATTTTAACCGGGAATTCAAAAAATGCCGAAATATGCAGGGTATTCTATTTAAATTAACAAAGTTGATGTCGGGCGGACACTTTTGGGACACCCTGTATCAACAAAATTATAATATTTTAAATCTTCAGGAGAATTCAAAAAACTTTTGTACGAAACTTTTTTTCGTATCTCCTATGGGTTTCCAGATCGTAGAGTGGATTATTTTATTTGGCACACGGTGTACACAACATTATGGCGGGGAAAGATGATGATAAGTATTTTAATGTACATTTTAAATCAATCAATGGTACACAAGAATATACAAATTTTAAATATTATGTTAATGGTTAAAAAAATGAATTTCTCATAACAATGTTGTACAGTGTTTTTTATTTGTTTTGTTACTTAAAAAATAACAGCATAATAAAATTTTAAATGGAATTGATTACTATTTTATATTTACTATTGATTACCAACTACTCTAATGTACGTTTACAAAAATTGTTTGTTTTCACTCATTCTTTTTTCTACACCCTGCTGTAAAATACCCAATTATACACCGATCTAGCTTGCGGGAAGCGTCAATTTACCACGCGAGTTTCTTGTCCCACGGATCCGAGCCACTTCGCACGTTTCCGTAATATTACCGTACGGGTTTAGGAGCAATCAGACGTTTTCAGAGATATTACCGCACGGCTTGAATTCTGTTAACTATATTTGCCGAGTTGTCCAAATAGATGCTGTATGTTAATTTTCTTTATTTACTATCATTATGTTCTCCATTATGAACTTCACATCATTTTGTGTATTAAAGTAATAACTACAATACAACATACAATTTTTTTTACATGCTAATATTTATCTATTTTTGAAATATCCACACAAACAACTATATAAGAAAATCAACAACTAAGGTCTTCAGTCGGCCAGAAACAGTAAACCTTAGGTTTTGGATATTCAAAATAAGAAAGTTGTGATTCATACACAAACATTATATATAATAATATAATATTTAAAGCGAGGATGAATCCAAACAACTCTTGTTTCTAAGTTGTTTTTGATAATTTAAACCGATTTGGCGTAAAGATATCATCCCACTACATACAGGTCATGCTGTACGTCAAAAATTTTAATACAATGTATTATTAATATTATGTATTAACACAACGTATTGTAGAATACTAGCCTACTTGATTTTTTTCGTTTTTGATCATTTCAAAATGTTTCGGGAACGGTTTGAGGGTGGTTGAGGAATTCTTTTTTTACTGAAACTATACAGGATCGTAAAAAAGTAGGGAGCCTATGAATGAGAAAAAAGATATATAAGTAGCGCCAAAAAACCCCATGCAGGTACCAATTTGCGTTTGGAAAATTACACAAAAAAATAAAAACACTTTGACATCCTGCATCGCGAAAACGAAGCATTTTTGACTACGCGTTTACTTTTTACCTTAAAAATAGTGTGAATTATAGGGCACTTATTAAATGACACCATGTACAGGGTGGCATGTTTAAGAGGTGGCTATACCTTATCTCGGAACCTACGGCCGTTACAAAAAAAATTAAATACAAAAGTTGTTTCTATTAAAATGACTTTTTTGTTTGCCTAATCGTCACTTTTTTATATACAGGGTGGTAAAACAAAGTTATTTATTTTAAGGACACTCTACATTTCATTGTATTTTTAGATAGTCCTTTCAAAGACAAATTCAACCATATATATGAGCGTCCGTTTCGAACTTATTAGTGATCATCTTCAGAATTAAGTTTAAACCATCATTGTTGGGTTGCTTATTAACTTTTTAAACATTTCCATCTATTATTTTTACGAAAATAATGCTTTTCTTTCGGCAATGATCAAATTTAAAATATCTTCTTAAAATAACACGTTTCGCAAAATGCTACTTTTCTTAGTTTTCTTTCTCTGTGTATTACTGGATTTTCGAATAGCCACTTTAATAGCAATTCCAGTTATATAACATAGTACGGGTCTCCGATTTACCGTTTTGGCTTAATTGACAATTATTTCCCAATAATACAATAAATTATTTTACTTTCATAATTTAAGAATCTTGTAAATAAGGTCCTTAAATGGAAAAAAATCTTTTAAAAAATATTCATATTCTTAATAATATAGACCACATATCTTTAAAAAATATATAGAAACCTGCCTGTTGAAAGACACAAATATAAAATTGATGATAATTTTGACCTTTTTGACATAATCATCGCAGTAGCTTTGAAAACAGTAGTAGTTCTCTGTTGTGGTAATATTACTGATTTTTTGACAGGTAGTTTCGAATAAATTGAACAAAATGAACATTTTAAGCGTATTTTTTTGACTTTCACTATTTTCTATTTATTTTATTAAGTTGCATTTTTGTTGAGTCTATTTTGTATAATGTACACGAAAGAGGAAAAAGTTGACCTAATAGGATGTTACATCGAAAATAACAAAAGTCCGGCTCTTACTCTCAGACAATATAGAGCCAAATTTCCCCATAGACGATTGCCAGGAAAAAAATATTTGCCAAAATATAAAAGCAGTTTCGAACAAATGGCAGTGTTTTAGTGACAAAAAGTAGGAGCTGAACGGTTTTGGATGAAAATATGCAGCTTGATATTCTTCTGCATTTTGAAAATACTCCAGAGACCTCCACCCGCCTTGTTGCTTCAGATGTAGACATAAGACGAACCACACAAACATGTTTAAAAATTAACAGTTATAAGCCATTTAAATTCACACCAGTGCAAAAACTACAAGAAGCAGATCTTAACCTAAGACTCGAATTTTGTAATATAATGATGGAGAGCCATTTTTTAGATAACATATTTCAAAATATAATTTGGACCGAGGAATCAATATTCACAAAGTCTGCGGTGTTAATTAATAGAAAAAATACGCATTATTGGAGTTCAGAAAATAAAAAAATGTGTTTTTGAAGTAAACAAGCAGGGGCGAAGATCCGTGAAAGTATGGTGCGCAATCTAAAGATCTAGAATTTTCGAACCCATATTTTACCGAAAAAATTTTACATCCGTACGATATTTAAACTTATTAAGGAACGAAATTCGGCAACTAATACGCAATAATATGCCCCAAAGAGGGCATCCAAATTTAGTTTGGCTGCAAGATGACGCTCTGTGCCATCGAAGTACTGCAATCATTCGTTTTTTAAACGAAAATTTCAGAGAGTGGATTGGCCAGCGAGGAGTCCAGATTTGACCCCGTTGGATTTTTTTTGAAAGTTTTGGTTTACAAAGATAAACCGTCAACAGTTTTGGAAGGCCATAGCAAATGCCATATACCATTTAGAAACAGCTTATACTACTTGTACTTCAAAACGGCGCACATATTGGAAAACTAATTAATTAATTAATATTACTTGTAAGAAATATGCATTAGTAGTTGGTGTTATTTTTTTGTAATCATTCCACGTAGATACAAGTAATTTGCAAAATTTGGCAATATTGTGCAAAGCTTAATATTCTGTTTTTTATATAACTTCTTAACAATGCTCTAAAACGGTTGTGAACAAGATGTTAATTCCCAGTTTCATAAATTAATAATTTAAATCTGATACCCAGTTTTTCAATTTATCTGCCAATTAAGCCAAAACGGCAAGTCAGAGACCCGTGCTATGTTATATAGTTGAAATTGCTATTAAAGTGGCTATTTGAAAATCCAGTAATACACAGGGTGTCTCATAGAACAAAACTGAGAAAAGTAGCATTTTGCGAAACGTGTTATTTTAAGAAGATATTTTAAATTTGATCATTGTCTAAAGAAAAGCATTATTCTCGTAAAAATAATAATGGAAAAAAGTTTAAAAAGTTAATAAGCAACCCAACAATGATGGTTTAAACATAACTCTAATTCTGACAATGATCACTAATAAGTTCGAAACGGTGCATCGCAGACCCATATTCAAATATATCGTTGGATTTGTCTTTGAAAGGACTATCCAAAAATGCAATAAGATGTAGGGTGTTGAATTTAAAAAAAAGTAACTTTGTTTTACCACCCTGTATATAAAAAAGTGACGATTAGAAAAAATGGTCATTTTAATAGAAACAACTTTTGTATTTACTTTTTTTTTGTAACCACCGTAGGATTCGAGTTAAGGTATAGGCCTCTCTTAAACGGGCCACCCTGTACATATGGTGTCCAGAACATAAAAGTTCCTCCAGCGAACGAAGCATTTGTTTGGCTTTGTTTGCTTTCGATCCACATTTTCCCTCCAATATACTTACGAATTACTTGTAAGACGATATCAACGGACGCAAAACCAATTTCGTTCTCCGCCATAATCGTGTAGATGCCGGCGTCCTTGAAACGGACATCTTTGATAACCAACATCAAAATATGCTCTGCGTTTTCGTGATATATTCTAGAATATTCCGTGCCGAGAGTGACGCGCGCAACCAACCAACCACAAAGCGTCTTACTTGTATTTTTTGCTTGGTTTAATGGGGACATCTTCAAACGTACACCTAAAGTCCGGTTTCGGGTAGCCGTTTATCTGGACTTGCAGCATAGCTTGGTCGCCCTCGTTGACCACGACTTCAGTTTTTTCTACCATGATCGAAGGCTTCCAGTGTCTGAACTAGAAGACTCCAATAGATATCATTCTACAATACTCCTAGCCAATACAATCTTACGGGCTTTTTATTGTGCGCAGAAGAGGCGATGCTATCAGTAGTATCGTTGCCTTGATGGCCGTGGCTGACTTCTCCTTGCACCACAGCACCAAAACTTAAAAGACCTCGCGTGGTTCGCGCTACAGAAGTCAGGGTTCCATCGTCATCCGGATTGACGTGTTGAAATACAAAGGTGACGGTATCTTCGTCGTCGCCCATGAGCGCTTTGAATCCTTCATCTGGTTTAAAGAGTTGGTCTCCATCTTTCGTTTTTATCGCATTTTTTACGAGGTCTTCAGAGCCTGATTGTAATTCGTCCATCACTTATAACTTTTTTTGAAAATGTTAGACGTTTTTGCTGTACAGGAATGGAGACTGTGTGTCTTGGTGTTGTTACTGTTCCAATTAATTTCGAACTAATTAAATTTTGCTCTCAATAGCCATTCTTTGGTTGTATGCCAGGGTTAAATACCGAAAATAATCGATAAAATTAGGACGCAACGCAATACGATATTGTTAATTGTTAAAAATAGAATAGGACGTGCATTATTGCAATTGAGTTTCTGTTTTCGGTGCGTTTCTTGACAATTTGGTGCGGCCATTTGTTTTATCGTTGAAAAAGAGCAATGTTTCGTTATATTCATGGCATTTTAGAACTAAGCTATATTATTTTTACACGTAAATACTTATATATACTCACACTTTTAGAATGTATTTATATTTTAAGAGAAAAAGTCATATTACCATATGTCCTAAGCTACTTAACTGTTGGCTAACTAGATATTTATCTTCCAACATTAATAGTCACTGTAACGAAATGTGGCACTTTGGATTTAATTTAAATTTTAATCAAAATTAAATTTAAACAATTTTTTTAAAGATGTGACTTTTAGCCAGTTAATAATTATCTGAAAAAATGTCATTGACTTAACACTTTATGTTCAAAAATGCCCCATACAAATCGGAGACAAACGAACTGATAGAAAAGAAAAATTGTTTAAAATATAGAGTAGTTTCTCATATAAATGTTTATATATATGGTTTAAAAAAAATGTTTTTATATTGTATCTTAGAAACTAAAATAGCTAGAACAATAAAATGTTAGTTTTTACCATGTTTTTTATTTAAGGTGATTAAATTGAACAACCCTTATTATTCTTGTTAACTAAATTATTTTGAACTAATTTATTTAGAAACTTTTGCCTCCAAGTTTTTTATAATCCGTGCATAACGAGGTAAAAAAACATCATTAGAAAAAAGAATCTATTGGGTTCCTGTAACTTCTTAAGGCGTTTCTTATTATTGTTTTATTTGATATTATTCACTTAATTTGAATACAATATACGACCAGTTTAATCAATTTTTATTTATCTAATCACCTAATTGTTCAATAACGAATGTTGGTACAAAATACAACTGATTGACTGCACCCAACAAAATTATTTTTCAAAAATTTATTTTTGACTTTAAATTGTATTTTTCATTTGGAAGCTGTAAGTTTTTTCTAATAAACCGGTATGTCGAAATTTATTTTTTTCCATATCATTCCGTAAGTTTTTTTTTTAAATTTAGTTAAGAAGAATGATAATAGTTTATAATCGTAATATCTTCGTAATATTTCATTGTTCTATTTTCGGAATCGCCTCCTTAAAATTTTCGCATTTGCTATACAGCTATAGCAGTAGTAAACTCTATATACCTAATATTGAGGCAGCTTTTAAGGTCTAATCCTTAACACCTTATTTTATATTGATAACTCATGTTTTGAGTTTGCGAAATTTTGTTCAAAAAAGTTATCAAATTTTGTTTTGTTTTTCGAACCTATTCAGTTATCATTCAAATTTTTATATTATATTTAAATTGCAAATATTACGAGGAGGAAAATTAGGTATACACTGGGGTTATTTGAACTACTTGTTTTGGATGGGTTATCTTTTTAGGTTTTTCTTGAAGTGGGCGAAAAAGAAATGCAAATGAAATGTACAAATATATTCAGTAAATAATATGCAACACTTCAACCATAAAAAACTAAATTATAAATACATATCGTGAATATATATTTAAATATGACATTAACAATAGTAGAATGTACGTGATTAATATGAATCATGTACAATAAAAATATAATAATTATTCTAAAATATAACTCACCAAAACTGACTTTTTAAATTAAGGTAGGTAAGTGTGTGCAATATTTCAATAATACAAACATTACATAAAGTATAAAAATAAAATTGACATTACATATACATACAAATACACCTACTTAAGTGTAAATGTAAATAAATAACGTGAAGTATATGTAATTCATGGCACATTTATAAAGTTTAAAATATCTTTAGCTATGTACTGCCCTTTGCTTATTTGCTATTTCTTTTGAGTTTCCCTACAAACAACTGTAAATACATACTTCTATACACTTGAATTGTTCCCTCTTTGATTCTTGCAAAAAAATAACTTTGAAAAACTGCTGAACAGTTAATTTCTAACAAACCAATTTTCATTGAAAATACCTAATCGTTAATTTTAACTGATTGGTTGCTCATCGGTTAATGTTGGACTTAAATGTCCATCACCAATCATATTACCATTAAGCAATACAGGACTTCCCGCAGAATTGGTGACTGGAGGTGAAGCCTGACTTCTCAATTCAAACACCTGCTGAATTGCATTACGAAAACAGAGAAAGTTGTAGTCAATTATACCTTTATGATCAAAATTGTCTTCCCGAAGTATGCAGACCAATGCTAGAAATTTGTTAACCTCCCTTAGATATAGAACAGTACCATTGTTAAGCTTAATCAAACTGGAACTTTGTTCGTCAAATGCAGCCGGTTCTTGGTCCTCCTTGACACTGTAAAAATTCACAATATGGATAAATTGGATAAAATACTTCAAACTCAACAATATACCCATAAATCCACGAAAGGTCAATAACCACATCTATCATATCACAGCATAGTTCATAACTCTGCATATCAACAGGAGTCGAGTCTGTTGCAATGTATATTTTAGAGACCACATCGAAAAGAAATGATTTTTCTATGGCAGAATTCTAAAATCACAATATTATCTAAAGAACAAAGTGAACAACCCCTACCCTTACAGTATTTAAAATATTTAATAAGTTTTCTAATGTCGGTAATTGTGTGATCAATTTCTGAACCACTTTTGAGAATGCTTCAAATATAGAGTGATCATATATAGATGTCAAATGAAAACTTAAATGAATCTGCTGGTCATAGCCTAAAAACATAATTCCCAAGAAAAACGTAAAAGATAATTTAGGTTTTATAATTTACCTGAATCTATTAAATCATCCATTGCCCTTTGGTGGATATCTCTCTGGCATTCCATTTTCGAATCATCTCCTAGACCATCAACTTTGTGAATAAAAACTTCAAATTTAATGTTTTGGTTAATTTTATAAGCCTTTGTCACAAACAGATTCAGTTTATGCAATGCTTCTACATAGTCATCCTAGAAGTTAAACTGTCTTTAAAAAGAACAAAAGCAAATCGTAAACCTATCTACCTGAGCATCAATAACAAAAACTAACGCCCCACATCCTCCAAAAATCATATCAAAATCGAAACATGTATCGAAAAAATCTATTTGACCCGGGAAATCCCATATTTGAAACTGAACAAAGCTAGAATTATTTATATCATCCTTAACAATCTTGTTTGTACTTTCTAGAAATAGGGTTTCATTTGGAGACATTTTGTGGAACACAACCTTCTGTATTGACGATTTTCCTGATCTAGAAACGTTTAAATGTCATTAAAAATAAGGTTTTAAAATAAAATTCTACCTGCGAAGGCCCATTAGTAGAATTCTGGGTTTGTGATCTGATGGATTAACATCTTGATCTGCATCAAATGTTCCATAGCCAAAATCTTTAGGAAACGATCCAGGCTGTCCATCGAATGGAACTACCTCTTCATCGTCTTGATAGGAAGACTGTAAGTTTATCATAAGGATGTTAGCAATAGAGTAAATAAATGTGTGTGTATTACCATTTCAATTAACTTAGTCAGATACTATTAATTAATAGTAAAATTAAGGTTTCGCCATTTTAACGGAAAGAATAATTGTTTATTAAGTGTCTAAACCTCTAGTAACCAAAAATTAATACAATTTTTTTCAATTTTGACATTTTTGCGTCTCGTAATTTTAAAGGTTATTTAAGTGACATTTGGCGACCACGACCTTGAAAAAGCTAGGATATCTCTTTGGGTAACAAATTATTGAAACAGTAATCTGGGTCCTATTGAAGAGAAGTACTAAATCATAATAAGTTATGCTAACTTTTTGGTATGGTGTAATGATGTAAAGTTGATGTTCGCGCTCTATCAACGGTGGTTGATTAACCAACACATATACTTTCACTCGGCAAGTTCTATAACTAACTTTTACTTATACCCTGTGATTCTTCGGTCTTTCTGGAAATATGGCGCCGACGTAAGTAAAGTTTCTTTTAAAAAAATCTAAAATCATCTGCAGCTTTCTCATTAATAACTGTTTTAACTTGTTTGGATATAACTTATTATTAGATCTTAGTTTTATTGACGTTTATATTTTTTGTTTTTGCGATCTATTTGATTTCTAACCTTACTTTTTTAATTCTTAAAAACACCTAACATTTACTCAATATTTTATTCACTTTCAGGGCTGAGAAGAAAACGAAAACAGTAAAGGGATTGCCAGCAGTGCCCGAATCGGTATTGAAGCACCGAAAAAGGCGGGAGGCGTCTCGTCTTAAGCGATTGGAATCTGAATTTAAAAAAAAGAAGAATCAGATAAAGAAACGTAAAGACATTTTTAAAAGAGCTGAACAATATGTTAAGGAATATCGATTGCGAGAACGCGATGAAATCAGACTTATCAGGCAAGCGAAGAATAGAGGGAACTTCTATGTGCCTGGTGAAGCTAAATTAGCTTTTGTTATTCGTATAAAGGGGTAAGTATCTAAACCCTTCATAAAATTATGTTTGGACAGTTTCTATAGTGGATTAAGTTTTGATTTTGGTCTACTTTCCATGCTGTCTAAAAGTAAATTGTTCTTTGTTCATGCTTCCGTGATTTTATTAATTTAAGCATTGTAAAGGGAACAAACACACAGATATAGTTCTTTAGTTATTGACTTTTGAATTAGTATTGAACTTTAATTCCTAATTTGTAGTATTAATAAAGTGGCACCAAAAGTCCGTAAAGTTCTGCAGTTGTTCCGATTGCTGCAGATCAACAATGGAGTATTTGTAAAGCTTAACAAAGCCACTATTAACATGCTGAGAATATGTGAGCCTTACATTACTTGGGGCTATCCTAACCTCAAATCCATAAGAGAACTCATTTACAAGCGTGGATTTGCTAAAGTAAATGGCCAGCGCATTCCCATAACAAGCAATCAAATTATTGAGGACAGACTGGGCAAATCTGGCATAATCTGTATTGAAGATTTGGTACATGAAATTTTCACTGTCGGGTCTAATTTTAAATATGCCTCAAACTTCCTCTGGCCCTTCAAGGTAATTGCAATTAAAAAAGGCTTGTGATTGCAGTTTGAATCAATTTTATTTTAGCTTAATACTCCGACTGGTGGATGGCGCAAGAAGACCAATCACTACGTTGAGGGTGGAGATTTTGGCAACAGAGAAGATAAAATCAATGAGCTTCTTAGAAGGATGGTGTAAAACCATTGTTTGATGAAATAAATTATAACATCTAAAATGCAGTTTTTTTTATTGTACTTAAATGCAAAAAGGGATTAAGTGGATGAGGTATATATGAAGAAATGTTATAATAGGAATATAAGAAATTTGAGAGGTTATGTTGAGTGATGGTAGTTGTTTGTTTTTATTCGCGTCTTTTAGAGCATTAGACAAACCACTTATTTTAACCAAAATTGAATTTCAAAAAATACATTATAAATCCGAGAACATTCCTGGGTTGTAGTCTGTCCGTCTTGTTCTTATAGATATGACGTTCTCCTAGATTTGTTCTTGGTTCCAAACTTAGGGTTTAGTTTAGTTAATTTTTAGTAATTTTCTCTTCACCATTGAGTTTAGATTTTATCTTTTGCAATAATTTTCTCAGCTCTAACGTGTATTGAAACACTCCTGAGTAAAAGATTGACAGTCTGTAATCGACAGCGCTGGGTAAACGCTTAACTATGTTAAGCCAATTGTAAGCATTGGAGTATGCTCTGTATTCTTCGAACACAGAATACTATACCGAGTTTAGCCAGCGGGCAAAGTATATAAATTCAAATATGAAGTTATTTGAATTCAGCTAACTTAACTTCTACAAGAAATAAAGATCAATTTAGCACCTGTTGCAGTAATACATAGATTAATCAGAACAGAAACTTAGGACACGATAATAAACGAAAATAATAAGAATGCGATATAGCTACTAGCTACATGGATAGAAATCATAATTTTTCTAGGCATGCTGTTGTCCGATTGTTAACGTATTCTATGCTTTTAAAACAGCATGTTTAAAAGTTGGTTATGATGTTTTGTTTATTTTTGTTGTAAAATCATTTAACAATGACTATGGATCGAGGTAACGCATTTTTTACCCTTGTTCTTGTAATTATATTTTTTTTTCTTACAGCATTATTAGAAGTTTTAAATAATACTCAAGAACCTTTAGCTAAAAGATTAAAACTTGCAGACAATGTTTTTAAAGTTCCTCAGATATCAATGCCAGGCAAAGAAATCTTTTTGTTAAAGTGGTTGTTTGAAAATTCGTACGATAACAATTGCTGCCTGGAAGTTTATGATTTGGCTTTGAAATGGGTTGAATGTGAAGACTTCAAAGGGCTATGTCCAAATGATATAATAATAGAGGACTTTTTTAAGTTCCTGGAGGTATGTTTCTTACTATTATTCTAATTGGGATATATTTGATTAAGAATTTTTATTTTAGATTTTAGTGGAGAAAATGCAAATAAATTTAAAAAATACAGTCTTGAGTAATAAAATTATCAACTTAGTATTGTGCATTACTGAAGTTAAGTTGTTTAGGGAATATTTTAAGCACAATTTAAAAATGTATATGAAACTTCTTTCCTCTGCAATCAAAAACACGCAATCCGTTACTGACATTACTGATTTTTTGAAGAGGCAATGGGCCATTAACAAGAGCCTTGTTGGGGAAGAAAAGTTTTATAAATATTTCTTAGAAATTCTAGCTCCTGTATTAATATTAAGTTTAATAGATTTCAGTAAAAATGCTCATTTGTTTGAGGAAATTTCGAAAGTTTTCCAAAAGGTAAGTCTTGGGTGAATGATTTTGCAGTGCTCTAATTTATCAATTTTAGTCCATATTCCAAAGTAACACAAATCATTTTGAAACATGCCTAGATCAATATTTTAAAAACCAAGTTGCTGAAAAACAGCATAGTTCCTTTATAAAGGCTGTTATGAAGTTTTTGTTATCTTCATATTCTTTGGATTCAAGCAATGCTGTTATTAGTTACCAGTTGTTGTATAATGCGCTTTGCCGCGCATATAGTTCAGCAACATTGAGGTATCAGTTTTTTGTAGTAATAGTTCAATTGATAGGATTTGATCTTAAACTGAACTTTGAATTAGAACAAGTTCCAAAATTAAAAACACAGTTTGATTTCACGAAATCCTTGGAGATATACTTAGGTTTACTTGAGGTTTTGAATCCCACCACTTTAATTGATGTAGAACTTGAAAAGGTTAATATTAATGATTTTCTTCGGAATATATTGAAGTCGCTGATATTCTTCAACATTCATACTAGTACGGTATACCAGATATTCTCAAAAACTGTAGAAATCAGCCCGTTGGTGATTGAACCAATAGCGGGAGAAGTGGTACGGTTTATAATGCTGGCAAATAACGAAAGAGTAATGGAAGATTATGAGAATTTGGTAATATCAACATTCAACATATTCGCTAAGCTTCATAGGACTGAAAAATTTGTAGCGAAAATGATTCAAGCATTAGGCAAGCCACCTTTCGAGCAAGAAACACCGCCTAAACAAATTTATGGTTTTCTGAAAATATTAAATTTTGAAAAGCCCGCCAATATCAATTTGTGTGCATCGACAATATTTTCGGAAAGAATATTACAATGTTTCACAAACTGTATATATGAATTAGCTAGTTGGCAGGTGGTCAACCTTTTAAAAACTCTTTGTTATCATTTAAAGATTGCTGTAGAGCAATTTTTTCTCAAAGATGTCAACAAGTCAGGTAATGAATTGAACATATAGTTACTACGCATATGATGTCAGTATTTTTAGACAAACACCAATCTTTATTCTTGGAAATCGTGGGAGTCTTGACTTGCAGATTGTTGCAAAGTAATAAAATGGCAGATCATTTGATCCCTCCAAATTCGGTTAAGAAATTTGTCAGCGGTTTAGAAGAGCTCAAAGAAATTTTCAGATTCTTCGGAAAGTCTATGTTGTTGAGGGAACATGTGAGTTACTTCGCAAATATATATGAGAAACATGTTTTATTAGCTGTCCGGTGCAATCTTAATTTTGGAGTTAATAATTCATGTGTCAAATAATCTCCCAAAGATAGACTGTTTTTCCTAGACAATCTGGTTTTTAACTTTGGTTAATTTTTATGAAGGTCTACTGCAGACCTAGCTCGTTTGGATTTCTCTTAACGTTTCAGAACCGTACTTCGGTACTGACTGATTTGTGTAGAGTTTTATCTGTGAGATTCCTCTATTATTATTAGTCCATACAGTGAAAAAACCATTTTTACTTTAAAAAGTTCTTGTAAATATAAACGAAGGAGAAAATTTGCTATAAAACAATGTTAGAATATTTATAAAAAAAAAATTCTACATCAAAATAATCACTATCGTCACTGGACTCGTCCTCCACATTAATTAATTCTGTCGACTTCTGTAAACATTTTTTCTTACTACAAGCAGATACTTTTCTACTTCACTTCTAATTAATTCTATTGCATCAGAACTAAATTTCGGCGAGGTGTTGTTTCTTCTTAAATGGAGTTTCAGCTGTCCCCATATCAGTTCTAGCAGATTAAAATTGCAGTGATATGGTGGAAGACGGACAACTTTGAATCTTCGCTCATGACCAACTTGTCCACATTATTTATACTTCTTTGTGTAGGAATTAAAAAAAAAAAACATCATTTTCAAGCAAAAAATTGTGAATGACTTCTTTAGTCGATGATGAATTCTGTATTTGTTCCGCTTGTGCAGAAAACAATTTTTCAAATCTGTCCTGTTTTCGTGGTAGTCAAAATTTGCTTCTTTGACATCTTTTGCAGAAAGCAACAAAGTGTTATCTACCTAACCAGCTTCAGAGCCCGCATGTAGTATGATAATTTGTTTTCCCCGCGAATCTGGCACATCCAACGCTGTTAGCCAAATATCTTGGCCTCCATCCTGAGATTCTTCTCGATTCCATCAAAATTCGTCTCTTATTGATGATTTTGTCATAAAAGTCAATTCGTACGAACGCACGCAAAGTCTCTTGCCAACAGTCAATGTTCAGTACGCAACTCTTTCTGTAAAGTATTAATTGCCTCACTATTACGGCATGGTGCATGTCAAGTAGACTTTTTGGTACCACACGATCTTTCCGCGTTTTTCTTTCTTGGACACCATTTACCGGCAACCGGCAAATGTGTCTCGAGTCTTTGATTCATTTGAGTTTGGCGGATGTTCATCAACTATCATTACTTCGTCGAACACAATTTCAACGTCCTCGTCCCTGGACATCGCAAGTGACTAACAAAATTGAACAATGTTAATATTTGGTAAATTGTAATAAAATGTATATAGTACCTCCATAAAAATGACACACTGAGTCTTGACAAACAATTGAATAACAGTAAGTTGGTAATTTACAAACACAAGACGGAATAGAAATAACTGTTTCATAAAACTGACAGCATACACCAATTTCACCAACCCCCACAAATCAAGCAATGGCAACCTGGGAAAAAATCAAAATAAGGTTTTGAATTGCTTTCCTAGGATAATATTTTAGACTCATTATGATGTTAAATTGGAAATCAGTTTAAGCTTTCTAATGTGTTTTTAACATAGGAGATCAACCTATCTAATGGTCAAATTTAACTTGAAATCGAGCAACCTTAAGTAGGGACTGTTTTAGGGAGATTTATAAAAAGCACACTGATATGAATTAATATAATAGTTTAAGCAAAGCAAATTTCTTCACTCCTACACGTGTTGAAAAGAATGGTCCCTTCCGTTTTACAACAGACTGGTCGTAAACTCATTCCGAAGTAAAAACCATGAAAGGTTGTAAAACGGTACATCGTCGGGAGAACTCTACTACCATGTCTTACAAATTCACGTGTTTGCCCCAGTTACTATATTTTGGAAGGGTAGCGTCGCTATAGAAACGGACCACCTGGTCCAATGTGTGAGAAATGAGAGAATGTAAAATAACGTTGCTGTTATTCGCTATTATTCCGTAATTTATTATGTAATTAATATTTTCCCTTGTTTTCTGAGCCATAGTTTTAATAATTATCCATACTTTGTAGAATAATGACATTATGAGAACATTTTTAAATTTGTGTTACGTTTGGGGCGAGGTGTACATGACTTTAACGTATTATTCTGTGGACGCGGGAATCGCGATGGACAGAGTCGCGGATAATACTTACACAGCGTGCCACTTAATGTACGTCCATCCCTATCTGGACCTCAGCCAATGGCAGCTCATATCGCAGAGGATCACCAATTTTGGCGAATATGAATGCAAAAAGTTGTTGGTTTGTAGTTATCCCGTTTTTCTAGTTTTTTTTTTTAATTAGCGTCCTTTACAGCAAATGTTTTTCGTTCAGAAAATACGGGCGATCTTATTGTTCGAGGGCAACGTCGGCGAGCAGGTGTGCTCCAACGTGATTAAAACGATCGAAAGTCATATGGAGGATACGTGGCATGATCTGTTGTCCGACAAGTTCGTTGTCAGTTTTCTCTTGCCGAAAATGGAAGGAAAATCGAAAATATTTTTGGCAGAGCATCTCGTCGGCGATAAGGCCTTGTGGACGGAGCCTCACGTCATGGATTCTATGTGTCTTTTAAACTCCGTGCATTTCGTCCTCATGTCGAAAATAAGCAAATTGCTAAGACGTAAGAGGAAACAGCAAGAGGTTCGATCGAAGGTGCTCAGCTCAACGCTATTGACGCGTATTCCAGAATCGGTCTTCCTAAGTGACGAATCGTGCGAAGTTAGCGACATCTTCGAAGAAATCCAAGCGAAATTGTCAACGTGCGATGGCGGCGCCACTGTTAACGTTGCCGACGACGCCGTTAACGATCTGCTGGTCGTTTTTAAAAAGTTTCCCATTATTTACGGCAGTGTTTTGCAGCAGAAGATTTTGCTGATGTACCTATTCAGTTTGTACTGTGACGTACCGGTGGAGGCCAGACGTACCTGCGAGGCTCTCATTATAGGTAAAGTTATCACAATCATAAACCTGCACGATATCTGTTGACCGTTTCAGTGCTTGAATAATTATGAACAGAAAAATGTGCTTTTTTTCAATGGGTCACCCTATATAAATTGAATTATAGAAATATTGCTAAAATATTTCCAGTTTTCGTTTATCTCTTTAAAGCGTTGACAGCCAACTACGAGGTATCTCGTCCTGTATTTACTTGCCATTTTTGTCCAGTTACAAAAGAACAAAAAATCAATGCTGGCTTTTGGACAGAAAACTTATTACACGATTCAATTTGTAAGTCCCTTAAAAAAAACATTTTTTTTTCTTTTTGATTTCGTCCCCTTTGCGAATTGAGGACGTAAAATTCTGCTGGCCGTGTATAATTTTTTTTTATTTATTTTTATTTATTTTATTTTTCACATCAAAAATATTCCGACATTCAAATAGATTTAGTCTTGGCCTGTCGGTTAAGCCTAGAAATCAGGTGCTCCTTCGCAGCGTAGGTTCGCGACACATGCTGAGTGCAAACGCTTGTTTTGCTTAAATTCTTAATTTTTTTAGTTAACAGCTAACCAAGTAATAGAAGACGTTTGTCAACTATACGAATTGAGGGCATAAAATTGTGATTAGACTAGAATTAGTTTTTAATAAGATAATATGCTAAAATCAAATGATCATTTTTAGCAAGATTTTTGAAAATTGGCAGTCAACGTTTCTTAAGAAATGTTTCAAACTTTAAAACTCTCAAATTTGGTCCACCCTATTTGAGGTGTCCAAAAAATATAGCCTTTTCATATACTCACACAAATAGCGTTCTTTGTCGATAAAATTTAGCATTTTGCAGAAAAAAAAAAGAATTAATTTTTATTTGTCTTATAAATAACACAATTTTAAAAATCGAAAGAAGCCTTTTTTTCAGTTCAGTTTAGTTAGCTTTCCTGGACATTCATGCTGCTATTATTAACACTTTCAGTGGTACTTAGATCTCCAATGTAAATTAAAGTGTGAAAAACGTTATGAATTAAATAAAATAAAATCGGTGAAGATGCAGGAAAGAGTTTCAAGGATTATTAAACACTACAGTCAGTCGTGCAGCCTGTCTTTCGTAAATTGTTTTTGATAAATTTTTAACTTCAGAAACTATTTAAACTTGAAAAAATAGGATTATTCTTATAATAAAAATCTGCATTTGATTTTACTTACATTAAAATGTCAGTTTTTCAGTAATTTTAATCAATTAATAATACATAACTAACTAAATAAACATACCCTAGGGTTAGAATACAGAATACAGAATTGTTGATCTAACAATTTTTGCAGGTAGTTTGCAGTCCTGCAAATTTCAATTGACGGAATTTAATGTGGCCGAATTGTGCGCGTGGATTTTGTCGAATTGCGAGCGCAGCCATGTTGTCTTTTCGCTAGTCTTGAGCAATGTGTTCAAAGAGGAAGAGTCTATCGCGAAATTTGTACCTTTTATACATTGCATGACGCAAAATTTGAACGATCCTAGATTTTTGCGAGCCAGTCTGCTCGTGCTGAACGCGATCGGCCGAGCGAAAAATTCTAAAATTGATTCCGAGAAAAAGGCCGAGCTAAGAGAAAAAATTTATCGCGAACTCGTGGCGGAGGTAACCTCGAAAGCAAAGTTTTCGATTGAAACTTACGCCGCGTGCCTTAAGCATTATCTGGCGACGGACGCCACTGGCGATGACGCCGCCAGGCTTTTGGAACGTTTTGACTCATATAGCGTTCACATATTCGAAAACGTCTTGTCCCATGATGACGTCCGAGGAAGTTTGAGATTATTTAGCACCGCTTTGCACAACAAACAGAAAATTCCCCAGCTGAATGGTGATTTTCTGTCGAGGATCTGGAGGTTCGTTAAGGGTTTGGACGTGGCCGTCGAAGATACCGATCAGTACGCTCAGTTGGTGAAATTGATCGTCACTCTTGTTCCTAACGATCAATTCCGCCATATTTTGGAGGATCTTTCGAATTTTCCCGTATGTTAAAAAGAAATTAAATTAATTAGAATTGTAGGATCCTGCGCCCATTCGTTTTAAACCTCTGCTTTCCTCTGTCCTGTCCTCTCCCCCTCCCCTCTCTCCCCCCTCTCAGTCCCACTCTTGTTCTCTCCCTCCCTCTCTTCTCTCTCCTCTCTCACCCCTCTCACTCTCTCTCTTGTTCTCTCCCTCCTTCTCTTCTTTCTCCTTTCTCACCCAACAAGAACTTTAGATCGCTAATTATTTGGCAAGCAATATAATTACCATTTGTACGTGTTTTAGACTCACAATGACGAAATTGCGTTGGAAAAAATGTTAAGAAGTTGGGAATCGATATTGGCTTGTGACATCAACCCTATAAAAATGCAGATATGGCAAGCAGCTGTCGAGCAGCTCATTCAATTCTTCATCGTTACACTTCAAGCTGCCGAAACTAGCAATAAAGTAATGAAAATGTTAGTTCATGCAGCAGAAAATATAACTGAAGCAGATCATGTATGTGCAGATGAATTTATACTTTGACGGATGCGTTACAGTGAATGTATTTGTTGCAGTTTGTGTTGACGTCAAGTTTAATAGACATGCTGATAATCCTCGTTTCGATTGTAATAACGCGTTACAGTGACTTCGATGGTGCGTGCGCAGGCTGTATTTCCATTTTAGAAAAGCTGTTGAAATTCAGGCACGCCCTTATAATGGATAGACTGCCGCCTTTCTTGCAACAGTATCGTAGCGTTTTAAAACACGTCTGCAAACGAAGTAACTCCGAACTAAATCTGTCGGCTGGCGAAGTGAACAAAATGGCGGATTTAGCCCGTAAATTCGAGAAACTCACGACGACATTGGTGTCATTTAAGAAAGATATGGCCAGGATATCCTTGTACTTGATAGCCGACATTCTCCAACGATACGAAGAAGTAAATTTGTACTCGAGCGTGAAACTTCACGTGAACAACTGCGTCTATAGTTTATTATCGTTGTGCGATCACCACGCCGTCTCGTACCTCATGCGGGCCTTGTCAAAAGCTTCAACTGAAATGTTTAAGGTTATGTATGAACACTATAAGAAGTATTACATGTTCACCGGGAAGGTCTGAATATTGTTTTGTATATCGATTATAGTAAAGTTTGTTACAAAACTCAGTGTCAGTTTTGAATTCCCTCAAATTTCATTATTCTTTAATTGCACGAATCAAAAAATAGGTATAATATTTTAAGCCAGAGCAGTCACCTTGATCTACTGGAACGGCATAATATAAAAGTGAGACACCTTTTACTTTTTTAATTATTTGCGTATTTTTTCAGGAATATAATTTCTTAAAAATACATAAAAACGCAGGTATTTACCCAAGCGAGTATATATTTAACCAGTATTTTTTATTTTTTAATAGGAAGAATTTTATTAAAAAAAATAATTAACCAAAACTAAATCAATTAGCAAATAGTTTTTGATGATAAAATCAAATTAACAATTTTCGTTGCTACATGGAATAAATACTTTATTTACACAATAAATAACTTGATGAGTTATTATTTATATATAAAATGAAATGAGATCATGTAATAGAAAATACCATTGAAATGATTGCACAAACGATTTGACCTCAAAAAAAATATAGATCGATATTACTTACCTGCCATTATTATTAAAGTGTATGACAAAAAAAATCCCTGTTACTACCCGTCTCACTCTAAACAAAGTTTTCTCTACAAAATCCATTTTAGCCGCATTCGCAAATCATGTCTGTTCTACAGATAGAGCTTAGTGGATTAGAGCAGCTCTGGATTAGAGATCTTTCTCTAAATTTGTTACAAAACATCCATATTATCTCCGATTCTCATTTTGAGCGGTAAAAATCGATTTTAGTTTTCGTTATTGTTTTTACGATTTTAAGAAATGATATATGCCGAAGGTTGTTTACTTCGCAAATTATTCATTTTTTACCGAAGGTATTTGTTCCGGTCGGTCCTTGTTGGCGATTTTAGGCAAAGATTGTCAATTTCAATGTTAATTATATACAAATAGATTTAAATAATTATGACTGAAGTTTGTTTTGATCGTAACGACGATGATAATTATTATTCCCCTTGTGTGGAACAACGTTTATTTAACCAGCCGATACTGATGACGTCACGCATGTTTTGAACACTTTTATTTTCGGCTTCGGAATTTATTAAATGATATCTTCACGGCAGCAGACTAATGGATTGCTGAACTTTGCCACAAATACCTTTTAACAAAATTAAATTTAAATCTACCTAACGGCTAACTGGTGAATATTGTTAAAACGCGTATTGGAAAACTCAATTTCTAGTGAACGTCGCGTAATCGATCTGATTAAGATTCGAATAAAGTGTAACTGTAATTAAAATATCAAAGGTGGTATTTATTCGAGTGGTCAAGAACGGTAAGAGGACCGGATAAAGAGAACGGGGACAGTGTGAAAATAATCAAAATAGTCGAAATATATCCCAGGTAGCAGAGGATCGTCAAAATGACGTCGTAACTAGTCACCAAATAACGCAAGCGAATGATGACACTTAAGTGACGTCTTTTTTACGTCAGTTTTTGTCATTTAAGCGAAATCTTTTTTACGTCCACTTTAAGTCAGATTTTGGTCCTTACTGTAAAATATATGACGTTTTTTAAATTGTTTTTTTTTCTTTTTGCAGTGGGAAAAATTTAAAATAAGTAACACAGAAACTGCCGATTTAAATTAGATAGACTGTCTTTTGCGATTGCCGAAAATAAAATAATAATGAAAATATAATAACAGGGTCTTAAACTTCATTTTTTCACGAAAATTAATATTTTTCATTTTGATTCACCCTGTAGAATAGATTCGAACTAATTTCAATACAAGTTTGGGATAAATGACTGTACCACTTTATAAAATTACAGTTCTCCGATACGGCGTCAAAAATATTGGGTAATTTTGATGAAAAAAATGACCATAAATCCAAAGACACTAACTATAGACCTTAACAACCCTACATTGGGTCGTTGAGTGTAAAAGGGGAATTTATTAATGCCATAATATACAGTGTTTTCTATTTGAAAATATAAGTTTGATTTATCCCCTGAACATAATTTTAAATTGTCTCTTTTGGTCTCGTCTATAACTTATTTTGTATTTAACATTTTTCTCTAAAACGAATAATAAACGAAATATATTATTTTGACACACACACACACACACACACTATAATTTTAATTATGAAGTTTAAAGTTCATATCTGGAATTAACTAGGTCATTTTATGACGAGATTCCGAGGTCAATTTTGTGTTGTTAATAAGACATCCTTTTTTTGAAGTCAATTTGACCTGTTTTTCGGACCGCCGAGGAGTAGCGAACATTTATGACTCGAAAATGACGTCACTTTGACAAGCCTGTGGCACCTGGGATCACAAGCACTTATAGTTCAAATAACAATTACAGGTAGAAAAATTGAGGAATAATATAAAGCAATCTCTTATTACATCCCTCTGCCATTAGTATTAACGTGTAGCAACTAAACTTTTAATATATATTAGTTTAGTTTAGGTCAGAAGTCTTTAAAGGAATGAAAACGTGATGATCATTACATAAGTCATTTACTTATTGCGCAAATATTGACGCTCCTCTTTAGCTTAATAATAATGTGTTTGGAAGAAATTCGAACTGCACTAAATTAAAGTACACCCCGGATCCTCAGCACATCGGAAACCTTTGATAATGACAACAAGTAACAAAGTAAGTCGTCTGGACTTTCACGGATTCTCCCCCAAAAAGTAATTGCGGCCCATTACTGGCTAAATTCAATTTAACCGTGCGTTTCGAAACAGCTTCTACAAGTATATCACTAATTTTTCCGTTTTGTCGTAGTGTTTCCTATTAGTAATATTGTGATTTTATTAGGCCTAAATATAAACATATTTTATTTAAGCTTTATATTTTTAAAACACCTTAAAAATCCGCCCTTGATGCTCCGCCTCTCAATGCGAGTGACAAGTTATTTCGATGAATGCTGTCAAAATCAAATGCCAATAGCTTTAAACCTTCAAATGATAGGCTGTAGCAATTTATTTTTTCAAATGCGGAATGTTACTCCGCTGGACTTTTGGTTTTTACAGAAAATTCCAGGAAACCATTCTTAGGAGTCAAAGGCAATTTTTTAGATGACGAAGGTTTTCTCAATAAGCGCTGAAAAAGTGACAGTATTGCTGGATTGGTCAGCAGTTGCAATGTCTTAAAATATCTTTTCTTAGATGAAAACATATACGTGGGTGTTACAAGAACAACAAAAATCGATATATATGACTTATCGGTCTGTCAACGGTCACAAACTAAAATAATTTCGATTTGTAAACAAAATTCGAAGTAACTTGTCGTTTTCCACGAATCGCGCCAACCTAGACAACATCCAAAATCCATCGGACCACGTTCGATGACTCAGAATATTAAGAATTTTCCGCGTGTGTACCAACGATGAATGACTAATCACATGGTGCGAGTGTAAGAATCGAAGAAGTATGCAGGCCGTTTTAGAAATGACGGAAGACTCCCTTCCCAAGCGTTTCAAGACGTGGTGGACGTCGTCTACAAGAGCGCAAACGTGGAAACATTTATAGAACGCCGGCGGTGTCGACGTTGCTAGTTTTATTTTGAACCGCGTGTCGCGTAGTTTGTCGTGTGCAACACTTTGGAAACCTACTTTCAAGATGAGCAACATTGGTAAGTATTCTCTTGCGACCGTAGTTTAATCAACAACGCTTACGCTCAAAAAAATTTCAAAATTTTGGCAATAGCGAAATGTACATATATGAGTAATCTTCCTTGTGGCATCAAACAGTTTTTTAAGACTGCCCGAGCTTACCAACACTTAATCGTGATGCGTCGATTTCTGTCCTTGCAAAATAAATTTGTTCCGTTTCCCCTTTCGAATACAAAACATGCTCGTTAAAATTAACCCACCTATACTCAGTATTTGGTTAGTTGCGTAAACTTTTCCATACGTGCTGTTGCATAAAGAAGAAGAACGCAATTATTCTGATTTTAATGGTACAGTATCCTCCTATCAACCATTTCAAAACTAGTCGACAGCAACTTTTGGGCTTCACCCGGTACATCGGTGACCTCCAGCGTGCTCGGTTGACCATACCGGTGTATTTTGTTTGCCTAACTATATAATTATTGGGCGAGCTATTTTTAGCAATGTTCTCATAGAGATTTGATCGTCACGGTATAGGTTTTATTAGTATATTCTGCAGCAGTGCACTTGTCACGGTTCCGATACTTCCATCCAAGTTACGGGTGGGTTGGGCTATACTTTGAATTGCGCAACCGCTTTCTTTTAGGTCGAAAGGCCATCGACATCGAAAATTTTGTTTGTGGTCGCCAAACTTTTGTAACAGAGTGGCCGTCATTAAATATATAGATCTTTCGACTCAGCTGATACATAGGCGATAAATGATCATTGGAATATTAAATAACGAATAAGGCTATAATAAAACCAAATTGATATCAAAAGTGGTCCTGTTGACGATAAATTCAATTTGTGATAGTGTCAGGGTGTTTATAAAGGGAACTAACTGTCCAGTTTTGTAAATAAACTTATTAATAACAGACAATTACGCGGAATGTTTAATTGCATTTAGTTTTAATATCACAGAGATGTTTTTCATTTTAAAACTGTAATTAAAATTTACCTGAACCTCGTTCACCAAGCCCTCACTTTTTCCACTCACTTTGCCGAAAATTCCTAGTTTCTCAATAAACAATAGATAATAAAAAAAACTTTACCTAACGTGTTTAGGAACGCTAGTATTTGGTCGCGTCTTATAGGTTGCGTCTTATAGGAAAATAGAAATTTCTGATGTTAAAATATATTGTCGCATTATTATGTACAACTAAAGGTATTTTTTAGAAAACCTAACCTAAAGTAACCTAAACCTGTAATACATTGTTATAATTTGACATACTTAAGGAAATTGAAACAGTACTAAATAAAAATGATATCAATGGCAGTGGTTGGACGGGCAAAACATTGGTATACGTAATTTAAATATTTGTTATTTCCATTTTATTGCTTTATTATGTTTATGTTAAAGATTTCGCACTAACTAAAATAAAGCCACGTAATTTGTTAAACATATATGACAGACTCTCAATAAAAATTGAAAAAATATTGTAGAGAATTCTCCAGTGCAAATGTAACCTTGACTTCATCTCAAACTGGATCTAAAAATAACAGCAATATTCATATAGATTGTAGAAAAAAAAAACGATCTAGAATTAATGCGCTAAGCTGCTTTAGAATTCGAAACCACAAATGAAGGATTCCGTTTTGCGGCATCAATTTGTACATTAGAATCACTATAATTAACCCTAATTGTCTAATAAAATGAGTCAAACATAACGAAAACGTCATTCCACATGCTTCCCGCCATTGATTTTCGTTTATTGGATCCCATCAGATTTTAAACACGATAAAAGACGTTAGATTCGAGTTCTACCAATGTCAATCGCGTGTAAATCCTCCACATTTTACAAAAGTTTGATAGTTAAGGTGTCGTTTCAGACCATTCCGAAGTATCGAAAAATTTTATGTTTATACCAGGCGATCGATTTTCAGAACTTTATGTTATATCGCGGTTCGTATCATTTGTCAAAACACGCGATATGAAGATCGTTCTAATTAAGTCAATTTCTGTAGGTCGACATCGATACTATCGTGCCTGCCTCTCCTCAAGCGAATCGCGAATAAATCTCAAAACTCATTTAACTTAATTTCACATGAAACGAAGATTTAAAATTGGGCGCAGCTTCGTTTCGCGTTTATACTAAAACCTTTTTGTCAATTTTTAAAAAATGAAAACCAGATTGCATTATACTACGTGAAAAGAAAAGCTACCACATCACTGAATGTCAAAGATAGAAAAACTGTGACAATGTCAAGTGAAGGTACGTTCACAACACTAAACGTTGTTAAGGTAACTAGACAAGTATTAAGTTACATTTACAGTTAATTGATATATTTGATAAATTAATTCTATGACTACCATTTACGTTCAAAGTTCGACGTTTGCTAAAGCCCAAGTAAAGTTGGATTTTCCTAGGAATCTTGGCAAAACCAAGCACGAACGAAAGTTCAAAAGAACCAAATGAAATTAAGCCCGTTGGTCCGAATTAAATAGGAATGTAGTCTTATAAGTATTATACCTGACAATTTTTTATTGCTTTTTTTTATCCTGTAATCTAATTTAAATAACTGAATAAAATAAGAAGTATAGCAACACCCATTAATATCAATACTATGAAAAAATTGCATCACAGCATAAAAGCACTACATTATTGTTCTAACTTCTTTACATCTGTGTAGAATTTTCAGCGCATAGTTTTACTTGGTCACTGCGATACCAAATAATATGTTTGTGTTAGACGTAAGAACGAGACGAGTTATTAAGTAGGTCAAAGCATTCCAGCAGTTCTGGCTCCAGTTTGTAATTGATCGATCCGGTGTTGTGTAAAAATGGTTTACTCCAAATGCAAAAGACGGATTCTGTGCGTACGAGGAGTATACGAGAAGTAAAACGTTAAAATAGATAAAATAATTAAGAATATCGCTTACAAGTGTGTGGAATATTTATTCATGCAGAACATGTTTAGGCTTGGATCACTTTTGCCAAGTTCATTAATAAACAACTTACTATGCTATGCTACTATCGGTTCTTACTACCGCAAGAATTACATGTTGTTAATTGTTTACGCAAAATCTAAAGTTCTAAAGTTTTTATCTATGTTAGATGAACGATCTGAATCGCATACATTTTACTGCGATTATTCTTACGATCATATAGGTACATGGATAGGGGCGTTGCTGGTATACTTTAGCATCATTTTGCTCTTACTTTCATTCCGTTTGAGCGAAAACCAGTCTTAATTATTATATTTTTAACGACAGAACTCTTCACCGAGGACCGCCTCGAATACAACTTCTTCCCGAATGATACGGGATTCGTCCAATTCCGTGTTAAAGCTGCGCATGATGCGCACATCGCGCTGTGCACACAAGCCGCTGAAATCGACCCAATGTACGAAATTTTCATAGGGGGATGGGGAAACACCAAATCCGTAAGTACGAAGTTGTTTGGATTATTTTTGTTTCCATGGTGGTACATGTACAAAACCTACTAGATTTAAAAATATTTTGATTTCTCTGTCACGAAATTGACTTTTGGTTTATTGACTAAATGATATGGTGTAATTATTTATAAATTCTATGCTAAAGTACAGTTTAAATTGTGAGATAAGTAATAAGTTTTTTATAAGCTTAAACTTAATTTATTAATAATTTAGTAATTTTTAGTTTGTATATTAGCTGCAACACATTGTACCGTCTTTAATAGATATAGAGTCCAATCTATTTTAGGAGTATTTTTTTATTACGAATTATAATAAAACGAAACAGGAGGGAACAAAAAATTAAATTCGTATTCAAAAGAACATTTACCTATTAGATTAGAATTTAATCAGTGTATACCAACTTTATCCCTATGGTGCAGATCATTAGGAAGAACAGAACCAAGCCCGACGTCGCTGAAGCACCCACCCCAAACATTCTGAATGAAAGCGAATTCCGCGGGTTCTGGATTCGTTGGGAGAATGGCACCATCTCCGTGGGTCGCGAAAACGAAGCCGCCCCGATCTTGTCCTGGACCGACTTCGAAAACATTCCCATCGAATACGTCGGGATTTGCACCGGATGGGGTGCAACCGGAGACTGGATTGTCCAGCCGCCTCAACCTCAAGGAGGAGCTGGCCGCGTACCTCGTGGAGCAGCCGGTACCCAATGCTGGGTAGCTTCCAGTAGCGGCCAGGTACCACCCAGTGCTTTTGCCGGCGGGGAAGATAACGGCGAACCTGTCTACGTCATCAGAGCGCAGTACAATGGAGCCCTCCTTCCAGGGAAATTGATTCCCAGTCACGGGCAGGCCTACGTCGCATGGGGAGGGGCTGAGAACACTGTACAAGAGTACGAGGTACGTGATTTATTCATTATTTTTCGCGCACCCGGTACCGCAGCTCGCATTCCGTCGGCGTGTGTAATCGCCATTTTTAATCATCATTAATTATTTATTTATTTATTGTCGTGGCTTTTAACCTTCTGACTAATTTCGTCCCACTTGGTAAACAGGTTGTGCAATAGCACTTTGTGAGCTTAATATGGCAAGGGAATTTGGGGTACCAAGCAAAATTTATGGCATGCGAAGAATTAATATTTTACTTATTATATTTAAAATTATAGTTTAGTTGAAATTTCCAAAAATTTTAAATCATTTTCCCAAATTTCTGCTCCCATATCCCGTATAATATTTAACAATAGGTGATTTGTTTAATAGAAAGCGTGTTATTTAATAATTGTCCGATATATCTCAAAGGTTAATTTTTCAAGCATTTTTGAGAGAAAAATTTACTATAAACGTGTGGTCCAAAATGCTTCTCGGAGGGTGTCATGTTTTTAATTTTTATTTTGTGTTCGTTTGTTTGATGTTGTTTACCAATAATTTATGTTGATTAAGAAAAATAATTTTACAAAATTGTTTCACATTTTAAAAAACACTTGGTTCAATTGCATCAAACCAAAATATTTGTAAAACAGTTACTTCCAGAAACTTCTAATTGGAGAATCGCTTTCACGTAAAAATGATTGAGGAGTTCATCTTTTTAAACAAAAAAATTCATGGTCGTATAAAAAGTTAGGAGCCTTTGATATTGAGTAAACACACATAGGTAGCGGCGCCCTCTACCAGTACAACCAGCTACTTTAAGAGCAAATTCAAATTTCTTATATAAAAAAACTCCTAGGTACCAATGTTCGTTCAGAAATCGGTATAATTTAGGAAATTATGCAAACAAAATTGTCGAAAAAACTCTTACCTTAAAAATACTTACAGAAATTATACTTACTTACTTATATATAACTAACCGTTTTTTAAAATTTCAAAATTCAAATCACAAAATGGACGTTTGCAGGTACTGTGTGATTTCCCCGGCCAGTGGGTCGCCTGTTCCGGTGGCAATATTCCCGGAAACGCTCTCCCCGGAGGCCAGTCGGAAGACGGCGAGGCCCTCTTTGTCGGCAGGGTGGTGCACGACGGGAGCTTGACCGTGGGCAAAATTCAACCCAGCCACGGCGTACTGTACATCCCATACGGAGGCCAAGAATTGTCATTCTCCGATTACGAGATTCTCGTACAATAAATGACGACATAAGAACTGAATAATATTTATATTGTCGCTTTGTTGCTGCCTATATAACGATATACTATATTTTTACTGTATAGAGAGTAAAATTGCGTAGGAACTTGTGTAAGCGTCGCATAGGAACGGCGATGAATGGCTTTTAGGTGCCTTTGTAATAGAGTGCCTGAAATTTTTTTGAAATTCGACGTATTTAGGCAGAAAGGATATTATTTATTCGTATTAATTTTGTAGCATTTTTGTTGTTTATTGTTAAGTACACACCATAATTTTGTAAGTCTGTTTTTTGAGTACAATAAAATTGTATTTTCACCATTTTTGTTTTTATTTCGTCCTCACGGATCAAGAAATTTTATTGCATGAAAATAATACAAATAGACATCAAATCAACGAAAAGGTTTTTTAGAGCAGGTCAATTTTTAGTTGATTTTTACTAATTGAACTCACGGCATTCCAGCCTACTGATTGATTTGATTTTTTCGACTGCACGTTTCTCCAAAACGTAAAAAAAAAACGTAGAAAACAGATTTTCAAATTTTGTGCTTACAGTTACTGAAACTCATCAACTAGAAAATTGGAAAAAAAAATTCCAAACTCCGCCCCAATATTACTCGCCCATGGCAGCGACGAAGACTAAATTACAGTTTTCAATGAATTGTAGTAACTGTGCCAGATATTACGTAATATTATCTTCACAGGTTTGGGCTGATTTGAGAACCTTTGGCGCATCCACCATTTGTCAACAAAATGCGACCACGACAATTTTCTGCTGTTTATGGTTGTTGCGGTTTGGTACGGAAGTTTTGTTACTTCGATAAAATCTATCTTGAAAATAATGATTTACAAATATTTCTTAATTCAATCGCTTCTATGCAGAAGTAATTAAAAATATCCGAAAACAATAAATAAAATATGCTTCCAAAAGTATTGCTGCAGAGAAATAAATAATGAGCAAAAGAGTAGCATTTATTTTGAGTAGAAGCAAAGCAATTTTAAAAAATTCTGCAGCCTATATTTTTCTTTGTAATAATATTGGTGAAAAAGCCCTTCAGGATGCAACCGAACTTAATAATTTTAATCTAAGTAATTGAAAACTACTACTTATTACTGCAAATGACATTGCAACAAAATTCGTAAAGAGAATATAACTGTTGAGTAATTTATATTATTGATTTTTTTCTAACTAAGAATTGCAATCTAAAAAGAAAACAAAATTTTAAAAAATTCAGGAGTCTATATTTTTCTTTGTAACAATATTGGCGAAAAACCTTTTAGGATGCAACTGAACTTGACAATTTTATGTTCTTGAAAACTACTACTTTTTACTGCAAATGATACTGCAACAAAATGGACAAGAGAACGTATATTAGTATATACATTGCCCTACTACTACTAGCTATTAAATTTTTCAAAAAATATCGGAGTTGCAAAACCCTTGTGAAAGAAATTTATTTCTTTTTGTTTTCTATTTATAAAATTATTAACGCAGTAAAATGTAATAATTTCAAGAGTTAAATCGTTATTCTAAGTAGATTATTATATAAACAAACTGCTAGATCCAGATAAATGTAAACTGGTCTCAAAATTACTAGAGAGAAGAACAATTTTTTGCACAAGTTTTATTCGGGTTATCATTTCATTACAAATTAATATCTCTGTGCAACTGCATTAACCGGCAAAAAATTCTTAACATTTTATTACCCTCTTATAATTCTGGGGACGCTATACTAAAGCCACTGAACCTACCTAATAAATCTAAATAGAAACATTCGTATGCTAGGACGGCGACGAGCGGTTTAAAAATTAAAATCTGACGCAGTTTAATAAACGCACTGAACTTCAATATTACAACAAAAAAATTGTTATCGACGATTTTAATTTCAGTTTACTTTATACGCAATAAATTACTCAGATAAAGAAGCTGCTCGTTAATCTCGTACGTGGCGTGCGTCTGATGTGCATTCCGGCCGCGCCATCTCCGTACGCTGCTAATTGTTTGCAGCAGTTTTTCAAAAATCTCAAATACGCGTCCTTGGATTCGAAATTAACGCAAATGCTTGCATATGGAGACGCTTGTCTCGTGACGCTCTGCGCGAACGCCTCTGCCGAGGCAGAGTTTCCTCAACCAGAAGAAAAGTTTATCATTTTGCAATGAGCCGCCGTCCCGGTAAGTTTTCTTAGGTTAAATGTTAGATGATATAAATGCTTGATAAATATAGAATCGAACCCATAGACGTAAACGCGTCGTCCGTTAATTTTTGTTAATTTGAGTTATGCCAGGCCATCGTCATAATAAGGAATGCTGGATAGCAGCCAGGGACGGCGAAGTACCACCTGGTGCTTTTATAGGTGGTGAAGATAATGGGGAACCGATGTACGTGATAAGGGCGTACTACGAGGGCTCTCTTTTACCGGGAAAATTGCTGGAAAGTCAGGAACAGGGTTACGTTCCTTGGGCCGGATCAGATAATGCGGTATTTGAATACGAGGTAATCGAATTGAGTTTTTTTTAAATTAATTAGTGAATTAAACAGATCGTTTTTGGTTTCTTCTCCTCTAAGCATTATCCAAGGACTGTGGAAAAGAAAATATCGCATACGATGTACGTCGTATATGACCCTAAGTTAACTAGCACGTTATAAAAAAAATGTACCGAACAGTATTTTGTGCATCAAGTTTAATAAGCGACTCTTTAGTCACGAGTTTTGATTTAAACGAGTGGCTGAAGAAGTTGATCGATGGGTTGCATACTACACTTCTATAACCATTGCTTTTTGAGCACATTCAGCGAGTGACGTGTGATGTGACCATCAGAACTTTCAAAGTTCAAAATACCCTTAGTGGCTAAAATCGACCGATCTCCTGGCCTAAGGATCTGGAACGCCCAATGTGGCTCACGACATTTGCTAACAAAGCGGACGACTTAAAGTAACACTTTGCGCACGTTTGATCAGTGCATAGTAGATAATAGTATATTATGCAACAAGTGCGGTAAACGGGTTTGGGAGCAATAGGATGTTTTCGGAGATATTTCGCACGGTTTGAATTTTGACGTTTGTCGTTTCTGACCGTCATGTCAGTGAATGTATTCCTGTTGTTTTGCAAAAATGTACCCAAAAACTAATACACAGGAAAATGTTACGCAATATATTAGACAATTTAAATACTACGTGCTATGAGCTACAATTAAAATCCAGTGAACCAGTCGCTAAATAAAGTTTCCCACTGAAAGTTTACATATCGTTCGCATGAACTTTAGTGGTTTTTACAGTTTTCCAGTTTTAACAGTATTAAAATCTTGCCAAGACCAATTGTACGATTTTCAAACATCAATGTCTCATCAGTGCAAATAAAACAACAAGCTGTTTCTTGCTTATGCCATCTTAAAAATTTAATCCTCTTAAAAGCTCTATCCTTGTATGATTTTTCTTCCAATTACAGTCTTTTTCTTTAAATGAACAATTTAAAAGTAAAAAGTAAAAGTTAAAGAAACAACATAACGTTTTTAAAATTGTGTTTATTTCGTTGTTTATATGATATATCCAATAATACATTTCTCCCTGTTTAACGTACACAGTTAAAAAGAGACAACAATAGCAGAACCAATCGGAACGGTACGTGAATAGGTTTATTGGCAACTAGTAAATATTTTCTGTTATTTTTCAAATTGTGATTTTTTTGTGAGGGTCTTAGAAAAAGTATAGTATGCAACACGTTTGGAAGACTCTTTATCTCACTCGTTTATTGAGCACTCGCTCCGCTCGTGCCAAGTAAACTCGTGAGTTAAATGCCGTTCACCGCACTTGTTGCATAATATACTATTTCCTGCTTCCATCCTCTCAAATAGTAAATTGCACTTCGGACATTTTCAGGATTTTACCAACTGGTTTGAGAGCAATCTTTTGTTTTCGAAAATATTACCCAACGCTTGAATTTTGACCCAGTGAATGTATTCATAAATAATGGTCGTACAAGTATGTTTGGTAAACTTTTTAAGGCAGTCGCTTCGGTCATGCCAAATGAATTCGTCACTCAAATGCCGTTTACCACACTTGTTACATAATATACTTATCTTGAATGGCGCGCGCATCCACCATTTGTCAATATATTTGTTCTGTTTATAATATTTTATTATTTTCAATAAGATTTTGTTTTATTTTTGTTAATTTTTATTCTAGGTCTTTCAACGAACATTGTTCTACTTTCTAGGGTCATCAGAATTCGTTTGGCTAATAAAACTATGTCCAAAAATATTTCCTTCAGGACATCGGCTGTAAAAGGGACCCCAAAAAATTATTTTCGATATGGTTTATTTTGTCCTAAAACTTTGTGATTCTATTTTTAATTATGGGATCAAAATGATATATTTTATATAAATTGCCATACAACAAGTACTCTCGTTTAAAGTCAATAGATGATTGGTTTTGGAGTTATTTGAAGATTTTTCAACTAATGACGACAGAAATTACTTTTTAAGCTCCCTACGTTAAAATACAATGAAAAATTTAAGATTTCTGTTGTCTTAATTTCTTTTAGATATTTCAAACCGTTGTAGCAGTAATTTTGAAAATAAGATATTTTTAGGGTTGCATTATGCAGGAGGCATTTCCGGTCACATGTTTAGTAATCAAACTAACGTAATTTTCAATATTCTATATTCCTAGAAATTAGAGAAACATGTTTAAAATCCCTAGCATGTTTTGAAATTTAACTGAAAAAATCGTCACAAGAGCTGAAACTGATCTAGCAGCAATTTTTCTGGTTATCCAAAAAAAAATAACCTTGTCTAAACAATTAGTGTAGAAGAGGACATAGTTGTTTCTTTTATTTTGATTTTGCAATTGAGAGATGGACTCCTGCAGATATTTTTGTTTCCGTTGTTTCCACTTAATGTATTTATACTGGCAATGTCTTTGGTTAAATTTTATAGGTACTCTGCGACTTTCACGGTTCATGGCATCCTTGTTCTGGCGACAACATTCCCCCTAATGCAGTCCCAGCTGGTACTTCTGGCGATGGGGAGATCCTGTACGTCGGTAGGGTTGTTCACGATGGTACCCTGACGGTTGGTAAAGTGCAACCGAGCCTAGGTTTTTTGTACATCCCTTTTTATGGAGAAGAACTTTCCTTCTCTATATTTGAGATACTGTGTTATTGAGGTTCGATTAAGCAGGGCTTGACGGTTCCCACGGATCGTAGACTAAAAACTACAATAGGTGAAATATTGTAAACTATGATCCTCTAATCTGACAATCTCTGTAGTATTATTTAGGATTAAGCTAGACTTTGACCTTGTAGCACTAAAAACGGAATTAAACATTTGTACTCTTTCAGGTGCTGTGTTTTAATTAAATATCCCCACAAAATATAATATGTATTACAGAATGCGACTTGTTGGCGAGTTAGCTAATTCACTACAATATAGTATCAAATCACACACTAAAAACAGTCGACAAGCTTAGGACAAGCGATTACTTTCAGAAACTTGAAAAATATGGTTATAACGATAACTAATAAACAAGGATAAAAATGAATTCAATACGCTGTTCCTTTTGGTAAATCGTTGTTTGGACAAAAGTAACACTTAGCTTAACCCTTAACAATTAGCACAAAAATAACCATCCAATTTTTAATAATTATAAAAAATAACACAACAGCGAAATGAGACAAGACTGACTGCCTTGACATTTCTTATTACCCTAGGCAACTAAAACTTGGGGAAAACAATATAACCGTAATTTCTAGTGTTCTGCGAAAACGCGCAGAGTTAGCTATAGGTCATCCTAATACCATACGATGAGTAATTTGAGTAATTAAAATGTATGTTTGAATCAAGTTATAGCCACTTAAAGTTCCTATTATATTAAAATAACATTATCCATTTCAAAAAAATCAATTTCGATACTTTTAGAAATTGGAGTTTATGAAAGTAATTTCAAAAAGTAAACTATATTTTCTCTGCTCTACGAGTGAACGTTTTGGGAAACCTAGGAATTTGGGTGCAAGATTCATTGCTGAATAGCGTGAATAAATAATCCGTCAGGGTGAGATAAATGGGCCAGTTTTGAAGGGAAAGACCTCTTCCAGACTTTTGTAAAACAAACTATTATATCCCAGTTAATTGAAAAAAACTAAAACTCAGCGCATTAACAGCCAAAATTGGAATGTAAATTGTAGTAATTTGTTTTCTGTATCATGACGGCGCAATTTGAAGCCTACTAAAAAAATTATTTATTTATTATAATATTATTTTTGCAAAGGTAATTTTCAATGATTCAAAAATTTACAGCTCGTGCCTGATAAAAAATATTTTTTCCTGTAATACATATTAAAATATATTTTGAAAATGTTTTCATATGTCGGATAGCAAAACAAGTAGGGCAATTTTTTAAACCTTTTTTTTTAAACAGCCCACAACAGTAGCAAATATCCATATGCGGTATTTATCATAGTTTTTTTTATACATCGACATCAGCTTTTGGCTGTCTCTTAGCTTTTCTTTGAAGTTTTTTTTCCGAACCCAACCTTACATTTAGAGTAAACTATTGTATACCATACTCGAAATGTGGGTCAGTTACTTATTCATCCAAAAATCCAGTCGTGGAGAGGATGTCACCATCGATCGTTTTCCAAGAAATTTGACGTTTCTCAACGCCGTAAATTTGCAATTGACGGCGTACTAGGCGATACGTCTGTGGTCAGAACGTACGTGTATTCCCGCTTAAGATAAATTGTTTTACCAGCCATGGTGAATGTTTATTCGAGTGTCAACTTCGGCGCGTAAAAGAATAAATTCAAAAACGAGTTAAAGTGGTGATTAGTAATCAGTCTGTGTTGAATCTGCTTATTGTTAGTACGACCGGTCAGGTATACTTAAAATTGATCATGTTCAAAATGAATTTCATTTTTGTACGTTGGTTTTTGGATAGTCGCATTATGTCAGAAGTGCGATTGACTCTTTGCAATTAATATAGTTGTAGTATCATTTAGATAATTTTCTTGTTTCGTTAATATCAAACAATTACGAATCGTTCTTTTTTAAAGTGCTTTTGTTTTGTACTTCGTATTCTCGCAACTTCAAGTAGGAACTATTTAGACGCCCAACAATTTTTTTTTCTGAAAAAGTCTTAACCGGTAACTTTATTAACGCACAATCTCCAATTCAAATTTTAGGCATGCATCCGGTCCCAAATTGCCGTTAATCATAAAAATTAATAGAACGGATAGATTTGCGGTTTCCTAATGTGCGTTTAAGCTATTGTGGACTATTTTGAGAGGTCCATATCGGCAAATTTAGACAGAAATATAACATTAACAATTTTTTTTGTATTTCTTAATTTAAGTACTTTGCCCATTGTTCTTCGTTCAAAAATAATGCAATAATTACAAGAAAGGCGCGCGTATGGGATGCAATACTATATTATGCAACAAGTTTGATAAACGCCAATTTAGTCAGGATTTTGCTTTGGCACGAGCGGAGAGAGTTCTTAATACAGAGTGATTGAAGAAGTTTATCAAACTTCATTAAATACTATTCGTTTTGTACTATTAAATAATTAGTTGGAAGTAATTTTACTATTTCACAGCTTCTTTTCAGTGGAATGAATGTCGATGATATACTCGATATACATATTTTTTTATTTTATTATTATTATTACTGACGCTATAGACGTAAGAACACGAACTATTTTTTTTTAATGCGTTGTTGGGAGAATGTGTCCTTTTCTATTTTATTCCAATAAAAACAGTGTCTTCTTCTTTGCTTGCCATAACCAAAAAGAATTTTAATTCGATTGATTGGCCCTGCAAGTTTGTGTTGTTTACATTTGGCGGCACAAACTTTGTAATGTAATGTAATGTAATGTAATAAATGTATTGACATAGGTGTATTTCCGTCGGTGTTTAAGATTTCGAGAGTAGTTCCAATCCATAAGGTAGGGGATATAAATGATGCTAACCACTACAGGCCGATTTCAATCGTGCCTTTGTTCGGAAAAGTTTTTGAGGTCTTACTAAAAGATCAGCTAACTTCTTATATTAATAAGATCGAATGTCTTTGTGCTGGTCAGTTTGGATTTAGGGGAGGGTGTTCGACGATCCAAGCAGTGTCTAAACTTGTAAGTGGGATAGTTGAGGGCCTCGAGGGGGGTGAATTAGTTGGTTTGACCTTGAGTGATCTCTCCAGGGCCTTCGACTGTATTTCTCACCAGCTTCTTATTAAAAAGCTATACAGATATGGTATACGAGGCTGCCCTTAGATCTTATAGCGTCCTACTTGCAGGGCCGACAGCAGTTTGTTCATCACTTGAACCAGTAGTAAGCGGGGTGCCCCAGGGTTCCGTCCTGGGCCCGCTACTATTTACAATCTACATAAATGACCTTTATCATTTCTTGGCCCCCAATCAGTGCGTAATGTTTGCCGACGATACATCCTTCACTACATCTGCTAAGAGTATCGAGGAGTTGTCCGTTAGGGTTGGCATGTTGGAGGACAGAGCTAATGTCTGGTTCGAAAATAATTATCTTAAATTAAATTTAGACAAGACCCAGAGTATTGTGTTTTCCTCCAATTGCTTGGTAAATAGTGGACAGTCCGTCAAGTTGCTTGGCATTAGGATCGATGATAGTCTAAATTGGAAACAACATATCTCAGACCTGAAAAATAGATTGTCCAGCAACGACTGATAGGCCTGATAGGAAGAAGGACTCTGCTTATGGTCTATTTTTCTTTGTTGCATTCACACTTATGCTATGGCACGGTACTGTGGGGTGATTCCTCAGCTGCTGTGGAGTTTTTTAGAATGCAGAAAAGGGCCATTCGAGTCGTTGCTAATATAGGATATAGGGACCATTGTCAACCTTTTTTTTTTAATTTAAAGTGATGCCCCCTCCTTGCATCTATATCTACTACCAGTTATTAGAGATACAGAGAACGAAAGGAAACTTTAGCGCTAATTCCGATTGCCATGCCTATTCAACTCGTTCGGGGGATCTCCTTAGACGGTCTAGGTTTAGACTGAAGAAGTCTGAGAACAACTCATTGAACCTGAAATTGTATAATGTTTTGCCAGGTACCGTGAAAAAGATGAGCAATAGAAAATTTAAACATACTATTAAAGAATTCCTACAACGTCATTGTTTTTACTCCCTGCGAGCATACATTGACACTGTCACTGGTATCGATGCGCTATAAAACTGTATAGTACTGTCTAATTTTGTTTGTATTAGATGTGTGTTTTTATGTTACTTATTAATTTGATTTTATTGCACTTGAATATCACTTCTGATTTGCTACAATTGTATGTCGCTTTTGTACGAAACGTAGTCAATAAATGAATCTATCTATCTAAACCTGTAAAAAGTAGAAACACGTTTTTTTCATTTTTCTGAAATCACAATACACCCCATCCTTCTCGGAGCAAACAGTATTACTTTACAAAATGCCGTATTAAGTCGTAATATATCAAGCTTATTTTAAAGAATGATTTTACTTATACTTTGATCAAGAACAATTATTATGTGTTTAAATGTACATTACATGTCATTAAGAAGACATCTTAAAAAATCATTAACAAGCATCTTTACTTAGTTAATAGTAATTAGAGCACATATTTTAACGTTAAAAATGCTCCCAATTTAAATTTAGATAACGAAACTAAACCTATTTGGTTCTTAGGTAAAGAATTGTGAATTTCACGAATACATAGCTAGGTGGAGAAATCACGAAAAACGTAAAATTTCTAAAAAAATAAAATAAAAAACTCTTAAAAATTGTAAAAAATCGTCTAAATAGTTTTTTTTTAATTGAATTTGATTTAATTTTTACGAAGACTAAATTTTTAATTTCGAAATCATTGTAAAAAAATAAATTTCAAATTCAATATTCAATTTCGGTTACGCGGCCGGCAGCAGCTTTTATCTCGGCAAAAACTAATAAAACGGTTTGATTAATAGTGTTGTTTTTAGTTTAGCGTTTGATAGTCGGGAGAGTCGGCTCATAGGTGACCACAGCGGCGTCCGTCATGTCCAGTTTGGAAGTGGATTCGGTTTATTTTTACCCGCAGGAAAATGCGAAAGACCACAAAACGGATAAGTTCGAACTTATTTACGATGAGGAATGTCCCATGCCGATTTTCAGAAGGGGGCTGAAATTTAACATGGCCGTGCGGTTCGTCGAGCGCGGATTTGACCCGCAAACCGACAAAATTCGGCTTATTTTTAACTTGGGTATGTGCGATTTTTCTATTTTTACTACTTACCGGGTAGTGGAGCACTTTATTTTGTTCCAAATATACATTCGCGTCTCGTTTTCAACGCTCAATCAAATATTTAAAATTTTTGGGTATGATGGTTCCAAGGATAAAATCCTATTCTATCCACACCACTTTGATATGAGATATTTCGTCAAACAAATTTACAAGGTTCTTCATAAATTTATTTACGAAATTCAACTTGGTCCAATTTTCGTCAAATCAGTAGTGCCAACTATTGAAATAAATCACATTAACCATTTTTTGTTAACTTGTAAAATTTCTACTTAAACCACCTCAAAAACTGTTTACTATTCAGCGCCATTTTTAAACTCTTTCGTAACCAATTTTAATCCCCCTTTATTTTCGTTGTCTAGCCAAGGCCTTGACCCACCATCTTCTTTTTCTCTAGAAAAGATTGGGGCTCAAACATTTCAGCTAAATAAGGACTAACAACAAAACATAGACAACGACAAAAAGCCAAATATAACCTCATCTCATATCAATTTATAAAAATTATTAAATTTGAAGGCGTCCATAAGTTTGTGAAAAAAAGTGAAATTGTCGCATTTTTCCGAAAATTGCTCCATAGTGGATAAGATAGGGCATACTCTGTATCCAACTAACTTTAAATACGAGTATATAAACATTGTCCACTACATTTATGTGAATATCAATCATACAATTAATTAAATTTACTAATTTTAAAGCTGACAAATTAATTAATATTAACTTATTTTTAATTGGGGTAACTAATAAGATAAATTTGTTGGCGTATGTGATTTTATTATACATTTATATATCCGATATATAGGATCTTTTTGATGCATTGAAACGGAACAAGTGCAAGGAAAACTTTAAATTCTTAATATTTTTTCTTCTGCCTGTGTGGACTATTTATATTAAACTAGTGTTTTCATTGAGTAAATTTATCACACTGAGAATTAGTTTTTTTTTAATGGATCATCTCCGAGGACACTTGAAAACTTGAAATTCTTCTTGGTCTTCGTTCGAGATAAGGCTCATCACCGAATTGAATCTTAATTAGGTGTTTACGTTGCAATGAAAATTAGCAAATCTAGTCTTCAACGTATTAGCGAAATGAAATATGCAAAAAATGCACGCTTAACGATTTATCTATTTATCTTGGGTTTTAAAACAATGCAAACGTTTTTAATTACTGCATTCTTTGAGTTGATTGCACAACGCATGTGACATTTGAATTATTTGATTCAATCTAGTAGCAGCAACGTTTTTGCGATCCATTAGTATTTCTTCAGGAAAAATGCCTTGCCATACATCTTTAGTTACTAAAATAATAGCCAAACAAAATATAATAAATATAGCATTATATGAGACGTAATATGTTTTAACTCAAAGCGGTTAGTTCGTATAAGTAGTGGTCTGCAGGAAAGTTTCACAGCCTTCTAATTATATAAGCGCCGAGATCCATTTTCGCTCATTAACTCGTAAAAAGCATCTCTAACCAATAATTTTCCTATTAGACCGAATAGCGGACTTTCCAGACGTAGCACATTTGTCTATTTATTTAGATTTCCTTTAGTGCTCTTAAGATACTCCACCGACTCTGACGTAATAAATTATACCATGGACACATCTGATCCATTGATTTCAAGTTTGTGTGTAGGAATACGAAACTCCTAAAACTAGAAATATTATCCACATAAATAAAATATTTTAATATAGATTCATAATAAGATATCATAAAAAAAGTTGATATTGATAATTCAAATTTATTGTATTATTTTTATAGGAAATAATTTTATTAACTAATTTGTGGTTTTCTTAAAAAGGATTAAGAAAGAAGTTCTTGTCAATTTTGTACCATCTATGTCATAAATTTATATTTCTTCAAATTTTTAGATATATTTATTAGTTACCTGCAGTTTTCTGTCCAAAATCTACAGGTTTTAATTTTTTTACTACTAAAACAATGGTTAGAGACACGTCTCTTTTTTTCTAATTTTATTCATCATGTTCGTTTTTGATTCGGTCCGAATGTTTTAAATTTAGGTCCAAATCCACATCCGGTGAAAGGAACCAAAGCGTTTGTTACCATCGATACTACCGGCGGATCTAACCTCGAGCAGAATCAAAAATCATGGGCGTGCAATATGGTAAACAATCAGGATGACACAGTCCTGATTCAGGTACCCGACAGTTCAGCTTTGACGATCATATTCACAGTCCCACTTGCAGGTCTACGCACCACCTAGCGCTCCGGTTGGGTTGTGGTATCTTCAAGTGGAAACTTCCGTTAAAGATTCGGGCGACGAGGCGAGTATTTTTGAGCAAGACTTACTCTGCTATATATTGTTCAACCCTTGGAATACTCGTGAGTGATTTTTGCCTACAGACAAAGCTGACATTAACGGTTGATATTTAGAGGATTTGGTGTATATGCCTGAAGAAAGGTTGCTGGACGAATACGTCCTCAACGATGTAGGAAAAATCTGGGTGGGTCCCATTGGCACTACCAAGGGCAGGGAGTGGGTGTTTGGTCAGTTTGATGCGGCGGTGTTGCCAGCTATTATGTACATGCTAGAAAAATCCGAGCTACCATATGCGAGGTAGGAATGTTTTTGCATAGAGGTACTCCGTACAAAGTCCTGAACACATTTAGCCACGGGGATGCCATCAAGGTCACGAGGATGATTTCCAAAATGGTCAATAGCAACGACGACGACGGTATCCTGGTAGGCAGATGGGACGGTCAGTACGACGACGGTACTGCCCCGGCGGCTTGGACTGGTTCCGCCCCGATTTTGCAGCAGTACCTGGAGAATCAATCTCCAGTAAACTACGGACAGTGCTGGGTTTTTTCGGGAGTTGCCACCACAAGTAAGTCTGTAATTGGGGAATACCGTAAAGATTTGTCATAAATCAATTACGAAGTACGTAATTTCGTATTTTATGTGTGTTTTTGTGCCTGCAAACATTTATATTAATTGTTGTTCAAAAAGTATGCAATTTTTCTTATTAAATTAAAAAAAAATGACCTACATTAAATTTGATAAGCTAAAGTTAGCTAAAACGACAATTTTGACAGTTCAAAAAGCATTAAAAAAATATATTTTTTTAATTTTTATGTTTATTAATAAAGATACAATTTGTAAGGCCGTAATAAGTAGAGAAACAACTTTTTTCGATTTGTAGTAGAACTTTGTAGGGTATTTTTTTAGTTTGTCGCGCATTGGGAATACCATCCAGGGTGGTGTCCAATCTGGTATCGGCTCACGACTCTAACGGAACTCTTTCGGTCGACAAATATTACAACGCACAGAACGAAGAGCTGAAATTCGACCCGAATAACGAAAATTCCAATTCAGATTCGATATGGAACTACCATGTTTGGAACGACGTCTACATGGCCAGACCGGATTTGCCTGCAGGTACGTGCAGAGGATAACCACTTATTAATGAGTTACAGATTCCTAAATTATTATTTATTGAAACGGCAAGTTTTTTGCTCGAAAAATATTACGTGGCACTGAAAGTCGCAGCAAAGATTTTAAGACGTATATTAATATTAAAATTCCCCTAGTAATGACAATAACAACAATTTTATTTTGATGCATAACAAGAAATGTTTAACACACACTAACTGCGTACAATATAATGTATAATAGGACAAAAAAATAAGACAAAAAAAAAAACTCTAAATTTCTTTTTTTTTAATTTTTTGTCAATAATTTTTCATTTTTAATCATTAATTGTTCATTTAGCAAACAAATTTTGGTGAGATATAATGAAAATTATCATTTAAATATTAATTTGGGATGGAAAATGCATTTTTTCATCGTTGTAAAATTATGTAATAATCATATTTTTCACAAATAAAATTGGCAGCAAATATTTAACAAAAAAAAATCTTTTAACCATAAATAGTTTTCATTTCTTAAAAAAATATTTTTTGTCGAAATGTTTCTAATATCGATTAGGTTTTCCCAATAGTGCTAATAGTATTGAAGTAGTACTTTTTAATTATAGCATTTTTGACGGTCAAAATAAGATTTATGATACCTTGAGGTTTTTAAAATAATCTGACTTTTATCAACATTATATTAATTATAAAAAACTTCCAATCGTATTCTGAATAAGAATTTTAAGTGCCTATACCTTGATTCATTTAAGTCGGAGGCCATATTTTTTAACTTACTACGGAATATATTAGGATGTTCTATATCTAACTATTTGCACAATTGCGGTTTTTGCCGCTATTTGAAAAAAAGTTATTGTCAAAAACAAGCCTAAATTTTTTGTCTTAACATTATGGTCATCTTAATGTAAGACTTATCATTTTGAGGTTATGGAGGATGGCAAGCCATAGACGCGACGCCGCAAGAGACCTCAAGCGGTTTTTACCAGTGCGGACCAGCTCCGTTAGAAGCTATCAAAAGAGGGCAGGTCGGGTTCAATTTTGATGTGCCTTTCATGATCGCCTCTGTCAATGCCGACTTGATGCGTTGGAAAGAAGATCCTCAGTGCGATATCGGTTTCACTAGGATTTACTGCAACAAATATCAGTTCGTATTTGCTTCAAGCCTGTAAGCGCTTTTTAACCCTACAATGTTTTTAGTGTAGGGAAACATATATTTACCAAGAAGCCATTTATTTTCGACCACAATGGCGATCGTGACAGGGAGGAAATCACCACGCAGTACAAGCCGAAGGAAGGCACTGAAGCCGAACGTCTTTCGCTCTTGAATGCCGTCAGAGGTACAGAAGCAGCTAAAAGGTAAGACACATAATAATACATTATAATTTTAAGATCAATCAAATTCTTAAACCTTGATTAATGAAGTATTTGTAAAAGTAGATCTAGCCCTCGCTCCAAAGCAAGTTTTAGGCTAACCTGTGATAACCTGTTCCAAGGACCAAAAACAAGAAGAAAAACATGAGAAACGCGAAAAGAATTCCAAACTATATCTTACCATGCCCCTCTAAAATGTTTTTTCTAGTGTGAGGCTAATTATTTTTTTAACACTAGTCCCAATTCTAGTAGTTCCTACCCACCATAATAACTATCTGTTTGTCGTAGATTCTATGAGATGCCCAGTTCTGCTCTAGAGGACATTACTTTCGATCTGGTCGACTTAGACAAAATTAATATAGGCGAAGATTTTTCGGTAGTCGTCAAAGTGACGAACAAGAGCGACAATGTGCGAAGCATCAAGTGCACGTTGTCGGCAGTCTCCGTTTATTACACAGGCGTGAAGGCAAACGACATCAAAAAGTCCCAGGGAGAATTCAAAATGCAACCCCATTCAGGTTAGTGATGCGAGTGCACTTGATATACCATTTCAATTTTAAAATTTTCTCTCTTCAATTTCATATTAAGTTTTGGATTGGTTTCACAACAGATCTCGACAACCAGAGAGCTTGCAATTGTCGACCCCTCTCCAATTACTGTTACCATATAAAATAAGAACATGGTATTGATTTGATTTGATATCATTCAGAAAGTGAACTAAGAGCTTTTTTATTCGAACCAATTTAACGGTCCAATAATAAAATGTTGTTTTTTACTTTTACATTTTTAAAAAAATCGAGTCCATGTTATGTAAGTTGACTTTGTTCTACTTAATTTAGAAGATGGTTATACTCAAATGAATTTGTGGAATACACAAAGATATAAATTCCAAATTGTAAAGCTCTCGTTAAAAGAGTGATGAGATCGGTGGCTCACCGCCTCATGCTTTTTAAGTATTTTATCCATGATTTATCGGAAATACTTTGGATAAAATATCATAGGGTTTTAATCGCAGAGGAGCAGCTGAAAATGACGGTGAAAGGGGACGAGTATCTAGAGAAACTCGTGGAGTATTCGAACATCAAAATGAGTGCCATAGCTACCGTGGTCGAAACCCGGCAAACCTGGGCAGATGAAGACGATTTCCAAGTAGCTAAACCGAATATAAACATTCAGGTAATAATTGTCTTTATTTCACATGTGCAGGGTGATTTACAAATAGTGATAGAAAAAGAAATCAATGAAATTATGTGTGTCCGCGAACTTTCAATTTCATTAAAATATAATAACATCTAATAACATTTTGTATTTTAAGTTCTGTAGGTTAATTTTATACCAAATATTTCTTTGGTTGGTAAGGTCGGATTATATAATCATCAGTTGGCATTAGTTATCATGTATTGCCAATTTTTTTCCAGTATATCATCCCATAATTTAAATTAATTTCAATGCCAAATAAGATCTTGACGAAACCTCTGTGAACACCCTGTGAAGTAGCTGAGTGGTAGTAAAAATGAATTTTAATTTTTGTAGTGTTACCTAGTGTTAATAAATAATTAATAATAATTAATCACTAATTAAGGAAAATTAATAAACTAAACTCGTGGCTAAATTGGCGTTTAAAAAACTTGTTCCATAATTAAAGTAAAGTAACACTAATGAAATATTTGTATTTTCATCGCCATTTTGCTGAAAAAGCCTTTTTGTTTTTTTTTCCCGAAATACGACCACCGTGCGTCATCTTGAACAATGACTCAAAAGCTTAAATTGTTATTATTTATTATATTATTCAGAACAATTTTGCGAAAGGGTGGTCCCTATTTTTGTTTCGCATAATTCTTACAAAACTTTAATGCAATTTAACAAGAGGATCTAAATTAGTTTAATACCATAAGTTACCTCGGTATTTACTATTATTTCCAAGACATTTAATGCAGCATTTTCTTTATCATTTCGATTTGTGCTTTCCGTGAAACAAACCAACTACTGAAAATTGCAATATCTAAGAGATCAGTGTCATCTGCAATACTAAAAGTGCTTCCGCTTAGCCATAAAAACTAAGATCGCTAATATAAATTATTATCAGAATTGGACCAAGTATTGTTCCTTGTGGTACTCCTGTATTCACCGCTCTCCTGTTGTTGCGATAATTTGCTTTCACAAATAGCTATCAAACACTATGAGAATACTTAACTTTCTATAATATTGTCTTTTTCAACAATATGACGTGTTTATGTCTACTTATAGGTACCCCAAGAGACGGTGCAGTTTGTGCCTACGAAAATAACGCTCGAGCTGAAGAACCCTCTGAAGAAGGTTTTGACGGGTTGCAAGTTTCACATTTCCGGTCCGTCTCTCATCCGGAATCAGATTTTGACACACGCCGATATCGGTCCCGATGAAAAGGTGACCGTCACCACTGAAGTGGTACCGAAGTTGGGTGGCGACGAACAAAAAATCGTGGCTACGTTCTCTTCAAAAGAATTGTCAGATATTACGGGCTCGTCAAATGTTAAGGTTGTACGAGTTCAATAAAAAAAAATCAACGACTTACGGTTTTTAAAAATAGTTTATTATAAATATTGGTTTAAAATTTTTCAAATGCACATGCGACTCACATATTTTACACGAAAACTAGCGACAAAATTGGATTGGAATAAAACAATTTCATGAACTGATTCCTCATTTTCAACTTAATTTGGTTCGTTAAAGAATGTACAGGGCATCTTGTTTTCGATATTAAAACTGCAAGAAGCTATCCTTATTTTTAACCACGGAAAATTTTGTGTCGAGGAAATAAATTTGTATTTGGGTTCTGGTTACATTAGCGATTTTTTTATTCCAAGAACGCTGTATTTTTTGTGCTCTCTTTTTTTTATTTCATGTTGAATTTACATATTTATGGAATAAATTAAAAAATGAAACAAAATTTGAAGTCTGTGGGCACACAACAAACAACGAGAGTCACTTGTTTTACCCTAAACATTTTTAGGAATTTTTTTTTATTTGCCTACCTGTTTCAAGTCAAAAAAGATTACAGGTCTTGGAGTTATTTGAGAGTTTAGCGAGTGCTGCTTTCTGAATTAATAAATTATAATTAATCCGGCAAAAAAATAGTTGTCAAATAATAAAAATTCCGACTGAGCTGTAGAAATAAACTAACACAAACCTCCTGTCCCTTGTGTATTAAAAAAGTTATTCATTGTGAAAAATCAAAACTTTCGGTTTTATATATTTTTCTGAAAAATTGTCGGGTTTGCCAAAACAAAATTCAGACATAAAGTGTAGATCATAAAGTTATCTATGAAAATGGTCTTTATTTCTAGGAAGTGATGTACTTTGCTTGTTATTTTTTGAGACAGGCCTACTTCACTATCTCTTGCCGCCGAATTTTATGGAAAAATACTATATTTGCTTCACGATGATTAGTCATATTGATATAGATAGCAGTAGATACAATATGTAGCATATTCTCAGTAAAATATAGTTCATGTACAAATAGGCATTTTTCTTTATATTAGGTGCCTACCCATGTATGTAGGTGCGTGGGATATATGTGCATGTATTGTAAATTGTATAAGGATTATTTTTGTAAATAATTTTATGATCTGCAGTTTATGAACGAGATATTTTAACTTACGCTTTGGAAAAAACAAAAAAATTTATATTTAACTTGGTATTATTTTTTAGCCTATCGATTAAAAATTTTGGCACTTTATTTCTATTGATGAACTAAATAATTGCGGAAACAGCTATGCAGTAAAAATATTGTAAATTGATTTGAACTTAAATTTAGACACCAGTAACTTTTATGACAAAGATATTTTCATTCTAAATTACATTTACTTATTTTAAACCCATTTACATTATTCCATTATGTTAAACCCATTATTAAATAAATTAACTTTATTCCTTATTCCATTTACAATATAAATTACCGGAACAATTTTGAACCACCCTCTGTGTATGCGGTTTTGGCCAAATTATGCTTTGTTTGGTGTTATTTAAAAATTAGTACGATAAAAACAATATGGCGACTTCGCAAGATATTGTACGAACCGAACTACTATGCAAACCGAATAAAGAAATTTTTTCTTGCCAAACATCGAAAACAAAACTCCCTGTAGGTTCAAAAAGGTAAGCGTTTCGCTGGACGCCTACCAAATTTATTTACACAAATTTTCTATCTACTTTAGATCAGTTCGGAGTAACCATATTGCATTCATATATTTAGAATAAATTTAAAAGTCATCTTACGGGTAAATATTAGAGAATAATTATATACACTTAGCTGATAAAAGTTTTAATACTGAAAATGGTAAAGTTTAATGGCGGAATATGGTACGATGGGGGCTGTAGCAGGCGTATTATATTTACAACCTCATTATTTACATTTAAAAACAACCAAGCGAGATAAATAAAGAAACGCTTCCCATTGTGCATGCGCCGGAGTCACTTTTGTGCAACACGGGCCATTTATTGCGTGTTCCAGAACGAAAACCTTTGTTTCACGCACGTGATATCCATTTGCGTTTGGCGCGGTGAATTTTTTTTTGGTATATCCGTATAGTTGCTAGATATAAATAGGGGCCCCGAATATGCTGAACATGTTGAGAGGTGCCATTCAATATACGCATGCGTAGTTATTTCAAATATCGTTTTCAACCAATCCCAAATTAAAACCAACTAATCGCGGCGTTCAGCAATCAACATCAACACATAAATTGCCTGGAGATCGCTGTTTCGAAAGAAAATAGGGCAAAGTGTTTGTGAAATTCATAGGCATGGGCGGAAAATCATTCCCCGCTTTTACCGTCCTTAGACCACTATTTAATCCAAAAATTATATGGGTGCACCTAAATTTTTCGACGTTATATCGTGAATCGATGATGGAGTAGGCAACTACGTTATATTGATCCCATTTGGTCATGGTTACAGGGAGTTCGCAAACGCATCATCCAGTTGGCGCTATATATAAATAGGTACACTTATATAAACACATAACGAAAAATATAAAACGTAAAAGTCTAATTAAAAAATCGTAAACGATACGACACCACTGGCCAAACATTTAGATATTCGCAAATTGGCTCGAATCAGACCCAAAATATAATTGAGCACTCCCTCGTACAAGTGGAGATTTTTTCATTCATAAGAATATTTCACATTTCCGATATTTTACTGTTTAATATAATAATTCGTTTATTATACACACTTTGTTATTATTCGGTTATAGACGTCATATATCACAGTTAAGTCGTCGACGGATCTTTGGTTTGCGATAAAAATTTGTGAACCGTTTCGTAAAGTCGCATGTCAAAATCGTCAAAATTTGAAATATATGGTTTTTAAACGAACAAATAACTTTGATAAAACAGAAAATCCATTCAGAAGAAATTTTAGCAGTTCTAAAAAAAATTCACATTTTCTAAATCTAAGTTAGTTAAATGCAGTGGGGTAAATGCCCACCACTGCTTAATTTAAGGGGAATCCATAGGGGGTCGGTAGAAAACCAGCTCATACAAAAATTAATTGGGCAATATTTCAGGTAGATTAGATAAATATTTCCATAATGGTACATAAAAAACTTTAGTATGTGATGTTAATCTATAGTGTCAACAGTATTAACGATATTAGTACAATTTCCATCACATCTCGGAAATTAATTGCAAACAAATAAAACATTGATTGATGTTGCAGAATGAATGGAATGATTGAAATTGGTATTTAAATTATTACAGGAAAGAAAATTGGCAGATCAAGCGAAACTTCTCAAAAAAAGTTCAGCAGGATCAGCAAACTTGATGGTACGGCATTTACGATTCGAGAAAAGTTTCTCTTTCTATTTTAAAAAATAAAAAACCATTCTCGACAGACAAGGCCAGTATCCACTTAGTCCTTTTACTTGAAGGCAAAAAAATTGTTGTTAAATAACAATATCTCGATGAGACATGGATTAATGAGAGTTATCTAGTACCAAAAATGTTTCTAGACAAAACGGTCGTCAAGGTTCCTTGAAAGGCTGGCTATAAAATTACCATTGAAAAAAGCAACAAGCAAGCGTTTGGTGATGTTTTCGAACATTGCTTTGAAAAAACGATAAAATATCTTCCTAGTGATTGAGTAGTGGTTATAGAGAATGCCTATTACCATTCATGTCTGATTTATCAGCAAAGATATTTGACGGAACCATGACGAAGAAAAGCTATTAGCTATATTAGCCATGTTGAAGCTACGCACATTTCGTTTTTTAGCAGAAAAATAAAATATTGGCATTCTGCTCTTAGCACTATGTAATTGTGAATTAAGTCTAATAGAACTCATATGGTCTTCAATGATTTGTAGCGCAATTATGGAAGTGACTCAAGCGAACTGTTAAACATGTTAACTAAGAAGAAGAAACAAAAGTCATCCTGGCGGTTGGAAATAAAATTTGTAAAATTTGTTTTTACTATTTCTTAATATGATCCGTAATAAAACCAGCCATTGAATTAGTATTTGATAGAAAATTTTTTCATTCGCATAAATTATTGATGACGTTTTATTACTCCACACCATTTAGAAATACAAATAGACAAAAGTCCGTGATAATATCCACTTTTGGATCAATGTTATCCTTTTATCACAAATAAAGATCGGCCCCAACTTACAACTAGAAGATAAGAACTTGATCGCGACGAATGTTCCTTTTTAAAACGGAGGAAGTCAAATCGAAGCCCTGTGGTTCGGGTAGATTGCGGGCGGGGGCATCGCCGGACCCTGAGGAAGATGTAGCTCGTGCATCGGCAACACCGGAAGAAGGTGACGTATTTGCGTGGGAGACCGACGAACCGTGAACCTGTGTCTGGCATTCGATGGCAAACATCCGCAAGGACAGGAACACACTGAGGTATCATCGATATCTATCGAAGTTGTTTCTGTACAATGGTGACCTAATTGACCGCTTAATATAGAACCGTTAGCCGTTATCACGTCGCCTTCTAATCTGACGGCACCGGCCAACGCCTGCAAAAGAACGGCATTTGTTAATATTGGTTAGTTTTGATCACTTTTGGTTAGCTTTGGTGTGATTAGTTTTGTTTTGCTTTGGTTTGGTTAGTTTTAATTAGCTCTGATTTTATCCAGAGTCTATGCGGTTGATATCACGAACGAGGAAACACTTTTTTTGCTCGCCGGTATCCTAAAATTAATACGGAGCCTCGATTTTCCGGGCACAAAAAGGAATATAGAGAAAAAAGAATTGCAATATTCTTAGTTTTTATGCAAACTTATTTTGCTGTCAAAGTGTCTCTTATGCCCCTTTATTATCAGTGACAGCGTTTTCTGTATGTATCATTTGGAGTTCTGCTAGCTTATGATTTTCTGAATTACTTTCGTTTTTCAGGACCTGCCTTAATTTTGTTAAGGGATATATTAAATGGATGAAAATAAGTATTCGCCAGTACTGAAGGGATTATATAAAAAATATCATTAGAGAGCCTTAATCCATTTAGTTTATTATTTTTTTAGCAATTTCTTTGTGGATTTTTTATTTTTCCAAATATTTTACATTCTACGTCTACGTAGACTAAAATGTGGTATCTAAAAAAACATCCCCTCCGCAATGATGTCATGTTTTTCTAATCAGTAAGGAAAGTCGAAAATAGAGGTGCAGCAAACTGAAGGTAAGATGTCTCCTGGCCCTTTCCAAATTCAGATGTAATAAAATAATAAACTTAAATTAAGGTCAGTTAACATAGACTGAACGAGCCTGATCTTTAATTCCAAAGCTGAAAATTTACCGCCCCTGCCTTAGAAGGCATTCTCTCTCTTTCTGTCACTTTTTGTAGCTTCGATAAAAATAAGTCTACCTGAATTGCTTGAGCCTCGTCTCTCCTTTCGTCTTCGGTGTTCATTGTGACGAATCTCAACACGAGGAGATTCAATGACGCGGCAACAATGGCTAAACCGAAGAGGATAAAGATGAGTGCAAACATGACGTACTCCGGCTTCTGGCTGAGAGCGTTGTCCCTCTGAAGCGCCACCTGAGAGACAAAGCGGAGTAAAAACGGTGCGGCAAATTTTCCGTGAAAGATTTGGTTTACGAAGTCGGAAACACACTCGGTCGCGGTATCTGGAGATCAGTAACGAATCATTTAAGGGCATGTCTTTTAATTTCCGCCAATTCTAAAGAATTTCGCAGCACAGCAACATCATTGCTTGTTTTTGAATTCAATGAGAGTAATTGTCAATTATCAAAATTATTGCTAGAACAAAAAAAATATTAAAAGTAATTCACTGTATCGTAGGCTGTAATCTAATAATCGTATTGTTAAAAACAATTAAAATGCACGAAAGTAAGATCTCCTATCTAAATTCGAATTAATTTTTTAACTGCAAGTATATCGTTTTCAGGAGACAAATATAAACAACCCTATATCGAATATAGCAATCTAATATAACCAGGAAATAGCTGACACTGACCTAAATATAAGGATTAACATTAATATTAATATTAACATTACCATTAACAGGCAATAAAGGAAACGTGAAATGAATGTTTAAATTTATAACCAAAAACCATGTTTAATTTTGTATTAAATAGTTTCTCCACAGCATACATGAATGAACGCCGATAATTTTTACTGGAATATGATGACGCAGTAGCCGCCAATTTAAGATGACGATCTCAGTTAGGAGAGGCATATAGAAAAGGAATTTCTGCTTGGTTTATCTAAATTTTCACAAATTCTTGTCATTAGTAAAGTAAAATGATGTTTTTGGCAATTCTGTTAAAAAATATTAAAAGCAATTCACTGGATCGTAGACTGTAAATGAAATGGCATTAACTGTAAAAATAACACCTTCAGGGGACAAATATAAACAAGCCATATAATATAACCGGCAAATAGCTGAGACTGACCAAAATGGCTCACACACATAATAAACAAAAAGTTAAATTAATGTTTAAATTTATAACCAAAGACCATGTTTAATTTTGTATTAAATGGTTTCGCCACATCATATGAGAATGAACTCCGATAATAGGCACTGGAATATGATGATGTAGTAGTCGCCAATTTAAGACGAAGATCTCAATTGGGAGAGGCATATATTATAGGAATTTCTGCTTGGTTTATCTAAAATTTCACAAATTCTTGTCATTAGTAAAATAAAATGATGTATTTGACAATCCTGTTAATCATATTATATCCTCTATTTGCACGTTGCAGTTGACTACCATGAATTTCTGATTTACAAATTTAGGTTTTACTGCAATTACGGTGCACTAAAAGATGGTGGAAAAGCACTCAAACATTTAACTAAATACTCTCATCTCAACGGAAGCTGGACTAAATTAAAAACACGCAAAACACCCATCGAATTTTGTTGGTCGGTTTAACGCTGGGAATTTTCCAAGCAATGTTGACTTATAATTTGATTTAGTGGTCCAAATTTAACTAAGCGAAATTAAGCTTACCATATCTCCAAAGCCTATGGTGGTCAGGGTGATGAAGCAGTAGTACACCGAATCGAAGTAGCTCCATCCTTCGTAACGCGAGAATGCAGCTGCCCCACCAGCTATGGTAAGCGATGACAAGAACGTCACCACGCATATGAGATCTAGCTCCGAGGCATTCGTTTGTCGGCAATTTAAGGACGACCTCACTGATCGAATTATAACGCTGGGGAAGGAAGGATGATGATTTGTGAATGAAGAACTGCTTTTCCTTACCTGCTTAGCTTGTTTACGCGCTCCCCGATACTTTGAAACATTACCAAGCCCAGCGGAATTCCGATCATGGCGTAAACCATCGTGAAGAGTTTCCCTCCGATCGTTGTAGGTGTGGAATGGCCATATCTGTATGGAAATAGAAGTTAAACTTATTTACATATATCAAGATGAATTCACCCAAAATCTCTTGTACCGGAAGTAGTAATGTGAACAAAGACTTAGTTAATTTTCATTTTGTAATTAAAAAGTAGCTACAGAAGCAGTCCTGCAAGTAATAATCAATTTCGGTATTAAGGGGACTGCTTGGCAATGAATTTGAAAAGTTTCTTGATAAATGGCGAATGGGCGCATTTTTTCATAGGAGATGTAAATGTAAGTAAAGTGATTACGCCATTTATTAGATCCATAATAGTATTTACTAATACTTTTCGATAAGCTAACACGCAATTCAAGGTAACTATGACATTTCCATTTTAAAGGCAGTTTCTATTTAAGGTATCCTCCATTTCATAAAAATGCAGTCTCAGGTCACCAAATCCGCAGGACGCTTTATGAATTAGAGAGAAACCCCACAATTCCATGAAAAAGGGAACATACTGTACAGATTTCCTTATTTTATTTTGAAATTGCCAAAATGTTTCTTTTCTTCGTGTACAATAGAGGAATTATACATGTCTTGGATTCTTGTGTAATAATGGACAAAACTGATGAATCACAAAGTAAAATTGTCCAGACATTTGATAAAGACACGGTGTTGCCGAAACAATTGTCATGTGAAAATATATAATTTCGTGAAAATCTGAACTTTTAGTTCTTATTTATTTTGATAAATGGATTTCCATCAAGTAAAAGCCTCCTCAGTTCAATTTTTACAAGTGCTGGTTTACACCGAACTAAAATATCCGGTAACATAATCCACAATCAAAATCATCGATTAATCGATATTGGTTAAATAACGATACATTGGAAGTAATACGTAAAGGACAGTTTTAAAGAAGACAGCGGACACACACAAACAAGAAAAATTAATATTGAATAATCCTGAAGAGCTGTACTAAAGAACAACTTAAGGAGAAAAAAAATAGAGACAGTAGTAAGACAGGTTTGGGTAGTATATTTTTTAAACTATGAAGAGTGAGCATTATCGTTTTTGTGGATAACTTGGATGGCCTAGAGACGCTGGTTACACCTGTCGCAGGCTTTAGTGAAAAGTTTGTTTGGGCTTGACTTGAACGTAAGAAAAACTAAATATATTATTGTCAGCAAGAACAATATGGTTACTTGGACCCATACAAGACACGAAAACTGGTCTAGGTCATCGCAGGACTCTCCAATCTGAGAAAATGGTTCTCTTTCACTACCACTGAACTCTTACGAGTAGCGGTCAACAAGACTTGAATAGCAATTCTAGTAGTAATAGTATATTATTCAACAAGTGCGCTAAACGGCATTTGAGTCACGAGTTTATTTGGCACGGGCGGAGCGAATGTTTAATAAACAAGTGACTTAAAAAATCGACCAAACGTATTTCATACTATACTTTTTCTACGACTGTTAGTTTTTGAGTACATTTTTGCAAAACAACACGAATACATTCACTGACATGACAATCAGAATTGATAAACGTCAGAATTCAAGCTGTGCGGTGAAAATCTTCGAAAACATCCGATTGCTGCCAAACCTGTGCGGTAAAATCCCGGAAATGTCCGAAGTGGCTCGGATCCGTACGACAAGAAGCTCACATGTTAAAGTGACGCTTTCCGTACCCTAGATCGGTGTATAATTAGGTATTTTACAAAAGGGAGTAAAAAAAAGATTGTTTTTGTCTAAAATCAACTAACCAATTTTTTTCGCAAAGATTGCTAATATTTTTGATATGAACACAGTGTATTTAAATACTACTTTCTTCTAGTCGAATGTCGAAACTTTAAGAATAACCTTACGTAATTTTTTATGCGAAACTTATGTGGTCACAAAACCTCATATGTAGAGACTCCGCGTAATACATCATCAGTCACCATCAATTTTAAAGACCACCGAATAACCATTATAAATGCAGGTTGTTATTTAGCCTCCGTCGGCGGTTCGGATTCGTCGATTCAGCTAAATCACTCACCCTATTGTGGTCAGAACCGTCGTGGCATAGTAAAACGCCCCTGTGAATTTCCATTGCTGGCCAGCTCGGTGGGGCTCCGATTTCAAAACGACCGTCTCCATGATGCGAAAGTCCTCGTCGCTTATGTTATATTTACGCCTAATTATTACTTGGATTTCTGGAAAGCGGTTGTACGTAAATATTAAAGCGGAATTTTCGCAAAAACGAATTAAATTTTGACGGTAAATCGTTTTTCCAATGCAAATCAGATTTTAGTTTTTATGCTTGGTTTTACCACAAGACGCGATTTTGTGGAATACAATTTTAAACGAAGTTTTTGATCTTTCATTTCCTGATTATTACGATTATATTCGGTGTGTTATGCTCTGGTCATAGATATAAGAAAGTAACCAATTGCTTTTGAATGGGATTATTCAAGGGTGGTCATTACTGCAACAAGATTATTACCTGAAGTTTCGAAATTTAAATTCAGGTAAACTTGTGGTCCGTAGTAGAAAATCATTTTATACCCATCTGTGTTTAATATTCTTTGATTTGGTATACCTTTTGTTTAAGTTTATTACTAATCATTCTTAGTTCGTGTGTAATACAGCGTGTATTGAATCGTTCAAATTATGCAAAATATATGCGAGTCTAGTGTGTATGGAGATGCTCCCGCCCAAATGTAGAAAACACTATTCTATTGAGACTAAGGAAGCTATAAACAATGTTTATTTCACTCTCATTGAACGTGGTGCCAGCTGCTTAGAAGAAACGGCGACATTGACGAAAATTCCAACATCAACTGTATGGAAAATTGTGAATAATCGCATTTTCTCGAGTCTAGATGAAAGTGATCAACATATAATACGGCGTAAAATTTTCCAGTTATACGAGGAACAAAGCGTGCCTGCATTAGATATCTTAATTAGGAGGCTTGAAAAAGTTGAAACCGGTGTTAAATGTGGCAGAACTACCTTATGGAAGTGTATTCAATTTTAGATTTAAAAAAATTGACAAAAGGCAAATTTTAATGGAATCTTCTAGAATTAGGAAATTGCTACTGGAATATCTAGAAAAAAATAGGATTTACAGAGTACAACAAAGGCCATTTACTTGGATGAAACCTAGTTCGACACTTATGATACCTCGGAAAAGGGTTGGGTTGACTGTACTGATAAGTGTAAAACAAATGCGCCATCAAAAAGAGGTAAAAGAATAACTATTTTGGGCTGGCTCTAAAGATGGTTAGATTCCAAATGTACTTTCTCTGTCTGCGAAAAATATTAAAGATTCTTCTCTGGATTACCAAGAAGACACCACCACTGATTTATTTGAAGGTTGGGTTAAAAACCGCGCAATTGTAATGGACAATGCAAGTTATCACAGTAGACAGTTGACTAAAACCCCTTCCTCATGTGACACAAAAGCAACAATCCAAAACTACATGTATAATAACGACATTTATTTTCACGAAGATTATACCAAAAAGCAATTAATTGAGGTTCTACAAATCTTGAACCTACAAAAGGAATACGTCTTAATCCCATTGAACATGTTTGGCACCAACTGAAATCTGCCATTCGTCGTAACAATGTTTTTCTTCGTGTTAACTCCAATGTCCTCAAACTTATAGAAACCGAAGTTTTTAATATCCCTCCACAAAGTTGAGCAAATTCTGTTAAACATATGGAAAAAGCAGAACAATCTTATGTCCATATTGCAAATAATATAGAACAAATAATAATTAGAACAGGCGATGATAGCGATAATGATACTGATATATTATGTGAATAATTTTAAGTAATTTAAATACACACATAAATAAATATTGTTTAATTTCCTAAAAAAAACCCAAATAATTAAATTCTAAGCAAAGTACGGACCTGTTCGGCCATATTTCATTCTTACAGCTTTCCTGGGTCTTTCCTTAATTCGTATCAGTTAGTCACTTTCTTATATCTATGAACATTACCTTGTAGCACGACTTTGCGCTTGCTCTCAGTTTCGGATTCAAGTGCGTCAAAAAATGCGGCGCCTGTGAGCAGGTACGTGAAAGTGCAGACGATCAGAGACAAGGTACGAACGTTTTGCTTCTTCATTCTCTAGAGCGCCTCATGCTGGGGCCGGGGGGATCCCGCGCCGCTAGCTGCCCCCCGCGGCCCCCCCGCCAGACCACAGCCACATTTTGTCTTCTGAAAAAACTTCTTACGCTATCAATGAAATATTGAGCAGTAAAATATACTTTGTAATAAGATTTGATTAAATTACTAAATATGTCTCAGTATAGTGAAAAAGTATTTCAAAAAGCAACTTTCCTTTTGTAACGTACGTGCTTTAACTTTTGAGATACAGAGTGGTACATTTTTCAAGGAATAAAATCTTTTTTTATGGAATTATTTTTAATTAATTTATTTTAGGAAAAAATTTATTAATTTTTTATTAAATTTATTATTTATTCTTCATAAAAAGTTCAGCATGCTATCAGATATTTTCCAGTATTATAAAAGACTGTCAAAAATATGAATTTTACTCAAAGGTTGACAAAAACTAAAAACGACATTTAAATATACAATTACATCGACTTACATTGAAAAAATTGATTTTGTTTGTATTTTAAATTTAAAATTAAATTTTAAATTTTTTATATAAATTTTATTTCTTGTTTTTTTTTTAAATCATGATAGCCTTGTCCTTTCTTTATGTTTTCTAACAATTTTGATGTTTAAACATGTTTTGAATGCATATCCATTAATCTTGCAAACAGAAAAATACATACAAATAATAAGTTGTCCAACTAACGTAATTTTAATTGAAGAAATAAATAGAAACGTAATTTTCACTCATTTCACTGATATAAATGTACTGTGAACTGTATATTTGAAAGTAGTTTTTAGTTTTGATCATTTTATTTAAATAACATTTTTCGATAATGTAAAATTCATTAGTTTTACATGCCTCGTATTCTAGTGGAAAAAATTGATCAATGACACATATATTATCTAAGACACGATGCCGTGAAAGTTGGTAAATGCATTTTGTGCATCAAGAGGTATTTTCACGTACACAATCCTTTATTTTATTTCCATCAGTAGCGTCTGTCTGTGAAGATAGCATTTAATTTAATGCCATCATAGATATCCAATTTTTTTTATAAAGAAATAAGGGGGCATATCGAAAGGGGAGACGCTCAGATCCAGAGAAACAGGTAACTATAAAATTAAGTCCTTAATATGAAGATAAATAATAAATATGATATTAGGCACAGGCAAAGTAATAAAAAGCAAACACAAGGATTGAAGAAAAAAGATGATGAACACTAAAATTAACGTAGAAAAATGGTCTGTAACAACATGGTGTCAGTCAGCTCCGATGAATTATTGCATTAGTTACTCAGCTATTTTCGTTAAAATCTCAAGTAGCCCAAATTTGGTTATCGTTGAAATCGATTTGGTAAATTAATATGCATGCACGGCAGATAAATTGAATCAAACAGATTTCGCGACAAGTTTTATATGATAACATTATGTATGTGATTACGAATGTTGCCGATATTGGCTGTCTAGCTGCAATTCTATCGATTTTATTTCTACAATATATTCTAAATATAGAAAAAATACAATCCCAATTCAGAAATATGATTTAGGAATACCCGCTTACAAGGAAAATAGCTTCATTTTTGTGTAAAAAATACATATAGTACCCCGGTATTAATATAGCATATGTATTTTATATTTTTTAGTTATTTACGTATTTTAGATATATAGGGATACGGATAAAATCAACCTCAATAAATAGCCAATGATTATAGTTAATCAGATGTTACGCCCTCTATATAATAATAATAAAGAGATTTCTTCACGCTGCAAGAACTAAGTTGCTCTAATGCAATCCCATAATTGTTATACGTTTCAAGGTGATCCATTCACTTTAATAAGTTCTAAAGATTCAGGTATTCGGTACGATAGAATCATTTATTCTGGTTTATTTCGAAGACTGTAGCAGTAAAAATACAAAAAACTAATCGGCTTAATATAATTTTTTATAGAACCTGGTTTCACTTGTAAATTCCAAAGTTATCAAAGCATGTATTTTATGACATCTTAATTTTTCAAATATATGCGGGCCAATTCACTTTAAATACTCTACATTTTTAAAATAAGCTTAGACAGCGTATTACAGAAAAAGAATCGCTAATAAATTCGTAAATAGAACTTTTTCTTAAAATAAAAATGTTTCTAAAAATGTCCAATTGATAGGATACGAGTCAGTACAAGGTAATAGCTTTTTAAACATTTTTTTTAAGTTACTGCTGGTAACTCTTTTATATTTTGGCCAGGAGTGTCGCTAAAGGGGGAAGACATTAATTTTGGCCCTAAACTGATTTTCGTAATTTTTTGGATTTTTTAAAAACAAAAAGATACTCTTCTTTGAAGTAAATAAAATTATTGAATTAAAGTTAATTGCTAGTAACTTTCATGAGCGGGAATCGACTACCTCGGAGAATAACTATTGTTTCAGGAATAACTATGAAGTGAAAATATTGTAAATTATATTGAACTTAAATTTTGTCAGATGCAATTGTGATTAATATAAAGATATTTGTTTGAAAATTTTCAAAAAATCGACCCATTTTACTTCGTTATCAGTCATTTTATACCTGTTTATTTACCAAACTAATTTTATATTTTGACATCGGATCGAGATACGGACGTAAATAAAGTCCACGTTTTTAAATAAACAAATGACATCTCCCAAATAAAACAAAAGTTTCGTAAGCTTAATATAAAATTGGAAAGTCCGACCGGCAATATGAATAAACGGTGGACCTGTATTAGATTCCATTTTTTTTCTCGGGGGTGTATTTTATCATTTTCCCTTTGTTGCTTATATTAGCTCCGTTCGACATTCGTCCGTCGCTCTTTGATATTAAACGATATCGTTACTTTTCTCGTAAGCTGTTCTCTCGTATCGTGAAAATTTCGGAAAATTTAGCTCGGCTAGGTGATACCACCCAAAAATTTGCTAGCCCAGCGGATAACCTATTATCGTCCCTTTCGAAAATAACGACAATCACTTACCCTCAAAACGGCACGAGAACGCGCGATCCTATATTTATCTCCGAGAGAATTTCATTCAACATACACGGATGACCTCGTCTTCGAGAGGTTCCTGCAGGTTTCCGCACACGTCAGGCACATAAATAAATAAAAACAACCGTTTTAGAGCATCTCGCTATTGAAAAATTGCACCGCACTGTCTTGCCCTAAAAGTCCGATGCACCCCACACACGACCCCATCTTTCACACACACACCCTTTAATTCCCGCAGACCTTTTCGCGGTCTATATTTAGCACAGTTTTTGGCACAGTATCGGCCGAACGGCTGTGGACCATCTCCGGCTACGGGATGATATCTTGTAGTACACGCGGTCCATTCTGGATCGATATCGGCGTCGCAGTGACGTCACGGAGGTGCCGAGATAAACCTGGCGCGGGCGGGTCTTTCGAATTGCGTCTGCATGTGCCAGATTTATCAGACGCCGGTTTATATTGGGACACAAAAAAATACGTAGCGGATACGTCATTCGGCGATAACCGATAGTCGTTGAGTTCGCGTGGGATTTCGTGGAAACAGTTTGCAAAAATTCACGTCAGAAATCTCCTTGCAGCTTGCTGCGGATCTTTGAAATAGATGCGCACGCCAGGTTAACCCTCAACAGTGTGCTGGCGGCAGCCGAGCATGAAATAGGAATTTTATAATTAAATTCAAATTCGAAAACCATTTATTTCCATTTAGAATTGGCTATACAAATTTAAACGGAGATATACTTACTATAAACTTGTATTTAAAACAACGGAACTGGACATAATAGTAGTGAGCGAAACCAAGAAAAAAGGAAATGGAACAGAAATTATAGATGATGTCTTTTATTGCTGGAGCGGAGTTAAAAAAGAGGAAAGAGCAAAAGCCGGAATCTGTATCTTAATAAAAAAGAAATGGATAAAATGTATAAAAAGCTTAGAACCAATAAATGATAGAGTTATTAAAATAGATATCATAGTTTTTGGAAGACACATAATAGTAATCGGAGTATATGGACCAACGGAAGATAGTGCACTAATGGAAAAGACAAGCTTCATACAAACGATACAAGAAGAAATTGATAAAATTAAACAAAATCGAGAACTCATAATAGCAGGAGCTATTCGAATTTAATAATCTCAAGATTACCAATGGCTTCTACCGACACAAGGAAATTCATAAATTCACTTGGGTACAAGAAACCAGAGATCTCAGATCAATTATAGATTATATTGTAGTCAAAAACAACTCCTCAATTAAAATAAAAGATGTCCGAGTAAAACGAGGTGCAGAATGCGGCACAGACCACAGGTTATTGATCGCGAAAATCGACTTCCCCTGGTCATGGAAAAATGTGAACCAAAAAAAGAAATAGCATTTGAACATAAACAAAAAGAACAAAAGTTCAATATACAGCTTTTACACGATGAGTCAATACTGTACTTATATCAGCGAAGAATAGACCAAAAACTGGAAGAATTCAGCCTCGACGACCTAGGGACAACATACGAGCACATAAAAACATGCATCAAAGAAGCAGCTACTGAAGCTCTCGGAGAGAAGGAAGAATCACAAAACCAACATAAAATAGACATTAATAAAGACCTAAGGGAAATCATAAATGAAAAGATGGAACTTTATATGAAGTGGTTAAATACAAAAACAGATGAAGATAGAGAGATATACCGAGAGAAAAATCGAGAAGTCAAAAGAATAGTACAGAAAGAAAAGAACAACAAATGGGAAGAGGCCTGCAAAAATGTAGAACAATATATAGGAGGAACGCGTAATTCAGAATCCTGGCGTCTAATTAAATTTCTTAGAACCAATAGGAAAGAAAAAGTACATCTAGAATACATACCAGATACTATGTGGGAAATATACTACAAAAAACTGCTAACAGAGGATAGACCTACTTTTATTGGAGAAAACTCGGAGACAAAATCAGACGAACAAAAGGATATAGATCTTAGCTTAGAAGAAGTAAAAATGGCAATTAAAAATATGAAGAATAATAAAGCTGCCGGCTAAAAAAACACGGATCAGAAAAACTATACCGAATGATACACCAAATGTTTCTAAGAGCAATAAATGGAAAACAACTACCAAAAGAGTGGACAACTGCATATATGACATCGATATTCAAAAAAGGCGACCATAAAAATTGCGAAAATTACAGAGCAATTAGCGTAATATCATCTATGGGAAGACTATATGGAAAACTCGTAAAGGCAATACTAGAAATAGAAATAAAATACAAAATTGGAGAAGAACAAACAGGTTTTACGCCGGGTCGATCTTGTATAGACCACATATATACATTACAACAAGTGATATATATATATATATATATATATATATATATATATATATATATATATATATATATATATATATATATATATATATATATATATATATATATACTTACATAGGACAAAAGTATTATTCCTGTCAAAAAGCTGACTTAATTTTGATGGATTAAATTATAGTTTCTTTGACTAACCCTCCCCGAGCAATAATTATGGCCTTGATACCTATTTTTTATGGGAAAAGCGAAAAACCAATAATTTATTCATAGGTAGCGGCAAAGACATTGACGAGTCAGATAGATTTAGTCCACGTGTCGGCTGATATCAGTGAAAGTGTTAAAAACGCCCTTTACCATCCGTTTCTAAAAAGCTTTCTTCTATATCACTAATTCTGCTGTTATATAGCCTCCAAATCACTTATCATTGGATGCGAAAAAAATTGTATTAGTATTACCCGTTATTTGTAAAGGAAATTAAAAAGTGTAGGTCCCAAAATTTGTATATATTTAGTCTCATCGTAGTTTCTTTTAGTGGTAATGTGATTTTATTATTCTTAAACAAACCTAATCCAATATTCAATATTTATATTTTTAAAACACCTTCTCTAATGCTCTGTTCTACAATACCGACTGGTCAGGTTATTTCGGTAATTACAGTTAGAAGTCAAGACGATATACTTTGAGTCACACCATACCATGTATTTAAATATTTTACAGTGTATTTCTGTCATTAAAGTGGGTAAATAGTTATAAATTTGTAAAGGTAAGACGACTTGCCAATTTGGCACAATGAATAATTTATTAATTTTCTAATCAAAATAAGATGTTAGTTGCTTATGTAGTTGCTTACGTAGGTAAGAATTTTGCTGTGGTACGTATTCAGTTCGAAAGTGGGAAAAGAGGCATTAACTTAAAAATTAAAAGTCGAAAATCATTATTTATGTGTACAGTTTTATGTAACACAAACTAGGGTGAGAGTAAAATGGAAATTAGTTTGCCGGAAATCGTAATATGGAGATTGAAGACCATTGTCATTGTTATTTCTGGTACTTCCACTTTTTTTCACTTCATAACCTTAATTGTATATTGTTATTGTCTAATGGATACAGCCAGTTCAGGTTAAGTGGGAATTAAAATGTTCAGCATGTATTGTTTATCGGCAACAAAGTGTCGAGCCTAGTAAGAAAACAGAAATTTTTATACGATATAGTGGAATACAATAGAATATAAAAAAAGATACAATAAAAAATCAAAAGTGGGAAAAAGAGACATAGCTCCTATATTTTTTTAGTACACTTCTATGTGTATGATTTTATGTAACACTTTGCCGGAAGCCTAGATTGATTTCTGCAATATGTAATATACAATTGTATATACACTGAGAAAAAAAAAATATATTAATTTATTTTGTATTGTACAATCACACCCTTACATTTTTTTATGGACTGCATATCATAAACGGATTTTGACATATATAATGCTAATGGAGTTATGAGGCGCTACTTTTGTAATTCTTCACAATGATTTATTTGTTTTATGTATTTTGTTTGTTTTCTTATAGAGTAAAATAAAAAATGAAGTACGTTTTTTTCTTTAAACCCTTTGGTTGTTAGTGGTTATTAGAAATCAATCAATAAGGAAAAATATTATTTGGCAAATTAAGATGTATTATTAAATCTATTATTACTTAAAACTCTTCCGTTCATTAGCGACTAATGTTTGAACATGAAATTATTGTAACCAATAAGAGACATACTCTTTGAAAAATTTTTTAAGCATCTTGCAAGAAATGTGTAATATGCTTATATTATATGTATATTAGAGTATTCATTATTTTGTTCAATTTTTGTGATTTATCGTTGGTTCTTCTAGTAAGTTTTATCATTAAAATTCGTTTAAGCTAAACAGACTCAATTTCCATTCATTTTTAAGATAAAATATAGTTTTTTAAATAAATAAACTTAAAAATAATTAGGTTTAGGTAAATGCAAGAATTGTAATACATTTAGAAGATGGTTGATATTTATCGGCATGGGCCCAACATTTTAACATAAACAGGACAAGAAGCGACACTTTCAAGGAACTTAATATTTGTGCAATCTCCATCCCCATCAATCACAGCTTGAAGTCCTCGGCTCATAGTCATGAAAGGAGTTATGCAGTTTTCTTCATAAATTTCTTTGATACAGCCGTTTCACCATTATCCCCCACATGTTTTAGATTGGTTTAGATCAGGACTGTTATTTGGTCAAGGCAAGGTTTTAATGTTGGAATTTTGGAGCCATTGTGCAACGATGTTTGCACTGTGAACAGGACAGTTGTCTTGTTGGAAAATAAAATTATTTTTCGGGTAAAGTTGTTCCACACTTGGCACCATAACGTTCTGCAATATTTTGGCATAAGATTGACCAACAAATCTTCCCTCAATGCGCCATGCCACTCCCAAACTGTTGTTCTTGCGCTTGATAGTTAAGAGTGACAAATAAGCCGTGCTTGCTTCTGTTGGTGAGTGCCCGGCACTTGAGAAGCGATGCCTTAATTCTTCGACAAATTATGGGTTTACTGCTTGGAAATTCCGACGGAATTCTTGCATTTTTCGCGCGACTATTCGAAGAAGCGCTTGTTATTCTTGAACTGTTTGTTTACCACATGCCCTTTTCAAAACAATGAAGTTTAAATGACAACGACATGGTGGCCTATAATACACTGTACAAAACTTAAAAAATGTTTTAAGAGTCGTATCAGTTTTATTAAGGTATATTATTATATATATTAAAGTATATTATGCATGTTATCTGAAATGATTGCAATTGAACTAAATTTTTTCTGTCTAACGTATTTTTCTTGATACATCAGCTCTTTCAGGTAGAAAAAACTTATCTCCGATATCAGCAGGTACTTAATAGATTCAATGTAACACAATATAATACACAACAACACAATATCATTTCAAGTTCATATAAAATCATACATAATGAACTGGTGTTTGTTAACTTTCTGTCTATTATTCTTTACGTCGGCAATTTGCGAAGACCGATATGTCACTTATATCAACGCGCAGCAGTCTTCTTGGGTGGCAGGACAAAATTTTGACGACACATTAGCCGCCATAAAGACATTCAAGGAAGCCGGTGAAAAGTTTCGATCAAATGGACATGCTGTTGTGACTTTGGATTTCGTTTCTTTTATCGACGATAACACCACAGTCTTACCAGAGACGTTCGATGCGAGAGATGAGTGGTCAAACTGTACTAGTATCGGAAGAGTTTGGGACCAGGGAGCTTGCGAGGCAAGCTGGGTAAGTGATGGAGTTTTAGTCGAGCAAAATTGTGTTCTAAGTTAGAGCCGTTAGGCGATAGCCTCGACGTCAGTGATGTCCGATAGGATTTGCATCCATTCCAATTTTACAACAACGCCCACAATATCGCCCCAAGATTTAATATCGTGCTGTAGGAGCTGCAAAATAGACTGCGACGGTGGTTTCGCAATACTAGCCTGGAGTTATTGGAATAATAGTGGCATCGTGACAGGTGGACCCTACGAATCCTATACGGTAAAAATGGTGTTCTTTAAATAATGAAAAAATATTGATAATAGGTTTTTAATATTTGCATCTCTTTGTAGAAAAAGTATATTATGCACAAAGCTTTACAAACGACACGAGTATCTGAAGAAGTTTATAAACAGTCGGGAAGAAAATTACAACACGGATGCATTCACTAAGTCAAGTGATGAATGCCTGAACTGACAAATGTCAAAACACCATCAGCATTTTAAAGATCAGCCGAAAACATCCGATCGCATGTTACACGTGACTAAAGTACCGGAAACCCTACAGTGTTTAATGCACCTAGGCTCTTTTAATGTGCCTCGTTAAGCACTGTTGAAAGACATTTCGAGTGTTTGCGGTCCTTTAGTTACGAGTTTAGGAGCGATCGGATGCTTTGGATAACTGCAATAATGCACCAAAAAGTAATGCATAAAGCAATCATTCAGTTGTTAAACACAGTAAATATTAATCATTAATCTGCAGTTTATCAAACTTGTTGCATTATATATCTTTACTTACTTACTAAAAATATTATATTTAGTGCCATATTTTTCCAAAAATTTGTAGGTGAAATTGTGGAAATTCGCGATAATACATGAAATTAGTAAAGTATATCGAATGCCATTCGATTGCTACTGGAGTATGCAACCAATTATACACTGGAGTATTTTCACCATTTTTGAGCAAATTATTCGTTTGGAAAGTGATTTCTGTGCTAGATATTATTAGTTAGTAAATTTTGAGCAATTTTTCCAACGATTGTGGAAAAATATTTATTATTATCCAAACATATTCGCTAGGCGACATAAAACTTGCCAACATACACACTGTTGAAGCTCAAATTAATACCTCAAAAAAATAGATCAGCGAACATTCATTTCGTTTCAGGGTTGCAAAAGTTATGTTAATAGGCCATGCGAACATACAAACGGAACTGAGGGAGTTATGTGTTCTGATCTAAATGGGTCCATAGATACTTGCTACTATGCATGCGATGCCAATGCACCGCAATCGTTATCGTACGATAGCGATTTGTACTTCGGCGAAGCCCCGTATTTCGTCGACGCCACCGAAAGACAAATCAAGTTGGAAATAATGAATAACGGGCCAGTCCATGCCTTGTTCGATGTATTCTCCGATTTCTTTTACTACAAAAGCGGCAAGTTCGAAATCAATAGTTAAAAAAATAGTTAATATTTGAAAGAAACGTCAAGAAAAGTTCTGTTATTCTATTTAATTATGGTTAATCTCTAAGCAATGAGCTCCTTCTAAACTGAAAGGTGAGGCAAATTTTATAATAGAGAAAGACGGTTACTAAAGGAGATTGTTTGCTTTGTCTTGCTCATTTATCTAGTCTCGTTAAAGTAAAATTTTTCAAAATCTAATTTGTTAAAATACCTTCGAAAGAAGCGAACACAAGTTGACATTTTTTTAAATTCAAAATATTTAGGTTTATCCGACGTTTTAGAAAATCCATTTGCCAGAAAAAATAGGGACATATTTAAATACGTACATTTAATCAATATTTTTAGATAGTTTTTGCCAATTTATAAAATGTTTATTAATTTGCATTAGCATATAATATTATTACCATCAAAAAATTAATTACTTGCCAGAAAATAGAAGTATTTATTTCAGGAGTATTTGCAAAAAGATTTTAAATTCTCAAAATTGAATTGAATTGAATTGAATTGAAACATTTCAAACTATTTTTAATTTGTAATAACTAAATCAATATACCCACATTATAATATTATAAAAATTTACAACTTTATTCATAACATAGATTTGGTTTATGTAAATAATTTTTATACGAGTAACATGGACGTGCAGCCTCTGAAAATGCCAGATGAAACGTCAAACATACCGATCAAACAACCAAGGCATAAATACCCGCATCAACACCAGCACAATATTTATATATTTTAGAATATTTATTTAAAAAGCAAAATTAAATTTGAAAAACGATTGAAATGATTTCAAAAATTAACATAAAAAGTCTTTTTGCAGTTATCGTTATTAGAATTTGTATTAATGAACGTGTATAACAAAGAAAACAGTCCATATTACTATCCGTCTCGCTTTAAATACGATTTGCCTCACAAAATTGGATGCATTAGCGGAACGATTCCAGTTTCATGGAGTTCACTACCCGTAATTAATCTATTTTGGATAGATTCCACTTTTTACTCTTTTGCACTTGACGAAAACATGTAATTACTAATTGACAAACAACAATGTTTTAGGGTTGTATGTTCCAACCGAAGATGCGGAATGGGTATCAGAAAACTCAGCCAAGATCATCGGTTGGGGTAAAGAAAATGACACCGCTTACTGGCTGATGGTCAATTCATGGAACACCAGCTGGGGTGATGGTGGTCTGTTCAAATGGCCTGTAAACCAAACGGATTATCCCCTCGAGGCAGCAGTTTTCGCGGCGATACCCATACTTTGATTCAGTTTTTTCATTGATCTAATAAAAGTCCTCCTTTGGAGTTGATAGTGGTTTTATTTTATTCATTTTTATAGTCAAATCAATGCTAGGCGGCGTTAAAAAGAATCTGAGAGCCAAAGTACTGGAAAGGTAAGAGATACTTTAACATCAAAAGAAACACGTAGAAAGGTAAGAAGATCGAAACTTATTTACAATTTACAAAATGGTTTCCAAATGTTTCATGTTTTTTCTCTAGATATGATTCGCATGACTCAGAACTGTTAATTTAAACGCGTCTTCTAAAAATTATTTGCAATTTATTTTATTTTGCAACTATATATTTTAAGTGCAAACTTTTTCATTCACAAGAAATTAGTGAGAGTTTAGGTCTGGTATTTGTTTGAATTTGAAATTGAAAACGTACTTAATTTCTTTTATCGTTTTTATCAACATCTAATAAAATCATCTCTTATTTCATTTACTGTGAGTCCCCTTTGCTTAAACGCCTTCAGTCCTATACATCAGTAGTAGTGAGCGTGAGAGATGACATTTTAAATGTTCCTCTCTAATTCCTCAAGTAATTTTTATCCAGTTTTTCTTTATAATCAAAACAACAGAAGAAGATAATAGCTATGCTCAGTGGACTATAACCAAAGTCATAAAACTTACGCACACGCACAAAAACGCGATAAAATAAAAATGTTATATTTATAAAATATGTTTTAATTTTTGCACTTTGTACTGAACAAAGTATCACTTTAAGCGCCTAAAACTTGGGCAAACTGGCTACGACCTCGCTCTCCAAGCCACCGCTGTCGACTCCACGGATGAATTTCACGTATCCGTCAGTACCCCAGTCGGTGTTCCAGGAGTTGGCGATCAACCAATACTTGACACCCTTCTCCACACCCCAACCGATGATTTTTACTGCATGTCCACCAACAACATTTCTCGTAGTGGGTTGATACACACCTATACAATAAAAGCCTCCTTAAGAGCGAATCATATAACACCAAGTTGTACTTACCGCTCTTGTAAGTCAAGAAATCTTCATACACGGTAAATCCAGCCTCTACCGGTCCGTTTGAGAGGATTTCCAATTGGATTTGTTTCTCGTTGGTGAATTCTCTGACCGTTTGGCCGAAGGTCAGGTCCTGTTGGTAGTCGATAGACGAATCGTAGCAGCTTTTAACGCATCTAGGAGTGTTGAATTCCAATTCTGAGCAAGCGACTCTGTTGCCGGTGGTGTGGTGCTCGCAGGGTTCAAGAGAGTAGTCTTTGCAACCCTGGTTGGATTCATAAAGACCACCGGTCACGATTCCGGTCTTCTGCCAGTAGTACCAGGCTTCATATGGGTAACCTCCGTCGCAACCGTCGCCGCAGTAAAGGCAGCAGGAGTTTAAGTCTTCGGAAGAGACGTGTTTTCGGACCGTACCATTGGAGTGGATGCAAATCCTGTCTGACATAGCTTCGGCAGCAGCAAATGCCTGAAACGAGTGCATAAATCAGGCCAGATACATTTTTTAAATGACTGGATATATTTTTAGATTTTTGAATGTTTATGGAACTTTGTTATTTTTCTAAAATTTTTTTTTCTGAAATTGTTATTCTAATATTTTTCATATATACTGGAAATTGATATTCTTTATAATTCCAGGAGAATATTTTTTCTTTAGATTCATTTTTGGGAGACACTAACAAAATGTAACAGACAAAGATAAAGCACATCCGAGATGTAGAAGAAGTTCTGGAGTATCACAGATGCACAGAATACCAAACAACGAAATCAAACGAAGAATGGTAATACAATCAAGGACAACAGAAGAAATAGGGAGACGCAGACTTAATTGTTATGGGCATATACAAAGTAACCGTTGCCGAAGAAGATTTTAAATTTCGAAAGGATATGGAGAGAAGAGGAAAGAACAAGATTTAATACATAGGAAGGCTTGGAGAAGAAGATGCGGGAGACATGCCAGACACCATTATATCAAGCTCATACATATCATTTTTGTATTTAAATGCATGAGTATTACTGCTACATTTGCTAACATTAGCCATATTAAGGCGGATATTTACGACACACATATTGCTCGCATATAGCTCGTCGAACAGTAAATGTGTTAAAAAAGTGAAATTGTTTATTTCGATAAGTGATCATTCTACAAACTCCTTATAGTCACAATAATTCGATATAATTCCCAAAAGATCTTAGCTTGTTTTTGGAATTTTAGGATAATAGCAACCAATTAACAGTTTCTTTACATATTTTTAACATAATTGTAATGTGGGTGACTTAAAATGACTTTAGCGGGGTAGAACATGAAACTCTTCGATATTCGATATCTAGGTGTCACTTAGTTTTGGTAGGGGAGGCTGTAACTCAAACCGGCCAGTGAGTTCGAAGAACTCTGTATCCTGCGTTCGGGGAAAACTCACCCAGCAGGCACCGCAGGATGATTGATCCCTAATCTGTCCAATAAATTCGGCGCACTGGGGCCAGGCCTCTCGTGAATCAAACGATTCTGGAATGTCTCGAGATTCATCGTGGACGTTTCTGTCTAGCTGGACGGATACCGGTTTCTTCCAAGCACCGGATGCGATCCTCTTTACCCTGTCCCATTCTTCGACGTCAAAGGTTTTGCCTGCCTTCCAGGTGTTTTGGATGGAATTGATATGCGCAATGTATTCATCCGACAATGGATGTAGGTTGGCTACCGGAGTGGCGCTCGCGGTGGCGACGAGGAGAAGAACCGCCCCCAAATATTTCATGTTTGGGCTGCTTCTTGGCATCTGCAAATGAAACCAATAAAAGTGTCTAATTGTTTTAACGTGACATTGATGCTCACCAGTGTTGGGTCTAAGTGCGTCTAATTTTCGCTGCTTCTTATATACCTTTGTTTAAAATGCAGATAAAGCGTTTTCAGTGTTTTAAATCGAGTGCCAGATAAGGTCGAGTGGCCAAATAACGGCAATGCTAAAACGTAACCTAATTTTTGATGTTATCTGGAATTGAGGAATCTAGTCTAGATGTCACGAAGGGATTTGATAGGATCTTTGCATTTTGGTCTAATTAAATCCGTTGATGCAACTCAAAGAGGTTTGAGCTTCTTTCATGAAATGGATTTTTCGCAATAAATAAAGTATTTGGTTGGATATTGAGAAATCATACATCAGACAAGCAAAGTGCAAAAAAATGGAGATTTTTATCTCACCCGGTATCGCTTTAAGTGGCCATTGTTTTCAAATAATGGTAAATTCATTGAAGTAATAAATAAATAAACAGGTATTTTTGTTGATAATTTAGTACATTTAGCAAAACTTTTTTCTGATACATTTTTAGTAGACATAAATTGTAGTCATGGAGAACACTTCATTCACTACAACATAATTCAAGCTGGTCAAAGTGCTTCACCTCACACAAATACAATTTCCCGTCTTTAATTACTAAAAAAAATAGTCAAAACAAATTGGATGGATTGGATGTTTGATTAGTTGATTAAACTCCATAATAGTTATTGTTCTGTCAATGACTTTGCGTTGATACTCATCTCTTTTAAAGAACAACAGAAATATGTTGTTCAAAACGTTCTTTTGAATTGTTTTTGCTATTTGGCTGTTTATATTATATGGTATAATAACGATATTATGCGTAAATGACAATGCAATAATTTTGGAGCTAGTCGTAGGTTTGCTAAAATATTAAAACATCATAAGTCGTCAACCCACTTTATTTTCCTCTGTTCATATCAATATATATTTTACTCGTGATAGTAATATAATGTAGTTTTTTTTAGAATCTCGGCAAAGCGGCAGTGACCTCACTCTCGATGCCGCAACTGTCTTCGCCGCGAATAAACTTGACGTATCCGTCGGTACCCCAGTCGCTGTTCCAAGAGTTCACGATCAGCCAATACTTGACGCCATCTTCCTCCCCCCACCCGATGATTTTTACTGCGTGGCCGCCAACCATCTTCTCTGTGGTGGGTTGGTAAATTCCTACGCAGTAAGGTTCATTACCAAACAGAGCTCACCCTAAAACCAGAAACATCATTTACCACTTTTGTAGCTGAGAAAATCTTCGAACACTGTAAATCCTGCCTCCACTGGTCCATTCTTGTAAATTTCTAGCTGAATTTGTTTCTCGTCCCAAAGAAAAATGGGTTCTTGCCCGTAGGTCAGATCGCTTTCATAGTCGATCGAGGTATCGTAGCAACTCCTGACGCACTCCGGAGTATTATAACCGGTTAAGTCCTCGCACGATACCTTGCTGTCCGTTCCGCTATGATGTTCACAAGGGGCCAACGAAAAGTCCTTACAACCCTGATTGGATTGGTACAAACCGCCGCTGACGATGCCCGAGTCTTCCCAGTAGGCCCAAGCGTTGTAAGGAATTCCTCCGTTGCAACCGTCACCGCAGTAGTCGCAGCATGAGCTTAAATCTTCTGCAGATATGTACTTCCTGACCGTGCCGTTGGAATGGATGCATAATCTGTCTGACATTGCTTCAGCCGCAGCAAACGCCTGAGAATAGAGCCCGTGTCGAACTTATCAGAGCCTATACCGAACTACTTACCCAGCAGGCGCCACAAGCTGACTGATCTCTAATTTGACCGATGAATTCCACACACTCCGGCCAAGCGTCTCTGGCGTCAAATGACTCTGGAACGCTTTCTGATGCATCATCGACTTTGTCAACGCGTTTAATCGAGTCTGGTGTTTTCCAAGTACCCGACGCGATCTTCTTTACCCTGTCCCAGTCTTCGATGTGAAAGTTTTTAGCAGCCTCCCATGTCGTCTGGATAGAGTTTATACGTGCTATGTACTCGTCAGACAACGGATGTAAGTCCGGTGAAAGAGAAGCGGAGGCAGCTACGATCAGCAGCAGGAACACTTCCAAGGTGTGCATTTTCCTATCAAGTTATAATAACTTGCAATCTAGTTTTTGCCTTTTATATGATAAAACGATTCTTCACTATATCGATAAATATCAGATATTTGGAAGGATTTTGATTGATGATGCCAGGCGTGATAATAAGTGTTGTCCGTTCAAAATCTCCATTCACCGTTAAGTTTCAGTAAAATCTCGTGCGGATAAGTTATGTTAATAAAATTCCACTACAATTTCTTGGTTTGGTCTTTATTTTTAAGGAGGTTAAAGGCATAACTTGTGTCAACTGTTTTTGGTTTAGCTCTCATTGCCGATGTGATTTAATATACATTAGGAGTCCCTGCGACGACGTTATGTTCAATGCCGAACTGTTCACCCCGCGGATCATCCTGAAGTAGCCATCTTCCCCCCATCTCGTGTTCCAAGAATTGGCGATTTTCCAATATTTAACTCCATCCTCTACTCCCCACCCGACGATTTTTACGGCATGAGATGATATCTCGACATCGGTAGTCGGTTGGTAAATGCCTGTAACTAAACAATAAAGTCCCCATATTGCATTAAAAAGAAGAGTTCACCGCTCTTGTAACTGGCAAAGTCCTCATAGACTGTATACGTAGCTTCCACGGGTCCGTTATTCATAATTTCCCTTTGTATGTCCTCTTCTTTGATAAACACTTTTATTAACTCCCCGAAAGCAAGGGAGTCGTTGTAGCTGCGGCTCCTATCGTCGCAAGTCTTCACACACTGCGGCGTCCCTACGTAGTCTCTGCATTTGTTTGGATGGTCATCGCATTCCGACAGGAAGTACGACTTGCAGCCCTGTTATTCGAAGTCAACATTAGAAGTTCAGATAGAAGAGGTAGATATTGACACTCAAGAACCCTAATATGATGGTATTAGTACTACATTTAGCAAAATCACCTGATCTGCGGCATTGTATAACCCTCCTGTGACAATACCATTGGACCACCAATAGTCCCAAGCAGAAAATGGATCACCTCCAAAACATCCGTCACCACAGCGCTCGCAACAGGTCAACAAGTCCTGGGCAGAAATGTAAACCTGCTTGGTTTGTCCTGAGTGGATACAAATTCTGTCCGACATGGCTTGCACTGCAGCGAAAGCCTACAGGAAAATTTTAACATGTCAAGATTCACGTTATCTTCCATAAATACCCAACAGGCACCACATTTGGATTGATCCCTGATTTGCTTGATAGATTCGCATTTCGGCCAAGCTTCCGCGGCATCAAAAAAGTCGGGAATCTCGCTGTCTTCTTCGAAGGAGTAAATGTAGTTAGTCCGTTCTGAGAGTGGACGCTTGACCACGCCCGATGCTATCATTTTGAAAGTATCCCAGTCGTCGAAGACTCGCTCTGCCTTCCATGTTGTATGCTTTCGATTGATTTCCGCGACATACTCATCTGATAGGGGATGTAATTTGGAGCCGGCCGCAACCAAAATGGTGGCAAACAAGAAGGCAAACCTGCAGCTATGCATCATCGGGACAGTAATTTAACGGCGATTGCTTTTATGGCGGTAAAATCGTACTCGATTTTTTTATATCATTTCTATGTGCCAAGTGCTCGTATCGATTAGATTAGAAACTAATATAACGACGCTGAGTTCGAAAGCAATGACATGATGTGTTCAAATTCTTTTGCACGGATGTTTTAAAGTACCACGTTTATTATGAGTTGAATTTGGATAACGAAAAATTATTACAAAATTACTAAAACTTTTCGACTCCAGCAATAACGAAAAATGGATACTCTCTACCTGGATTCATGCCAATGAATCATGGTTTCGCAGAAATTTGGTTCTGGAAATAAATATGCAGTCATAGCCTGTGTTTATATTTACTGGATGCTATAGAAATTGCACAGTATTAGCTATATTTATTTTTTGTTCGTTGATTGTCTGCCTACAAATAAACAGATTTCTTTTTTTTATTTCACAAAGGAATGTAGAGGTTATATTTTTTTAAAGAATAGAGTATTGACGGTATAATTAGGTGAAAGGCCGAGTCGATCGACACATTTGGCTGTGCAGGGGTATCAAATAAGCGTGCATCGCGAAAACAGTTCGTCACCGAATTACTAAAGTGAAGAACGTGGAAAATATTTTTAAATTTTCAAGATGATCGCCAGTGGAGGGAACTGTCATCTTAATTTCTTAAAATGATTTTTCTCTGAAATCAATCTAGTAAATGTACCAAAGAAAAATATGCCTGTTTATTACCATCAAATAGTGGAATTGATTCAATATTTTTTTTAAATAAATAGCAATAACTCTTAAACAGGAGAACGGTTTTTAAGAAACTTGGTTCCGTCGAGTATTTTTTCTGATAAAAAATTTGGTGAAATGATAGCTAAATAGTCTAGTGAAAACCTATACCGATATCTTATTCCTAACATGAAGAAAGAAAGAAACATGAAGTAAGATTATCCTGGGATCCTGAGCTACCTCTTATTGATCTTATTCGCAGCTTACAATAAAAAGTTACAGAATGTCACCTTTTTTATACTTCCCAAGATATTGATAAAATACATGTTCACTTAGTGAATATAACGATTCGGTAGAACAAATACCACATCAGTCAAAAAAAAATTTAGCTACTCAGACAAAATTTTATTGAGTACACTCAGCTTAGTTGAATATGGGCACCGAGGCAACAACGCTCTCCTCGATACCGCAGCTATTTACCCCGCGGATTATTCTAAAGTATCCATCTTCTCCCCACCTGGGGTTCCACGAATTGGCTATCTTCCAATACTTAACGCCGTCCTCTACTCCCCAACCAACAATTTTCACGGCGTGACCACCGAGCATGACATTGCTGGTTTGTTGGTAGATCCCTACAACGAAAAACAAAAGCATAACCACTTCCTTCATGTTAATGGTAACATTTACCGCTCTGATAGCTGGCGAAATCTTCGTAGACATAGTATTGGGTCTCAACCGGTCCATTTTTCAAAATTTCTAATTGGATCTGCTTCTCGCTGGAGAAGTAATTGACGTCGGATCCAAAAGTAAGCGAGCTTTCGTAGTTTTCATTGGGGTTGTCACACCTTTGAACGCAGGCGGGCGTGTCGACATAGTCTCTACATTTGGCCGGATGGTCGTCGCATTCGGGTAAAAAGTAGGAAACACAACCCTGAGCGATGAATTAAATCCTATTAGTTATACCACCTCGCCTATGCTTACGTTTTTTTTACCTCGTCTGTACGATTGAAAAGGCCTCCCGTGACAATACCGTCGCGTTTCCAGTACAACCAAGCGTCGGAAGTAAAACCTCCGTCGCAACCGAAACCGCAGTAGTTACAACAAGTCAGCAGGTCCTGCGAGGAAATGCGCACCTGCTTGGTTTGGCCGGAATGAATGCAAATCCTGTCGGACATTGCTTCTACCGCTGCGAAAGCCTGAAAATTTCAAACCGCACTAGCAATTACAACTTTTGAAACAACTTCTTCGATTTACCCAACAAGCGCCGCATCTCGACTGATCTCTGATCTCTCTGATGGACTCGCAGTTGGGCCACTGCTCGGCAGCATCAAAATACTCTGGAATTTCTGTAGATTCGTCGTGTATGGTTTGCTTTAATTGGACCAACTTCGACTTCGGCAACTTCAAGGCGCCAGTAGCAATCGCTTTGAATTTGTCCCATTCGTCTACTTCGAAGTTACGCCCAGCTTTCCAAGTGGACTGCTTGCGGTTGATTTCTGCGATGTACTCATCCGAAAGTGGATGGTAGTTTGAGGCAGCAACAGCCGCGAACAGGGCCGCCAAAGCGACTAAGCTGTAGCGGAACTTCATTGTATGAAAATTTTTTGTTGGACTGGGTCGATGGAACCAGTCTTTTATACATTTTTCGGTCATTATCAAGTACTTAAACATATACAATTTAATCGGCAAAAACTGTAAGTCTCTGTTTCCGCTTAAACAGATAACGGGACACCGTTTATACGCTGTACTTTTTGAGAAAGTCCTTGAGTTCTCTTTTTTTAAAGATTTTGTATTCTAATTTATCTCGATAAGATGAAATAAAAATTCCAATCAGTCGCGTACGAGTGTATTTTGTTTTAAAAATCAATTTAGTACAGGCAAACTGGCGACGGCATATTCTTCAATTCCGCAGCTGTCGACCCCGCGAATAATCCTGAAGTATCCGTCTTCTCCCCACCTGGAATTCCACGAGTTGGCGATCTTCCAGTACTTAACTCCGTTCTCTTCTCCCCAGCCGACGATCTTGACCGCGTGACCTCCAACTTCCTTATCGGTTGTTTGTTGGTAAATACCTGTCAATACAAAATCGGTTCAAATTCCTTCGCACGCCTACTTGAAGTTTTACCGCTTTTGTAACTCGCGAAGTCCTCATTGAGTTTCGACCGGTCCATTCCTCAAAACTTCCAGCTGAATTTGCTTTTCGCCTGTAAAAAAGTGAGCGTCGCCTCCAAACGTGAGCGATCCTTTGTAACTTTGGCTGGCGCTGTCGCAAGATTGGACGCATTCTGGTGTAGTAACGTAGTTGACACATTTGTTGGGGTGATCATCACATTCGGGTAAAAAGTAAGACTTGCACCCCTTTGAACGTCAAGATTTAGAAGTGACTCCGTCGCGACGATTAAGATTACCTCATCTGTGCGGTTGTACAATCCTCCCGTGACGATACCGATGCGTTGCCAGGCCAGGCCAGGCGGGTTATACTATACCCCAATGACAACCTACACCGCAAGAGTAGCACGTAAGCAAATCCTGGGACGAAACGAAAGGCTGCTTGACCTGATTAGAATGGATGCAAATCCTGTCGGACATTGCTTCCAGAGCTGCAAAGGCCTGCGCAAAGAATTTACAATGTTAATCGAATAAAAAAACCTAAATTTCCAGAGTATGTAAGCTTCAGAGTTAAGATTATAGAAAATATACTACAGCATACCCGCATCTGGACTGGTCCCTGATGATTTTTATCGCATCGATTATATTCGCACTGAGGCCATTGCTCGGCAGCGTCGAAAAATTTAGGAATGTCTACGTTCTCATCATGGACTATTCGAAGATAATTGTCTAATTTCGACTTGGAGGGCTTGAAGGCACCGGATGCCAGGGTTTTAAACCGGTTGAAAGTTTTTTCCAGCCGTCCACGTCGACTGCTTGCGATTGATTTCTGCAATGTACTCATCCGAAAGAGGATGGTAGTTCGAAGCAGCAACAACCGCAAAGGCGAGCGACAGCAAAACAAAGGAGTGCCGACACTTCATTGCTGCCAAAAACTGGGAATAACCCTGATCGTGAAACAGGACCGATTATATAGGATCGCTGGTTCGTTTCGAGTGGATTGAAATTTCAGATTTTTGAGTCTGAATCTTGATAAGTGTCCATTTCCGCTTCGCGAGAGCTGATTTGTGTAAATAATCGAGTTTAAAACTCCTGTTTGTGGTACTGATAACAGTTATACCTATAATATAATAGGGTGCAATGATTTTAACAGACATTAACGGGTAAGGGAAGATGCGTTTATTTTCACAATTATCTATACAGGCGTTTATTTACACAATTATCTATACAGGCGATGCGCAAAGTACAGCGCTTTCAATACCGCAACTGTTTACGCCACGTATTATGCGGAAGTATCCATTTTCCCCCCAATTTCTGTTCCAGGAATTTGCGACTTTCCAGAATTTCACTCCATCTTCCACACCCCAGCCAACGATTTTTGCTGCGTGACTTCCAATGGCGTTTTCGGTTGTCGGTTGATAAATTCCTGCAAACAAAGATAGTCCGCTCTCATTCACTCACCCATTTGGAGGACTCTTACCGCTTCGGTAGCTGACAAAATCTTCATAAACTGTAAACTGAGCTTCGACCGGTCCCTTTTGCAGCATTTCCAGTTGAACCTGGCGCGCCGACTCCAAATAGTAAATATCCGTTCCAAATGTAAGCGAGTCCTCGTAATTCACGCCCGCGTCGTCGCAATTTTTGGAGCACGAAGGGGTGGCGACGTAATCTGTACAATTCTCCGAATACTGATCGCACTCCGGTAAGAAATACGACTTACACCCCTGCGAAAGGACAAATGGAATGTGGAAATTCCAAATTAGGTGAAGTTTGCCCCTAAAGTTCAGGTTTCTCAAATACATTGAGTAGGATGTAGAGTACTACTAGTAGCAAACAAAAGGCGAAGAGTAGAACGAAATCGGTTAAGAAGTTAACTGTTCCAAAACTTTATATACTGGTATATACATTTTGTCGAATACTTTCTTAGTTTCGAAATTATGGGAGTCCGTCAACAGCTCTTAAAAGTAAAACAATATCAAAAGACTACATCAAAAGAACAATAGTCATTCAAAATCAAATAAATAATAATAATAATAAACTCTAAAGAACAAATACCGAAAACGCTGTCAAAACAGCTAAGAAAATTGTTTTCTCACAATTTATTATTCCCGCAAACGAAAGTGTCAGTTAGTATTAGGTGTACCTTAAAAATATTAGTGGGAACGGCCGTATCTCCGAAAACACGAATTGTAAAGTTTTGCGGTAAAAACTTTTATAACTAAAGTGATGTGGTCCACGATTAAATGTGAAGTGCGGCAACAGGGGATATTTGCGATCACCGTTTAAAAAGTGGGGAGACGGGCGGAAGACGTGTCCAGGACGGTGTTCCTGGAGATAAGAAAGTCCCGCGGTTATTATTGTTTCTTTGGAAATTTGTAGTGTTACTTTAAATAAAAGTTTGGTAGTTTTAAAATTTTGTAGCTTTATTTACCGCCGTAGTACCCACAACACACTCTCGGAGGTACGAGAGCATCTCTATGCATAGCTATGGTCCGATAGAAAAATACACACTAAATAATGTTTTATTATAAGTTGATAAAAAAATACTACAGTAATCCGCACTTCTAAATGTAGGGCATGAAATAAGGTTGGAGGGGAAGGGTCTGATTGAAATGCCTATGACATCAGTTTATCTCAACGCATTTGAGCATTTGAGTATAATATTATTAATTGTCGCTTTGACTACTTGTTAAAATAAGACATGTGTTACCTCACCGGCATGCTTGCTCAATAAAAATTGGAAACATAATTTGCTATTTCAAATATTAAAAAAAGCTCATCTGGCAATAACTCCTAAACGAGTGAAGTTATCGCGGTTATATGCGGTTTGAAGGTTTTTCTTGCACATTGGATCCACTTTCTGTTTCTCTTGAATAAGTTTATCATTCTACTTGGAAAGTGTGAAATGACCTCATCTAGCGGAAGCAGGGAAAATTACTCTATACTTTATTCTTTATGTTTATAAATGATGTGTTCTTCTTTCTCCCATTCTTACTTTTTCCTATTTGAAGATGATGCAGTTTCTACCCTTTTTGGAGCATCGTCCGAGTAACTTAGCATTGCAGTCAAGACAGCTGTTGAGCAAATGAAACATTATTTAGAAATTAATAGATTGAAACTAAATGAAAGTAAAACTGATGATCGCCTTTTCAACACAGCATTTAAATAAGAGTTTATTAGTACGCTTCAGTGAAAGCATAATCCAACAAAAAAGTGTAGTAAAATTTCTCGGAGATTCGGTAGATTCTCTTGGTCCGAACAGGTGGAACACATTCTCAAAAACCTTTCTGTTTATCGCTTTGTCATATGGAGGCTCCGCCATCAGATTTCAATTCAGATTCAAATTTTCAAATGTCTATTCCTGTCTTAACTACACCTTGATTTGTTGGGGTAGCTCCCCACGTATGAGGAGGAAGTCAAAGACAAAGGCCATACAACCTATAGCAGTTGTTATATTTAAGTAAAGAACTATTATTAACTTTATATATACTTTTATACTTAATACCTCTTTTTTCGGCACTATTTCCACTCTTAAAGATGTCGTAGTATGTTTTACCTGATCAGTGCGATTATAAAGGCCACCGGTAACGATGCCACTGTCTTCCCAATAAGTCCACGCCAGAATGGCAAACCCGCCTTGGCAATCTCCGCATTCAGTACAACAGGTCGTCAAATCTTGAGCCGACACGTACACTTGCTTGGTTTGATTGGAGAATATGCAAATTCTATCGGACATAGTTTCCACAGCCGCGAAAGCCTACGATTTGGCCCACAACTATCCTCCAAGAACTAGCGATGTTTACACGCGAACGGTCAACCAAAAAGATTACTCGTAGCACCTGACCCACACGTTCCAAGTGTTATTTGAATAGCAGCATTATATCAGTTAAGGTAAACTTGCCTAAATCGTACTTGCGCGTAAATCGTACCACCTAAATTACTCATAATTTATAAAACATACAGCGGCATCTGTCGGTGATTACTTGAGTTAGTGCTAAGCTAACCAGCTGTGATGCTCCGAAGCAGTGATTCCTGTGCGAAATGTAATTTTACTGATAAAAGTAAGTTTTTTTCAGTTTTCTTGTAAAATTTTAGCGTTTTTTGTAAGCGTTTTTTAAGAATTCGATAAACATAAAATTGTGAATCATACGGTTTTCAAAAATTGCATTTCTTTACAATTCATTTGGTGGTAGAATTAGCGCGCAGCGTTTTCTCTTAACCTAAAAGCGTTAAGTGTATTTTGAAGAGGACTTTGAGCGTAAATCGTACTTTATTATACATCCTAATTCGTACCGGTACAAATTAGGAATACGAAATAAAATTGTTTTCATTTTGGTTTTAACCAATCAATTTCTGTTTATACATATTTGTTAAGTTTTTAATTTTATCATTTTATGAGGAAAAAATAAAAATATTTTTTTTTAGCACACAATGGCAAAACGACAATATAATAAATGGTCTATGCCAAATCTGAATGCAGCAATACAAGATTTTAATAATGGGAAATTACGATTCAATGAAGTATGCAGGACATATGGTATTCCAAAACCGACCTTTCGACGTCATTTAAAAGGTCTAAATTCTCAGAAAAAAAATAGGAAGACCAAGCGATTTGACGGAGCAAATGGAGACCGAATTGGTTCATCACATTTTGGATTTGGAGTCCAGATTCTTTGGGTTAACTATCACAGATTTAAGACATCTAGCATTTCAGTTGGCAGAAAAATACAAACTTTCGCACCGATTTAATAAGGTGCAAGAGTTAGCCGGTTGGAAATGGTATTACAAATTTATGAAAAACCACCCAGAAATTGCCTTAAGAATGCCTGAACCAACATCAATGGCACGATGTAAAGGATTTAACAAAAACATTGTATCAGAATTTTTCGACAAATACGAAAAGATTCTAGATGATTTCCAATTTGGACCTAACGAAATTTTTAACATGGATGAGACAGGTCTTAATACCGTTCATAAGCCTGCTAAAATATTAGCGTTAAAAGGAAAACATCAAGTCGGAGCAGTCACTAGCGGAGAACGTGGAATTAACACTACATGCGTTTTGAGACTTTATTCCTCCAATGTTGATCTTCAAACGCAAAAGAATGACGGACATCCTTAAACGTGGTGGCGCCCTAAAACGCTGTACACTTGTTCTGAGAGTGGGTGGATTGTCGCTTCAATCTTTGTCGAATGGTTACAACATTTCATAAATCATTTAAAATTGGAAAAACAATTGAATCATAAAATTCTATTAATATTGGATGGACATACCACACATACTAAGAATCTAGAAGCCATAAACCTTGCTAGAGAATACGGTATCGTAATGTTTTCTTTGCCGGCGCACACAACACACAAACTACAGCCTTTGGATAGATCATTCTTTAAGTCATTAAAAACTAATTTTAATAAAGAATGTGCAGTTTGGATGAGAAATCACCCTGGTGAAACAATCAAACAATCAAACATATCTGAAATTTTGGGAGTGGCATATCTTAGATCGGTTTGTATGGACATCGCTATGAAAGGTTTTGAAACTTGTGGATTGTGGCCTTGCAACAGGCATCGAATACCAGATGAAGAATATGTCGTGCTCGATGAAAATGAAATGACCCAAACTAATATGCAACTTTCGGATCCTAGTGCTTCCACAGCGAATGTTTCTACAAATGCACACGATCAAACTGACGCATCCATCCGCACGGTTATTGAGAATTTGTCACCAATATATCGACTTCCACCGCAAACATCTAAGAAAACAAGCAAGGCCGTAGTCCTTACTGCGAGTCCATATAAAAATATGTTGGAAAATAAATTAGATAGACCAACAAAACCAAAGAAACGCTCTTTAATAGAAAAGACTTCTAATACTTGGTATTGCATTTTATGCAGCAAAGACGAAGAAAAATCAATGATTCAATGCATCAAATGCAACATATGGGTGCACGACAACTGTGCAGGTGTAGGAAAAGCCACATATTCTTACACTTGCCAACATTGCATCAGAAGTACGATTTAGGAATAGTGCCGTACGAGTTAAGACATATGGTCTTAAATCGTACTTTTTTAATTATTTTTTAAATATTTTATTTTGAGTAGTAAAACAGGGTTTCTTTAAGTATTAACACATGTCTAATGTCTCTTCTATTAATAAAGTTTTAACAACCAAAATTTCATAGTGTTTGATGCATTTTTGAGAAATATTGTTCAAAACTGGTACGATTTGGGCAAGTTTACCCTACTCTAGTGGCGACTTTATTTTAGACTTTAATGCAATAGATTCAATTATATATCACACTAACGTGGCGCTTAAGTGCTATATTCTTTGATTATACCGTTCTGCTTACCCAGCCCGCATTGCAGCTCGACTGATCTCTGATCTGACCGATTGTTTCGCATCCGGGCCAAACTTCGCTGGAGTCGAAATATTCCGGTATAGTTGCGTTTGGATCGTCGTCTTTTAGATTTCTTTTGTATTTGACGAGTATCGAGTGGGGAATATGGCGAACGCTGGACGCTAAATTTTTGACCCTGTCCCAATCGGAAAGGTCGAAATTTACCCCTGCCGTCCACGTTGATTGTTTGCGGTTGATATTGGCGATATATTCCTCCGATAAAGGATGGTAGTTTCCAGAGACATAAATAGTCACCGAAAGTAAAAGTGCACAACGACGGTACATGGTAAAAAAACAATTATTCGTCGAATATTTTGTAATCGACAAGCTGTAGATTAGATAATTGAGTGTCAGCCGCTATTATGTACTCCATATTAACCTGCCTCTAAAGGTAGGCCACCGGAGGTGCGGGATTTTAAAAATACAGGGCGCTTCGTTAATCAACAATTTTATTCAACAATTTCGAAACGGTTCAACATAATAATGGTGTATAAATAGAGCAATAGGCACTATGTGTATAAAAAACTTGCTAATACGTCTACGTTAGCGGAAACAGTACCAGTCGGTTCCAAATTAACGCTAGGTAAAAAAAGCTGGAAAAGAAAATAAACATCGTGATATATTACGGAATGTTATAAACAAAGCTTTGGTGAGCAAACTTAATGCTTACTTATGGAGTGTTCATTCATGTGGGACGGCTTTATATTAATGAAAAAAGGCATGCCCGAAATGGAGGCCATTGTAAATTTGATATGTATACATCTGGGTAGAATACTGATTCACGCCTAAACGAAACAGTCAAAAAAGTTACACAGCACCGTGTATCGAGCATCTTTGGCATAAGGATGGAAAATCGACTATAAAAAATACGCTAGTAAGGTACTAAATGGTAGAATTAGGTACTAGAAATGTGACGCATTTGCGCCTATTCCGAGTCCGTCAAGGTCTGGCTGGCGGAACATTATCGACGAACTGGCCTATAAAGTTACCCCTTGGACTGTAATTGCATACGACGTAAGTTTGGCCTTTTCGATTTTTGGCAATTCCCACCCCCAGGTCAGTGGAGCCCTTCCATATAACCTGGGTGAAATGAAGGCTGCCTTGGATAACCCTCTCGTTTCCGAATGTGTGTTTTTTGACCTCGTCGTACCATTCTTTCACCGCGTCTCGGGCACTAGGGACGTGACTGTAGTCTGACGAATACATCGAGAAAATGTTTTCGCCGTAAGGATTGTTGGCCCTGTGTTGTAGACTAGACGTGCGCGCGCAAGTATTCGCCCACTCCTGGGCAAAAGCGCATAGCTGGAGAAAAGCAAATACATAGTTAACTCACTAACCAAAATTGACCTAAGCAATTTCCTAAACAGGACATCAGTTGTGTCTCATTTTGTTGCTGCGGTACAATTTTCTGTAATTGTTCAAATTTGGATCGTTATTTTTGTGCTGTTTAGTCAGAATATTATACATTATAGTAATTAATAGTTTTTTTTTGTTTTATATTGCATTTACTTAGTTTTAATTAGTTAGTTGCCTTTATAACCTGGATAATAATATGGTTTTCAAATATCTGAAAAGATGTATAAATTGAAATTATTTTAAATTTACTTGCTTTAGCTTGCTGTTGCAACAACGTTGGTTTTTAAATATGCCACAAACTTGTACCTCTTAATACTAGATTTTCACATGCAATAAAGCTTTGATTTAGAATGACACCATAATTTTCCGAGTTCTGGGAAAACTTGTAGGACATCCTAATAGCATTAAATTTGTAATTAAAAAGTACACTGCCTAGCGAGTTCATTTCAGCTTCATTTAAATTAATTAAATTAAATTTAGGTATAATACCTTTTTGAAGATTACAACTTTTAAAAGCCCTGTATTTTAGGCAAGGTGCTGTATAAGGTGGATAATCGAAGGTGAGATAAAAAGCGAACACAAAACAAAACGCCAATGGGAATCTGAGAAACGTTCATACGGAATGCTCACCTCTTTGTTGAGTTTTAACGAAGGCACGCCGTGTTTCTTTCTGTATTCGTTGTGGACTTTCCAGGCTTCCAGAGCGAACTCGTCCACATCGATACAGTCAGTCTGGGTGCGCTCGCTGATCTTCAGCTTCGCCAAGGCATCACCATTCTCCAAATCGTCCACTAGGTCGTAAAATCTGGGTTTTAATGGGGGACAATTGTCAACGTAGTGACCAACGAAATTGCCAGCAGGTGAATAGTTGGCCACCACGTAGATGCTGCCGTGGCTATTTTTTGCGATGCCCACGCCGAGATATTGACTCGATTTCCAGATAACTTGGCTAAAGTGACCCGACTTTAGATTGCTGGGCTCCCTACCAAACGGATGATGTTTGATTTCTTCGTACCAGGTATCGACCGGGGTGTGACCGTTGATAGTGAACGAGGGGTCCGACGAAAACAAACAATAAATATTTTCCCCGTAGTTGCTCTCGGGGCGGTGCTCCAGGATATTTTTGGAGGCAAGCAGTTTTGCCCATTCTTCCGCGTACTTGCACAACTTCTTGTCGAGCTTCAGAGGCGGCACTCCGTGCCTTCGCCGATAATTATTGTGTGCCTCCAGAAAGTCCTCTTCGAAGTTACCTTCGGCGATGTCCCGCGCGTCCCTCGTGGAACACCTGGAGCTCGCTGAAGATCGATTCGCGTCACTCAATTCTATGTGGTTGTTGTTATTTGAAGGCGAACTGAGAGTTGGAGGGGGCACGTTCTCCGCGAAGCACCCTATAATATTGCCGGGGGGATAATAGTTCGCCACCACAACCACCTTGCAACCGCTTTTGGCGAAAGCAACCCCGAGCTGACGAGAATCCTTCCAAACGACTTGGCTGAAGTGGCCGGTAGAGAGACTGTTGGGCTCGACGCCGAAGACGTGCTGCTTTATCTCTTCGTACCAGCTGTCGACAGCTTCGTCACCAGACACTACGAAATTCGCATTGGACGACTGCATCATAAACAAGTTCTCCCCGTATTCATTGTTGTTGCTGTGCATTAACGCTCCTTTCCTGATGAGCGTGTCAGCCCACTGCTGGCTGACTCGGCACATGTTCCTGTCCAGCTTCAGGGGCGGCACTCCGTGTTTCTTCCGGTACTCGTTGTGCGCTTTCAGACATTGCGTTTGAAAATCCATCCTGAGATTTGATCTCCTCTAAAAGACGTATTGGTCAAGTCCAAGTATCAGAGAACCCGCGGATACTTACAGGGGTAGATTTGTGCACGACCTTGGCAGCTCGCTCAGTCAGAGCTTCTATGATTCCGGGCGGACATTTTTCCTCGAAGTCCTTCTTCTCAGTGGTAATTTTACATTCAGTCTTTTGCCCTCGGAACGTTTCAATTGTCTCTCTGGTGATCGTCTCTATCTTGGGTTCCTGCAGGTGCGCTTTAAGTCAGTAGGTAGGTTCATCGCGTATATATAACGTTGGTGCGATTAAAAGAAAGGATTAGATACCGAAGCCGCGTCCAATAAAGGTATTTATTAATGACACAGAAGATAAATAAAACTAATCATCCGAGTAACCAGAAAATTGCGAAATCGCGCGGGTTTTCTACTCTGTCGGTCGTCGCTTTCGCGTTTTGGGTGGGTAATGCGGATTAATAGATTAGTATCTTTATTTGAAATATGACCTTACGATATGGAATACGCAATATGGGAACCGCAATTAGGATCAACTGTGCAGAAGGAAATGCGTAGCAGTAAATAACGAGTGACACAAGGAGAGATGGAGAGGAAGGAAGATATTTAGCATTAATTACGAATGAGAACTGCTCCGAATAATAGAAACTACTTTAATTATCATATCTCATAACAATTAGGGTGACTAATTGAGGAGAGATAATATTGGAAAAGCTGAGGACATAACTGCTTTCCTTTTAAACTACTGAACTGCCTGTTAAAAAATCAAAGTAGTGATAAACAGCAAAAATTGCTACTCCGCAATAAGTTGATTGATTGTCATTGAGGTTCTAGAACACCTGGATCCACCAGCAATTGGAGCTTCAAATGGGGTCTACGGAATTCAGTACGCACTATCCGTATATCATGTTGAAGTAGGTGTAGTTCTAACTACGCAAAAACGCAAATAGAACAGGTGGAACGAAAATAACTTTGAGTTATTTATTGTTATGTATTGTTATGGAGCGGGAGACTAAAAAATATTTATATGAGATTTTCGTTATAAGGGACGTCTTCCTAAAGCCGTCTGCCATATAGCAACAGATGATGCGAAGTAGGGAAACGCCAAATACAAAGGTAACATTTGTTAAAAAAATGCGATTGCAAACGTTAGTCTTAAAAAGGTGTTGAAAGTAAAACTTTACTTTACCAGTTTTATGGAGGGTAAAAGAATTTAAATCGTCAACATTCGTGGCATACTTTGTGAAATTTCTCGTTTTCGAAAATTGGAATGGAATATTCAATATTTAACGAAGAGCTCATAAACGGCTTGTTTGGCAAGTTTTTTCCTCCCTAGTATGAAGTCAAGACAGTGTCATTAGTTGCGGTCCGGGAATTTTCTTCAAACTAATACATGCTTATTTCAATTTTTTCAATTTGTAGAAGTTAGCCAGTTGATTACCTGTCCGTCCTGTATAGAAGCGAAGGTCCTTTGATCTGTTTTCCGCACCATGACGATCCTGCTGGACCCATCGTGGCCGTGTGCTGTTTTCCTGAACCGATGCAGGTCGGTCAGGGAGCCCGGAAATGTCGGTTTTCGTCTGAGAAATGGCAGAAATAAATTCACCGCGTTCCCGAGCGTGGAAAATAAAATTCTTAATCTTAATTACGGATTTCTTAATATACTAACAGGACTAATTGATAATCGCCGCACATCGTCACTTGCCACCAGCGGCGCGCGTCTAACGGATCGTACGCCATGGGTTTCGATGCAGACGCGTTGCAATTTTGCCCGAAACTGTTTGAAAACGGCGAACAAAGCGTTTGTGTCGGCCTTTCGATTCTTGTTCCGTTTTGGTGGCCAAGTGTAACGAAATATACCGTATTTACGTCTAACGAACTCCCGTACACTTGTACCTGTTTTGGTTAAATTTTAAGTACAAACTAATTGTTTACGAATTTCGGAAATTTTAATGACATTTAATTAGGTTTCTTTCATCGGCAGATATTAGGTGAAAGCGTGAAGTAACTTTACGTGCTAAAACGATAATCCGAATATCAATTTGATCAGTTTAATTGCAATTTGACGTTTACGAGTCTACTACATTTAGATCGGAACCTTTGAAAGCCCCATCTGACCAAAAAAACCATAAAGGACCTTCCCACTCCATGCGTTGGTTGATTTGCGTCGAAACAGTAAATTTTTAACCAACAATCTTTGCGACCCGCATGCCCAAAGTATTAACAAATTTAATTGAAAAATTTAAATTATGCCTCAAGTGAGGTAAAAGGCATTTGACTCACGAGTTTAAAAAGTATACTATACTTTTTCTACGACCTTATTCGCTTAACCGTTAGAAATATCTCCGAAAACATCCGATTGCTCCCAAACCCGTGCGGTAATGTCGCGGAAAAGTCCGAAGTGACTCGGATCCGTGGGAAACGAAACTGACGTGGTAAAGAGACGCTTCCCGCACGCTAGATTGGTGTGTAATTAGGCATTTTACAGACGGGAGTAGAAAAAGTAATTTACATAAATTACTTTTTATGGGTCGTGCAGTGACTTTCAAATTCCGACTTTTGACAAAGTTGAACAAGTGTGAAAAAGAACATTCCTTACAATTTTTGTTCAAAATTTGTTAATCGTATTATTGAAACGTTTTCATTAATAAACGGGGAGTTCCATTTTAAAAACCTAAACGATACACGAGTTTGTTTAGGCACGAGCGAAGCGAAGCCAAACGAGTGTTTAGTAAACTGGTGTATGAAGAAATTTATAAACCTGTTGCATGTTGTTTTTTATGGAACCGTATTGATTCATTGAGTGATTTGTGATGTGAAAATATAAAAATAAAAAAAAATCTCCGAAAACATTCGATCACTCCCAAACGCGTGACTAAAGCATAGTATAGTAAAATATAAACATACTTTTTTTAATAACAAATAAATTTAATACTTTGATGGTTATTAATATATATTTTTTTAAATATTATCTTATCTTAAATATTATCTTATCTTTAAATATTATCTTGAGAGCGAAAAACTCGCTTTCAATTGCTTTGTTTCATTTTCACCGGGACGCAGTGTATATTAATTAGTATTCACTATTTGATGAAATTTATGTTGAACAACAGCGCGTGCATTTTATGCAAAAATGTTGATAACCGATAATTTAGTGACGAGTTTGATTTGGCGTCAACTTCATAAATTAGTTTTTGGAACATTTTCTACCAGAACGCTCGAATTTGCTTGTGACAGCGTTTGATAAGGTTTAAATGTACGTTTGGCAATGATGCTGTTGGTATTTAGGAATCTGTAATTGAACTTAATATAAAAAAATGGACAATTCCACAATGCTTATTGCCATCAGATGTAGTTTTTGTAATTCTTTTGCTTTTCCGATTGGTTATGCAACCAGCGTCGGGCCTGATGCTGAAATGGAGATTGTGGCACTTCAAATTTAACAAATATTTTCTTATTCTTTCTTAATAATTAGTTTTAAACTGGTATAAGTTTTTCTCTGATCAGTTTCATGTCCTAGACTTGGAATTAAATTGTCAAGAAATTATGATTGAGCTAGAAAATCTAATAACTTGATACAATACGATTTGGTATCCGGACTAACGACGTTTTAATCCGGTCGATACTTTTCTTTTTTGTCTTTATCTTTCGCGCCCTAGTTATTACTGATTTAGTTCGATTAAAAATTGAAATTTTATTCACACGCACGAGATACATTTAACGCATTTAAGAGCGCAGGTGAAATTAAATTAACAGCTTTTCGTAGCGGAGGCGCAGTGCGGATGGAAAAATTGCTTCGATAATAATAAATGGTTCTTAATTGGACCCATTCATCGAACGATTAATAGAAATAAAAGCGGTAATCGCATCTAATTCTAATTATAGCTAAGTAAATTATTCTAATAGTTCTCGATTGTTTCTTCGTGAACGCTTTCGTCTACGCTCGGGCGGGTTTCAAGGCTCTTATTATTTTTCACTTTTTTTTTAATTTAACCCAGCCATTGGATAAGAAAATTTTAAATAATTATTTACTATTGTCCCACCATCACGCTGTTGCATACGAAAGAAGCGCGTACCAAAACAGATAACTGAGAATGGAATAGTTCTAATATACAGCCAGTTTCAAACAACTTTTGTAATGTAAATAGAATTTTAAATAAGTAACGTGCTTGATATAAAAGGTCCACTAAAATTTGTTTCTTTTTTTAATTATTTATCTTTTTAATTGGGTCAAAAAAGTTACTGCTGGCAAAATTTAAGGCCACCATATTTTACAATATGTTTACTTCGTTACAATAATAATAACAGTAATGATAATGATAATAGCTCTAATCTATTTACAGAACAATATATGGAAATATCAAGTAATATCAAAACAAATTAGATTTTGCAATTGTCTGCAATTATTCTGGTATTCGGTAACTGTAGTTCAGTGTGATATCTTAAGTTGTCTGATTGTATTACATTTGTACCGTTTATTTTGGTGTTGCTTTTAGCTTTGTTCTGTATTAGTTTAAAGATAAGTTTAGATTGTTCAAATTTTAACATAATTTCAATCGGATTAACTTAAAGTGAAGCCTTTCAGTGGGCACTTTGTAATCTAAATCGAATAGAGTTTTAAGGATCTGTATTATTTTTATTTTATTAAAGTTTGTTTTATTACATGTACCCCAGACTGCAATGAGATTTCTTAAAACCGACAAATTTTATATCTTGCAATTTCACTTAAAAAATAGTTACATCTGTATAACGCTGTGACTAATGTGTTCCAAAGTAAAATCATTTATCTTAATGTTACAGTTATTATTTTTTTAGTTTTTTGTTTAAATAAAATTTATTTAGTTTTTTCAATGTTTATTTTTAATTTGTTATTTAGGAGCCAGTTGCAGTATCCTTTTAAGTCTGCATTTTTTTATGTATATATTCAGACCGTATTATCTGCAAATGTATAATAGTGTGCTTCCAATCCAACCAAGCGCAGATTCAAGACATACAACGTATAGAAGTATTGTGTGCGGTTGGTTAGTTTAGTGTTCTGATTAGGTTTGACATACTCCATAATAGTATTTAGTGTAAAAAGTAACGTGACCTTCTAGAAAATACGTCACTCTATCTTTCATTGTTTTCTTGAATCATTTCCCGCTTTTTGCCATTTACTTGTGAGTGAGTGAAAAGCGATTATTTATGTTATTTTTTAAATTCTTGAATTTTATTTTTAAATAGCTATTATTTTGATTGTTTTTACAGTGTTTATATACATTATCTCTAACCCGGTGGATATTTTGGTGACACTTAACTTTTCTGATTGATTTTGATTTATGTTTCGCCTTACTGATTATATAAATTAATTGTTTAAATGATTTTATTTCGCCGCTTAATTGACTTTCAAATTTTTGTTTGACTTTTTTTATATTTAGCACTGATTTTTCAATGTAAGCTTTTTCTTTATGAACTGATGTTTTAAACTTTATTTTAACAGATAGTTTTTTATGGTCCAACAAGAAATTATCTATTCCTTTAACTGTGCATCTGTTTTTAAATTCATTATTACATGATCTATTGGAGTCTATGGGATTGCAAAATTTGTTAAAAATACCACGTGACAAAAGATTAAGTTTGTTTAAGTAAGAAAAATCTTTGAACGCCACTGTTTTTAGTAATCATTTTTCCGGATTAAACCAATCAAAAAATATTTATTTCGAACACGTTTTATCAACATCAACAAAATGAAGTTAAGTTGGGGCATTTTTTTATAGAAGAAAAAAAGTTTAATTTTTACCTAAATAATCTGTCCAAGACATCTAACACCGGCCGCCATGTATGTTTATTTAGTTGATTCTTCGTCGTTCGCATACCATTATATCTTATGCAATAACAAAAACACAACAATGAAACAAGTTGATAATTTTTTCTTGTTTCATTGTCTTAATTTTCGCAAGACAACCAAAAAATATGCAGAGTTGGACAACTGTTTACAAATTAAGCAAATTATAGGGAATGGCTCGGTTGGTAAGGTATTAGACCTGCCACCTCTCTACTTGCCGGAGGTTGTAGGTTCGATTCCCACCGGCTGCCTTAGTATTGTAATCGAGTTAAAAATTTGTTTATAAGTTGATACTTGGTTGTAAGCTGGCCGAATTGCCTTGCGAAGCAGTGGCCAAATAATACTCAATGAACCGCCATATATCTTTAAGTATCTTATAATTTGCTTGGGACGTGTAATGTGATAATTTCCTCTCCTCAATTTTGAGGTGGATGTTGAGATAGGCTTGTATTTGTATAAGAACGAAATAAAAATCATGGTGCTTAAGGACATTGCCCTCCCTTATTAAGTATATTCAGCATATTAAGCATTGCTTACACAAGTTAAGAAACAACATAGATAACTGTCTATTTATTTATTTTACGGAATTAAATTAAAGGAAAACAACTTCTTTGATTGATTATTTATATCCACATCACGATCGAAAAATAATATAACGGATTTGTGTAGATTTAATTGCAGAGACTGATGTTTAGATAGGCAGTTAATTATTTTCATATTTTTGCTCATATTAACATAAACGGTTTAACAGCTGTGTATGTTCGACATTTGCAATAATTAAGGAATTGTATTTGATACGCACTGAATATTATATATAAAAAATATAGAGGAAATCACCAACTCCAATGGTAAAAACAAGCAAAAGTCCCAGTTTTGATTAGTTTTGTTTACATGACCTTTTGACGAGCTCCTTCTACATGCATAAGCGACAATAAACGTTATTAGTTGATCTAATATCATTTTTTGTGGTGTGCGGTTTCTGGAAAATGACGCAAGATAAAATCCATCCAAAAAATATTATTAGAATAATTGTTTCTTGAATGACATTCGTCGACAGAGAAATTTGTTTTGTTTGGATTTGAAACCGGTAAGCCTTTCCTTTAATGTAGAACTTTCTATGGCAAAACCATTGAAAACATAGAAGCAATCAGTTTTCGAGTTGGGAGGCGAATCCCGGCATTATCGTGGTTAAGTAATTCAGACAGAATCAAAGAGGAGCACGCAGAATGTTTTAACATTAAATTTTCAATGCAAGATTAAAGTGTTAGGTTTGGTAGCGTCGAAATAGATAGAGACAGATATGATATAATAAGTTATGATATTTATTAACTACGTTCTACTACGCGAACTATACCAAACGAACAATAAAATGCACCATCCATTTCAAATTTTACTTGCAAACTGTAGCAATATTTTTGACAACAATTGAGGTAACTGACGCTGGCTAACCTCAAATTTTAACTAGAACACCTCGAATCGCACTTCCGGCATTGTAACCTTAATTTTAAGATGTACGTTATCGGAAAAGTCTCTATAAGCGTCATAAAAAACGCAAGGTCCTCACTTTGAGTACCTATAAAATCCTAATTGTTAAGTCGCGTGATTAAACACGTCAGAAACAAAACCGCAGCGATTAACCGAACATAACCTGTCTGTGATAAGATCGCCCGGCGACGATAAGACCGCGAAAATACGAGCGAACAAAAACCTACCTTGGTGTATTGTTCGCCGACATTGTATCAGGTTATCGATTGTCATTCGTTTCGATTTTACGCACACTGCGGTCTCCACACTCGAGGGTCATTTCAGCGAATACGCCAGCTGAAGGGATGAAGTAAGAAGCGGGATACGGTAGCGGACATGCGCCTCCAACTTCCGGAGTATCAATCCTCGATGAATTATTTTGCGGCACTATTTTTTTCAGCACGCACGTTCGCGGTTGTTTGTTTCGGTCGGTCCGATTATCCTTAGAAGGGCTACGCGGAAATATTTCCACGTATAACGGCGATAGAAAAGTATTTCGACAACGACGCTATCTTTATTGTATCGTGAAACTTCGAAGGATATTAGTTTCCGCTTGATTGTATTTCACGGAGTTTGTTTTACGATAAGAGATGTAAATTATAAAGCGTTTGTTATCGCAAGGTCTGGATTTAGGACGTTCTCGCGTGGTTTGAGAAATTTTCTTATGGTTGCGCTTTAATCTAGGGGAATATAACGGATGGGAGATTAATAAAAAGACCTATATATAAAACCGTAACATAATATTTCAAAAATGAAATTAAAAATATTTTATTTAATTTAATAAAAAATAAAGCCCAGTTGACACAATGCAATATCTACATATGATTTAAGTTGTGAGTGTGTAAATAAAATACATAATCAAAAAACTAAAGGAGTTGGAAATAGAGATGATTGTATGAAACAAATTGACTTGTTTTATAACAGTTTCCAATTATCATAGTTAATTATCACAATTATCATAGTCAATTATCATAGTTATCATAGTTCCAATTATAATAGTTAAACTGAAACACTTACAATTTAAAAAAATGTCCATTTGCATTTTCTATAATAATATTTGGGAGACGAAGATCTCATTTTTTAGGAATAAGCGTTCTGTCTAAAAGTTCCACTTCGATTTTAGACCTTCATTGTATTTTTCTATGAAACTATTGATACTAAGAATACATGTTTTCACATCTTTCGTGATTTCGACACTATTCACATTTTTCATCCCCTATTCAATACATGCATCGTGTCTACCGGACTGTAGAGACAAAAGTTCTTTGGATTCACTTATACTTTTAAAATATGATGTTTGTATTTTCGTAGACAAGTAACAATTTTCTAAATTTAATTATTTTTTTAATATCTCTGAAATTTATAGGCATATTTCATATATAATATGCTATACCTAAGTCTTGCCGTTGCTGACATATTTTCTATTTTATATTAAAAGTAACTTTTGTAGGTCTAAATATATCTATCGATCTAAACTTACTAGTTGTTTTATTTGCCATTTTGCAAAAATTATTTGAATGGCAAGATGTTTCAAAAAATCATATCTGAATTATTTTAAGTAAAATGCTCTTTTTTAAAGTCTGTTCCTAACATTACCTAAACTTATCCGTCATAATTTGCGAGATACATATTTACATTTTTTGGATTGGTTTGAAGAGAATGGGAAATGATAATTCGTTATTAATAAAATTTTAGAAAATGTAGTACGATTAATTACTTAATATTGGTATATTGAAGGAGCATGAGAAAACCTAGTTACAGCAAAAAGATGATCGGGACAATCCAAAAGTAACTATTGGCAAGTGTTAAATTGCATATACGTATGTGTAAGTTAAAACAATTATATAGACAATTTTGTGCATAAACTTCAACATAAGAAAAATGGAAATTTCTTAGAAACTATGTTAGATGGGATACTCTGCATAACGCTAAATCATTGTATTAACTTAAGGAGTTAAATGGTAGTTTCAGCAATATTCAAAAAGAAAATCGCGAACTTTTCCAATTTGCAATTTATTTAACTTTGCAAAATAGCAAATGATTAAAAAAACTATTACGATTAGCCGTAGTGTATGTTCTACAAAATGTATTGAGAATACACAATATAATCCAAATATGAAGAAATATATAGAAATCCATATTTAAGGTTATGCGTCCCATGCACCCACACTAGGTAATTTTTTTCTATCGCCAACAGTTTCCATAAATCAACAGCAACAAGACTTTTAGGACACTCTGTATATTATATAACAATATAGTATTTTAGAAGCATAAGTGAATCCAAACAACTTCATTACTAAAAGAGATGTAGGGCGCTTTTCAATTTTCATTTCAATATCATTTTGAAAAATTTTCGGTAACTTTTTTGTTCATACAATAACTTTATTTTGGCAGTTTCTTGAGTGAAATGCAGTGATCGGAGTTTTTCTACAATTATCCGTTTTTCAACAAATTTTTCTGAAAAGTTGGGTCCATAAGTCTCGATTTTAATGTCTCTTATTTAGAGGTAGGTTTATACAAGTTATTTCCTTTTTTTCCTTCTTCTTGGATGCTTTTAAAGGAAAACCTCAATTCCTAAAAGAGATTGGCGGAAACTGACAGATTCGGAGGCTTAATTTTCGAAGAAAACTTAATGGGTGTGAAAGGCTATTTTTAAAAGTGCAATTTTAACAATTCACTGTAATTTTTTTTATGGGAAATTTTTGTGTTTATATAAAAGAGTTTCTAAAGTAACTTTACAAACTAATAGAACACACTCTGTTTGTAGAATTGAGAAAAAAAAAGTGGAATTGCGACCGTGAATATGCCTTATCTTTCGTTTCCGATTTCCGAAGATATCAATTACGGGTAGATACAAAAATTATATAACCGCGGCTTCTGAACCGGCAATGTCATCCATGCACAGGATATTTGAGATTAGGTACACATAAATAAAAAGCACCGACCTCGACGCTTAATTAGTGTTTGGTAATTTCCATTCCAGCGATCTGTTCGAGGGAGAACTCGGATGACTAAACTAAAATAGTACAATGAAGGGCAAATGTGTATTTTGATATGTTACTAACTTCGACTAAAAAATTTTAATGTTTTTTTTGGGTTTTTACACATTTTGAAAAATGTAACTTACTGAAAAGCTTTTTTGCTTTATATTTTTTGAAAACATTTTGTGAAATTAAAGTACAATTTTTTGACTGTTGTTTTTGTATCTTGCCTCGTTTTCGAGCAAAAAAAATATGAAAATCGACAAATTGTATATTTATGAACATTTATTTTTGGGCTCTTTTATACACTTCGTTCTAAACAATTAACATTAAAAAAGTGAAGAAAATGAGCACCATTCTCGCACTAAGCTAAGTATTTCTGGACCTACGATTATATAGACTTTGTTGATATTTTCAAAAAGAAAAAAGTTACAGCGAATCAAGGTTAGTTGTTTGTTGTTAGTTTTATTTTATATCCTGATTCACAGGAACAACTCTATGGTTTTGTTCTCTGGTCTGAATTATATGCGTGCTCAATTGAAACCCACTATAAGTTCAACTTGAAACGAAAAAATGTGCGTATTGAAAAATTATTATTATTTCAAGTAAAAATAAACAGTAACGTCATTAAGATAGCGAAACATTTTTTTATTTGTTTCGGTTGGATCAATGACTGAAATAATTTTTTTAAGTTAAAAACAATCGAGGCCGTGTAATGCCTCCTACCAGAGAAATTATACAAAAATTTGTGTTTTTTCACCGGAAAATATTTACGCGTATGGCAAACCAAATCACCGAAAGATCCTCGTAAACGAATCACAACGAAAATCACGATTTCAGCTGGGTTTGCACACTGCCACTTGCCACAAACATAGTCGGTGTTCCTGTGATATTTGAACGAACGATCAAATGGACCGATTTAGACTATTTTCGTTGTTGCAGTGCACAATGACAAACGAAACAGAACGCGCCACATGATACCCGATTGTGTTGAATTTTTGTCGATAGAAACCAGGCGGTTTATTTATTACGGACGACCTTCATTTTTTTTTTCGCAATAATTGCTATTTGACGTTGCCCAGGTTTGCGGAATTTGTTTATATATTTTCGTTTCTGGATGGAAGCGAAAACGCAGACGTTATATTGAAACTGCACCGCCATTGGTTACAGTGTTAATAAAAATCTTGTTTTTTTGTAATGATACATTGAAGGACTGGGATGATGATAATACCAAAAAGTTTGTGAATTTAAGCTTTTAAGAAAAAAAATTGTAAATTCACCATTGCAAAAAAATTAAACAAATTACTCCTTTTACGAAACTAGCCAAACTTTCAGTTTTTGTACGAAATTTACTAAAAACTTACCGTTTTGGTTAGTTTTGTAAATAAGGTATAAAGTCACTAACTTTTTATTACAAATATAACCGACACCTACACTTTTTAACAATATTTCACAATTTGGCAAATGGGGTGATACCAGATCCACTAGAAACGAATAACCACTACATAAATGGCTAAGCAACTAAGTAACATCGACATATAAGTTATACCTTATTTTCTAAAAGTGTTGAAAAAGATGTACGACAATTATCACACGAAAATCATTTTTTTTTTGCTTTGGTTATAATTAAAATAATAAATGGCCTTTATTTTCAATAATAGGGTTTACAAAAACAACATAAAACTTCACCTGTAGGAGTGCGAAACAAACTTTAAAAAAGTGATGATGTGTCTGTTGTACTTAGTTTTAAATATGTAAATATTTATGTTCAACAATTTTTGAGGTAATAAATTGTAATATGTTATCCGGTTGTAAGAAACGTTGTTTGAAACAAGACACTCCTAATTGGGGTTGTTTATGTTAT